GAACGGAAGGACGTGTTTGCGGTACACCAGTCCGCTGTTTCTGGCCAAGAAACTTGGTTCTTCGTCCGGTGCCGGCAGTTTGGCGACAAACTGTAATGGTGCACAACACAACGACCAGCTGGGTTGGCTGGGTTTCGGTTATAGGGACTGACGAGGTAAAGCTTGCGGCGCAAGTAGGTAATATCGGTGGTTCGCTGGAAAACCATGGGCCCATTATCGCCAGCACGCAGCGCCACCTGCAGCGTTGAGCGATGTGACTGGACACCCCGCGAAGGAAATGGTGCGGCCACAATCGGCTACAGTGAATCCACTCGGGGCGCACGGTGGTCGCGTCGAAGTCCACGAAGAATCGGTCGTCGTCAATATCCTGAACGTATCCCAGCCACCACTGGTCGTTGTCGCGCCACACCAGCACCGTGTTTCCGTAGTTCACTTCCCTCGCAGCCGTGTGCATCTGGCGAAAATATCTCGCTGTTGCATTCATGTTGATCAGAGATTGGCTCCTGATTCCGTTTTCTTGATGGTCAGACTACCCCTCAAAGTTCCGCTGGGCTACCGATAAGTAACGGACCTGACACTTGACTGAATAGGTGCTATGTGAGCTAAACCCTCCGGAATGGGAACAGAGCGTTGAACAATACAGATAGTTGGCAGCCCATAACACAAATAAGGCTGAGGACCCACAGGCAGCCAGCAGCACGGTGAGCTAATGAAAGGCCTTAGACACGCAGTATGTACGGACAAAATCGGGAGTTGCAACAATGATAAGCCAATATTTAACACAACCCGCTTAAACTTTATTGTTCTAAGCGGAATTCCGATTTGCTTTCGCGCATAGCAAAATAACTGAAGTAAAACTGTAAAAGCGAACTTTAATGATTTTTGCTGGCTGGAAGCGATGAAGGCCGTGGCAACCTGCCATCGGTGCGCGGTTTGAGGCAACGGAAGCCAAACCACATTGACACATTCATGATTCAGGCAACCCGGTTAACGAAGACCCCGATATCTGGTCGGTAAAAATGTGAACAAACAAACAGATCAGTCGTTTTCAGAGCAAAACTTAAAAAATCAACATTCCTAATACTTATCTCCGTAATAAGTATCAGAGACCACTCGGAAACGTTCTCCAGGCATATTAATGACGATAAATTTGTGTTTTGCAGTCCTATATTCAACGACTACTGTATGCTTTGTAATACAGATAGGTAAGTAACAGAAGTGAGCTTTTCCTGATACAGCAACGATGCCGCATCGATAAAAAGAAGCGGTACGATGATAGCAAAATTTTAATGACTACTCTCAAACGCAGCTCGCTGGCCGCACCTCTGCAGCATTACGCGTCGTTTCGCCTGCTTCAGTCTACGTAGCAGTCATCCAGTGTGGCCAGGGTCAGTGTGTTCAGCGCCGCAATATTCAGCTGGCGGAGATCCATCGCATCCCATGGCTGTGGAGTGCCGTCGGGACGGAAACTGTCCCACCTAAATTCGAGGAAATTTTTTGAATGTGTTGCGTTTTGAGAAGTGAGCACGTTGCTACAAAATCTCGCCTGTATGTCAACTGGAACACGCCTGTCTCAACGAGAGGCGCACTGTGACAATGCAATCAGTGACAATGTGAAGAAAAAAACTCTGTCTTCCATCAGTTACGATGCGTAGCTTCATGCTCGTATTAGCCTACAGCAATTCTGTGGCTTATTGCTTCTCTATAGTAGCGTACGTAAAACTGATGTTCAATGAATTATGGCGCCCATAGCATGATTACCAAGGTTGTACTCACAGCTGTAGCAGTTGACGAATGCCGGTCCATTGGTCGGGATAGGCCCGCATGCGTTTCCACCGAGCGTGGATAGCGGTTACCTTGGCGTAAACGTCAGCACCGACAGACGGCAGACTATCATCGGCAGCGGCTAAAACGCGCCGGCACTGCTCAGACGCCGTCTCCGTGCAGCGAAAGCGCACGAACTTCAGCATCACGTCGCGTTGGGTCTCGGGTTCACGGCGTCTGCGTAGAAAATTGCGCTCCTCATCCTGGCTATAGTATCCCAGCATGAACAACGGTGCCCCGGTGGTGATATCCCGGGCGTTGTAGTGGAGCAGCACCAGCTGCTGGCACACCGCCAGCACCACTCTCACGTCTCGGCACTCGTAGGTCGTGTTAGCGGCGTTGGGGTGAAGTCTTAACAAAGAGGAGTTTGGCGAGTCACTGTAATTTATAGCGATGATCATGTCCAGCCGCCAGCCCTTCACCGGCAGTATGTTGTGCAGGATCGCCAGTTTCAAGCCCAGATCCTCTCCGTCATCATTGTGCCGTTCCTCGACCACGAAGGCCACGGTGCGTGTGTGCGGGACAGGCAGCGGTTCAGCATGCTAACGAAATGGTAGATGGCGTAATCAGAGTCCACAGATTTGGAATACGGATTACAGGATCCCATTCGGCGTCGAGTAAATAGAAGGTGCCGGCATGTCGCAGGGTCGCGGGACAGGGTGTTCCACAGCGCGCAGACCCTAGACAACAAAGGTCAAACCGGTGTAAAGAAAAATATTTTCCAAAACAATCGTGAGATATCTTCACGTAAAGAGGTGACGTAGCATAGTTTATCAGATGGCGCTGGCTAAGCGCGCATCCTCCATCGACAGCGGAACAAAAGCAAACCCGGATGAAGGCTTTAATGCCGAAATCTGACACACACCGCGCCTTGCGCGCCAGCCCAAAACCAACTGGCCTCTGTAGGCAGCGCAGCTGCGTACAGAGCCGTCAAAATTCATGAAAATGCCCAGACAGGAAAAAACCCAAAACCGACCAATGACAGAAGAGCTGAATCATAAGCCCGCCCTGACAAGTTGATGTTTTTTAAAAGGCACCAACGACCAGTTTTTCACACGTGGTGATCTTAGTGGTAGTGACCTTTGAGGCATGTTATAACAGTATTACCGTCTCATCTGTAACTGGGTAAAGACATCCAGATCCAAAAGTATCGACGCCATGATCGGGTGGAGAAGCTCTCTGATGGGCACTTCTCCATCGCCTGCAGAAAATTTCACTTTATCGACAAGGCATTTGAGATACGTACCAAGGCTACTCATTGTGCTGAAACGTGGACAAACCGCTTTCAGCGCGATAAATGGTGGGTTCTTGGGTCTGGGTCTCGATGAGACATGGTTCTTTTAAGGAATCTTCGTTCCGCAACATGTTATTTATTCTCTTCTGCGTCATTGTCCTCCTCGGCATCATCGTCAGTATCCTGATACAGCTTTCGGCACGTCTGTCCGTCGGCCTCTTCGAAAAAGCTTGGATCCTCGCCAGGCACCGGCAGTTTATGGAGCAGTTGAGACTCGTGCACGATGTGGACGCACGCTGAGTCGTTGGATTCCTCGTTCTCTAGACGGACAGCGTAGAACATGTAGAAAACACACTTGCCAGCGGTGGCCGGTCGGTACACCATGGGTCCTCCGCAGTTGTTGTCGCGCAGCGCCACCTGCACGGATGCCCCATCGTCCAGCGTGTAACCGCGGACGATCTGGTGCGGCCAGAGTTGGCTACAGTGAATCCACGCGGAGTCGACCGTACTGGCGTTGAAGTCAATGAAGAAACTGTCGTCGTTGATATCCTGGACATATCCCAACCACCACTGCCCGGTGTCGCGTTGCACTAACACCGCGCTCCCGTAGCGCACTTTACGAGGATCCGATTCCCAGTACAACTGATAAAAGTATAGAGCATTTGCGGTCATGGTGCTGAGCAGGCAGTTGGCGCTACGATTTTCCTTCGGCTCGGGCACACACTAAGGTTTACTGCTAACACCGTCCAAATATAACGCATAATCCCTGGCGCACTTCCTTTACAGGTAGAAGCTCCGAAAAATATAAATGAATTTCAAAAACTGACAACAGCCGAATTGATTATTTCGAACTTTTTAGCGACCGTATTTGGTTTTAACGGTTTTCAATGTTAGTGGCGCTGAATTTCGAAAACTGACAACAGCCGAATTGATTATTTCGAGCTTTTTATCAACCGTATTTCCCCAGTTTTCAATGTTAGTGGCGCATGCATGTTGTTATTTTGACCTGGTTACGGGCTACATGCCCTTCGGTCTGATCTTCTCCCTGTTCCTTTCAACACTAAACCAGGCAGATCAAATGGCGACTCGGAGCGTAAGTAAGCTAGCGATAATAAAAACTTTCTAACGTGGTATATTAAATGGGGTCACTGCTAGTGTAGGCTGCCGAGCTCCAGTGGAGGTTGCAAAGCGCATACACAGCACCCAGCCAAGTTTAACTAGTAGACAATTTTAATCGCCACCCAGATGCAGTAACTGCAATGCCCAGTGGATTCAGCTAAATTTGAGATTTCGAGAACACCAATCTTCTCTCGTGTTAAAAGGTACAGTACTCAAAACAGCCGTATCATTGAACCGTCAGACGCGAAGCCACCTGCAGTCGTTCAGCAGCAGACAACTATCTGTAGTGAGAAACGACTTTCCTTTTTCCACCGGCAAAAAGCAACGGGCTTCGAAGCGACTCTACCTTGTGTATGCCGGGTAATCAGAAAAACAGATGTGAGTGCGCATTTGCACAGTGGCCGTTGAAATCACGCACGAAAGGTCCTCACGACCATTTTGGCTCTATTTATGATGATATCGAAGTCGAACAACATGTCGTCAGCTGCACATATACCGGCAACTTCAAGCTTGATTAAGATCGCTGGTGCTTGCTTCTACGATAAAATCCCGCTAACTGATTGATGGTGCTTTGTGCGGCCGCAAAAAGTTCATTTGACTCACCCAGGCACTCAGACATCAGTAGTTACTATACAGTCCTTCCATGTCTGAAGTTATCAGTCGACATCGGCACTCGAATTTTTTTCCCTTCGACAGCTCCAGCTTGACCAAAGATCGCTTTCGCTGGATTTCACGATAAGATCCTACTGTCTGATTTTGGGCTAAAACATTACTTAACTTGTGCGACTGCAGACAGCGGCATGCTCGGAAATTCTAAATACAGTACGCCGAAAAGCCATAAAGCAGAACGGTGCACGGCGCTAACTTCGTAACAGCCTTGTCAGCCAAAGTTTGGTTCTCGAAACATTCGACAACGAAGTGCCATCTGCCTATCATAACTAAATTAACTAACCAATCACGTGCTGTCAATAGACTGATTGGTTTCCCATCAGCGGCTCAAGCGAATACAATGTCCCGCTGGATGACCTTAGGGATCAGCATTGGATGCGTTGTGGTGGCCGTTCAGTCTCATCGGTTCTGCAAAACGTCCAACAGCGGAATGTTTCGCTGCCAACCATACGTCAATGATAACATGGACATTCCCCGCACGTTTGACGTGGACATCATTCCCGACACGGACAATGTGACGAGCCTTGTCCTTTACTGCGATACAGTTTTCGAGCGGCAACCCGGTCAGCGCTACTGTACGCTGCTGCGGAACGAGCACCGCAGTATTCCAGCCCGAAGATATCTAACGAGAATATCTCTGTACGGGTTTTTCGAAGAGAACGGCCAACGACCTCCGTTCAGACATTTTTTGCAGCATGTGCGCAACACCACCGAGGAGCTGGCCATCCAGGACAGCAAAATTAGCTATCTGGATGCGCATTTCTTTGCTCCTTTCAGGAGACTGCGCAGCCTCGATTTATCCAGCAACGACATCTACGATATCGCGCTTGACTCGTTTCAGCCGCTGCAACCGGTAGCAGTCGACGGTTCCCTGAACCTGGCCGGAAATGCTTTACAGGAGATGGGTTTGGCTGTATTCAAGCCGCTCGCGTCTTGGCTGGTAAGAGCGTGGAATCTCAGGCATTTGTCTCGTTTTTAGTAGCACCGCAATAAATGCAGTAGCACCGCCGGTTAGCTAACAACAGTCATTAATCTGTCTGCAGAGCGTTCTAGGGCTGTACAAACAACATCCTCCAATGCGGAAACTGCACATGAGCGGGCCTCGCTTCGAGTTTCCCGTTTTGTCTAGCTTCCACTTAGGCGATAACGCCGCTACATTGCAGCCCGAGATTTTTGACTCCATGCCGAACATCCGTCATCTCGGTCTGTATGGCAGTGAAATCTGTGACGTCTGTGACTGTTCCTGCTGCGAAGCGCAGCCGTTCCTTCAGCGCCTGTCCAATTTCACCGGCTCTGGTCGGACCTTTGAATTCCAGTGTAGTTGGTTTAAACATTACGATCCTGGCGAATTTGCCGTCGATTATTCCGGACTTCTCAAATCCTCTCCTTGTAAGCGGTTCAGTTTGAACATTTTAAGATGTATGATCGCCGATGCAACGCTGGAAGTGCGCACAATCAGGCCGTAATTGGGTATTTCAGGTCCCCGGTGTGTGGAGCCAGATCCGGTCGATATCCTTTGCCAAAACGGTAGCATCTCGTCATCAGATCCGAACCCAGAAGAAACTGACTCCCTCCTGATCCGCTTCACCAGTGACGCCGCACCACAATGCACCAGCACCTTCCATGACCTTTACCAAACCATCCTGGATCTGGGCAACGTGACGCACCCCGAACCCGGATCTTCAGCCGCCGTGACACTCTTCTGTCGCGCTAACCGGACTTTTGTCTGGGGTCCGGACGTAAGCATTAAGAACCCGTTAAAGGTCATCGTCGACACGGATCTCAGTCCGCACTGCCACCACGTTCGTGTGCGATTTTTGAAAGCGACCCGCCATCATATTTCGAACGAGGCGATCGACCGTATCGCACCGTCTATCATCCCCATTCAAACTTGGATCAAGGACCATTTGGTGTGTCCGCTTGGTGCCCCGTTATTTGTCAACTGCACCAACGGAACGGTCGTTTCGTATCCGGCTCCGTTGAACCAAACCAAATCTACCATTCTCCACATTCGTAGCGACCTGTCGCTTGTGTGTCAGGAATTTGTTAAAGGTTGTCATAAATATTTGCTGGAAGCAGAAGGAGTAACGGTGCAGGATTACGCTGCGGACAGCGCTTCACAAGACGTGGTTGCGGCTGTTTGCCAGCGTGGTCGTATTATCCTGTCGGGCGCCAGTCCGAAGCGGCATTTGACATACTACGCAGCGCCGAACGATCCCTGTCAACGACGTAACCGGGCGTTTCTCAACCATATTCAACCGAACAACACCTACCTCACTTGAAATGACAGGAAAAAAGTTCAGTAAAATAAAAGTTTGTTTTTGTTAAGGTGAAATGTTTAATCATACGGCGGGAAAATTCTCATTCATTCGTCAGATGCCCCAGAGAAATACGTTAATAAAAGGTGAACTGTACTCGAGCGTTCGTAAAACTTTAAGCGCTGTCGAAGGAATTTATGTAGCGGTGTCCTTCCCGAATGATCCCGCAGAGGTTTCGCTAAGTCTTTGGTATCGGCAATAGCCGATGGAAACGGCTCTCGGCATACTATGCAGCGCCGAAGGATCCCTTTCACAGAAACAGTCTCGAGCTCACCTCAGTTACATTCAAGCTAAAAAGTTAAAAACGGCTAGCAACGACTGAAGAGTTTATCTCTGATTGCCATTAGGTTCATGATATCGCACGGGCTTCTTCGGTACGATTTACAATTGTCCAGCAACGATTCATGAAATTAGAACACCGTTTTCGTTAATTCCCGTTAAAGATGGATAACTTCCCACTCACCGAGCCCTCTGTGAACGAACGCGAAACAATGCTTTCATGTTTGAATGTATGTAATTGTTGAGTACTGCTTTATATGTCATATAAATAATACTGTGTCTGTCTGCGATCGGCAGTAATTACTACGCCTGCAGCTACCGCCGACCGACAGTCTTAAGTCTCAACCAGTGTTTTGCTGAGACAGTTCTCGAAACAACAAGCCGAACAAAGCAAAATTCCAAGTAAACTATTAATTTATCCGACGGTTTTTTCCGCAGTAAAGTTCCAGAATATAAGCTCACGTTAGTCTCGATTAAACATTATTTAGAAATCGTTCAAGCCAATCCATTGCGGCGAATCCATGCACAAAATGTGGAGATCGATCCTACTTGTTACCCTGCTACTGGCGAGCGCCGTCCATGCCGGGCTTCTGGAGCGACTTCGGCGCCGGGATGTCGGCGCGCCGCAGGGAGCGGCAGTTGGTAGTCCCGGGGTACTTGCCGGTAAGATAGCCGAGTTCATAATAGTTTGGTCAGCTTCACGCCGTTTGCCGTGACATAACATACTGCGTGGATTTTGGCGCACTACAACACTTGTTCATTTTGCGCTGAACTGCAGGAAACACACTCCCGCAAATCCCAGTGAACGTCCCCATCGATTTCTGTGGAAATACCGTAAATGCTGTGCAGCTGCTTAATCCGGCTTTCGGCGGCTGCATCAAGAAGGTCGAGGGTTCCCTGCCTAATCCACCCACCGGCTGATGACCGTTAAGACGAATGATTATCGAAGCGGTTCACCATGTTGTGTTTAAGTGTTCTGACCAACTTACCGGACATCATCGGAAGCTGGCACAGCTGTTTTTAATCGATTTTAATTGTCGTTCTTCTTTTATTCGTGCGAGACGTTCTAACAAAGTCGGCCTGTACTACGCGCTGTGACATAACCAAGTGACTTGGACAGGGCACCAGATTCGTGTATAGTGTACCAGCAGAGTTGTACCAGTAGCAAGCGGAAACATTCACTTTCGTGCACTCCCGTATATGTTTCTACAATGTTTTATGACATTCTACCATACGCCTGTATACATTTGTTCGAATCACATCCGGTTGCAGAGTTATCGCTGTAAGAAATGCTAACAAGTTTAAACGCCCATTCAGGATTACCAAAAAAGCCAAAACCAAGTTTCACTATGTACCGATCTTTTTTACAGTTTGCACGTAATTGCATATATTAGTATGAAGACTGCTTTTACGTTTGCACAATGCATGCAAACTGAGGAGGTTTCTTATGTATTCGCTTACCGGTTTATGGAAATGAGCGAGATATTCAAAGCCCTGCGCTGCGAGAGAAATCCAAATAAAGTATGCGTCCCAGCTGCAGCTTGACCCTAGAACTGCAGCTTGACCCTAGAACACTTGCGTGGGATAACACGATAAGATCCTACTGCCGGATTTTGGGTTCAGTAGTTTTATGGCGACAAATCCGATTACTGTACCGTACCGCTGCTGCGGAACGAGCACTGCAGCCTTGCAGCCAGAAGACACATAACCAAAATATCTCTGCACGAGTTTTTCGGAGGGAACGACGAACGACCTCCGTTTAAACATTTTTTGCAGCATGTACAGAGCACCAGCGAGGAGTTATCCATTCAGGACAGCAAGATCTGCTATTTGGATGCGCATTTCTTTTCTCCTTTCAGGAGATTGCGCAGTCTCGTTCTAACCAACAACGATATCTACGATATTGCGATTGACTCGTTTCAGCCACGGATCTCCGTCCGCACTGCCACAATCTTCGCATGCGGTTTTTAAACGCCACCCGTATTCACATATTCACGCCAGCCGCATTCACATTTCGCGCGACCCAGCGCTTCGGCCGATGATTCCCGTTCAAAGGTGGAATAAGGTACACTTGGAGTGTCCGCTCGGTGCTCCGCTATTTGACAACTGCACCAACGGAACCGTTGTTTCCTACCCGGGTCCGTTGAACCAGACAAAGTCCACTATCCTCCACATTCGTAGCGACCTGTCGCTGGTGTGCCAAGAGTTTGCTAAGGGTTGTCTTAAAAATTTGCGGGAAGCAGGAGGGGCAGCGGTGCAGGATGACTCTGCGGAAAACGCTGCACAAGACCTGGTTGTGGCTGCTTGTTAACGTGGTCGCATTATCCTGTCGGGAGGCAGTCCGAAGCGGCATTTGACGTACTACGCAGCGCCGACGATCCCTGTCAATGACACTACCGGGCGTTGCTCAACTACATTCAACCGAACACGACCTACCTCGCTTGAAGCGATTGACAAGATTTCGTTGCACAAAAGTTTGTTTTCGTTAAGGTGCAATGTTTAATCCTACGGTAGGCTGTTCTCATTAACCGGTCAGATGCAACAGGGTAGTACATAATACAAAGGTAACAGTAATCGTACACTCACAAAACAGATTGATTAAATCCGTTGCGTTTGGTTAGACGACTTTATGTCGACTATGTGATTGTTGCTAGTTATAGAACTGTACCGGTAGCTCGGTTGCCCGCTCACCTAACAGGCTCCGTACACTGGACAGTACCGGTAACTCGTTCACTTGTTTTCTTAACGGGCTCGGTCACCCAGAAACCTAACGGGCTCCGTACACTGGACAGTAGTCACAGTACCGGTAGCTCGGTCACCGGCTCACCTAATATGCGGCTTTTAAACGCGACCCGACAATATATTGTACAAGAAACAGCCTCGGCTTCGCCTCCGCGTTTCTTGTGGTCAACGGCTACTTTATTTAGTTTGCAATTAATATTTATTAAAATAACATATTTGGTCGAAGCATAATCGGTACATCGTATTAGCGCAAAAAAAACGGATTTTATATAAAAACACGGATTTGATTTTTATAGGAGTAGGATTTTTTTAATCAGTTCATTATTCTCTCAAATCACCATAAATTCTCACAACTGAATTCATGATTCTGTGAACCTTAGCCTGAACCAGCGACCGAGCTTCCACTACCCAGATTGATTCAATCTGGGTAGTGGAAGCTCGGTCACTAATTCATGTGACGAATCTGTGCACTGGACAGAACTGCCTGCTTGGTCCCCCGTTTACCTAACGGCCTCCGTAAACTGAACAGTACCGGCAGTTCGGTCACTCCTTCACCTGACGGGATCTGTGCACTGGACAGTACCGGTAGCTTCGTCATTCGTTCGTCTAATGGACTCTGTGCACTGGAAAGTACCGGTTGCTCGGTCACCCGCTCACCTAACGGGTCCCGAACCGTGGACAGTGCCGGTAGTTCGGTCATTCGTTCGCCTAACGGGCTCTGTGCACCCGCTAGCTCGGTCACCGGCTAGCTCGTTTACCTAACGGGACATGTGCGCTGGACAGTACCGGCTGCTTGGTCACCCGCTTACCTAACGGGTCCCGTTCCCTGGACTGTACCGGTTGCTCGGTTTCGTTCCCCTAATGAGCTCTGTGCACTGAACAGTACCGGTAGGTCGGTCACATGCTTACCTTACGGGCCCGTACCCTGGACAGTGCCAGGTGCTTGGTCATTCGTTCGCCTAACGGGCCCCGTACACTGGACCCTACCGGTAGTTTTGTTGGCCGGCACTCGTGCAGAAATTGTTTTCGATGACAACGTTACATATACAGTTGTTCTTGTCGTAATAACGGTCTGCTAATTAAATTCATTCTGATAGTTTAAATAGTAGAAATGACTTTCATTTTTTAGCTATATTTTGGTTGGTTTACGTGGCAACATTGCCTGGTTAAAAATACCCCGATAATACTTAGTATTACAATAATTTAGTTTCATTTGGTGGAGGTAGTCAAAATTCTTCCGCTTTGGCGTTCGAAGCGGGAGAGGTTTTGAAAGAAATGAATACTATCTGGCCGGGTTTTCGACTTCGGGCTTTCAGAATATAGTACTGGTTTGGGTCAGTCTTTTTTGGTTTGCCGGCTCTGGTGTATCCCATTCGTGGCTATATAGATCTGAAATTAAGATACAAATGCGTGGCCTTTGTCACCACCGGTAATTCTCGTTCCGAAGTAGACTGCGAACACTTGACGTGTCGGCTCGCCGCTCCCGTTGTTTATCAACTGCACCAACGGAATGATCCTACACCAATCCGTTCAACCTAACGAAAGCTACCATTCTGCGCATTCGTGGCGACTTGTCGCTTGCGTGCCAAGAATTCGTTAAGGATTGCCCTAAATATCTGCTGGAGACGCAAGAGACCACGGTGCAGGACGGTGCAGCGTTCAGCGCTTCACAGGAGGCGGCTGTGGCTGTTTGTCAACCCGGTCGCATCGTCCTGTCGGGAGCCAGCCCGAAGCGGCATCTGACGTCCTACGCCCACTGAACGATCCCTGTCAACCCCTCTACCGAACCTTCCTCAACTACATTCAACCGAACACTGAGTTATGCGAACCAACCCGACTGGAGTTTTCCATTAGGTTAATATTAATGATATGCTGGCCCTTGGAGGCGGTAAAGCGTTCAGTAAAAACGCAATAGATAAAACGCTGTTTTCGCGAAGTATTTATAGAACCTCTTGGTATATTTCTATTGGTATCGATTGTGTTGATATCGATTGTACATTGAAAAAACAAGCATCACATAACATCAACAGACATCAACCGACACGACATCAATCGACATAGCATCAGCAGACATAAAAAGAACTTCTTTTAGAAATGGATATTCCCCGTTCTCCGTACATCTTATACAGCAGTCTGTTAATTGTACTCGTAGCGTAGGATTTGTACATACACAACATAAAGCGATCCGCAAGACCATAACAGTGATCCGTAATTATTTCGCCGGCTAATACGCCTGCAGCTGACGCTCTGGTTTCTTAGTTTTCTACTTTTCTTGTATATATCGGTAACCGGTTATACATGTGAATACGTGTAGTTTTGTATAACCGAAACAGCCAATCATTTGCTGACACTGAGCATGCAAACCGAATCGTTTTCGAAACAACAATTCGAATAAAGGCAAAGCGATCATATAGTTACGCCTGAGGGAAGTACTACGTGGCACGGCGGTTTTTCCCCGAAACAAACAACGGACCCATAAAAGCGCTTGCCACACGGTCTTTGATTTGTATGGAATGCACGTTCTCCTTACAACCGCGTCACACTAGCCATCTATAATCATCTGTAAAAATGTGGAAAACGGTCCTTTTTGTTACATGGTTACTGGCCAGCGTCACTCATGCGGGTCTCCTGGAGCGACTGAGCCGTCGGGATGTCGGCGCGCCGCCGCAGGGACCGGCGGTTGGTAGTCCCGGGGTAGTTAACGGTAAGTTAGCGTCGCCCTCATAACAGTATTGTCAGCTCACGTCGTTGGCGGCGATCATGAAAATACTGCGTTGACTGTGGCGCCACAACACATACTGTACGGACACTGTCGTGCAGGAAACACACTCCCGCATATTCCCGTTAATCTATGCGGAGACAGCGTGGATCTTGTGGCTCTACTGAATCCGGCTGCTGCCAATACTTGCATCAATAAGGGTTTCCCGCCTAATCAGTCCCCTGGATGACGGATATGCGATGGTATCCGCACTGTCAACGACTGGAACTGGGCATGCCACACCTGCACTGCATCAGTGCTACGCCTCACTGAGAAAAAAACGTTGCTGTTAAGAAATTAGAAACACTTTGTTGTTAGGCAACAAATGCATAATGTTGCACTCATAATGTACATAATGTTAATTGAATTCATTACTGTTGAGTAAGTTCAGTCCTACGAGCCGACAAGTTATCGGCGTTGTGTATGATGTTGGGCTAAACAACTTGTCTGCCTCGTTTCAACGCTTACTGCGCCAACCATCGACTTTCGGTTGGAAGAAATAGGCTCTGTATGTATGTTCGCAAATTTATTGCTCTTTGTGCCTTTAAGTTATTGAACCGCAAACCAACTGGTCGACTTCCATTTGTCAGCCCCGCACTGTAGAGAAACAAAAACAGTCAGCAATTGCTAAAAATCATTCAACAATCATTTACAACCAAAAACAGCATAAAAACCAGTTTCCCAATATTTATCACAATCGACAATAGTAAACTGTCTCGTGCAACGACCCGTTTACCGAAAAACGCCGTAACCCCACCATTACCGGGGCGACATCTACGCCGCAATCCCGCGCTCCCGCAGTTTCCCCAGCTCCTTATCCCCCAGTCCCGGGGGGCTCCGGCGCACCCGCGGCCGGAAGCCCTTCCCTTCTTCCAACCATTTAACCGGCGGTTGGACCATCCGCACCCGCCCGGCAACTCCTCGACCAAGCGCAGCCACTGCACCTGCGGATCCGCAAAGACCCGCTGGAAGCTGTTGACCGGGCCGTAGGGAAGGTGGCCGGGCGGAGGACGGCCAGCCACTCCGAGAGGGTCTTCTCCTGGAAGACGCCGGTCAGGAGGCTGATCAGCTGGTCGCGGTGGGCCCCGCTGTTGGCGTTGGTGCGGAAGCCCGATTGGCTGGCGTGGTTCATCGGGAAAATGGTCACTTTAACCGACCAAAAGGGAAAGGCGTGCTTCAATTGGGTTTTCAATACGATTTAATTTAAGTTTCCAGTACAAGTTTCTTAACTTTAAATTTCATTTGGATTTTCAGTTGTCAGAGCAGAAGGCTCTGCCCTCAGGGCAGCCGCCCCATCCGCCGTCTACCTGGTTGTCTCAAGCTCAAGCACAAATCTCTTGATCTCAGCCAACAACGGCGATGGCACAGTGGCTGTGCTACGTGGATCACACTCGGTAGCCAGCGGTTCGATTCCGCTCCGTCGCCATTTTTCAGAATTCCTCAACAGGAAATTCTTTCGGACTTCATCTGACCGCCCTCCCTTCGCTGAGATACCCACGGACAGCCGTCTTTATGGCAGCCTCTGACACAGTACGAGTTTTCTTCGTGATAAATTGTTATTATTCTGGTTTCTACTTTCTACTTTGATCAGCATTTAATTTTATCTTTCACTTCATTGTGATTTTCAGTACGATTTATTTTGTTTTTTGTCTCGTTACGAATCACTGTTCAGCTGGTACTGATTTTCAGTACCACTTATTTTGAAGTTTTACACCATTTTCGGTTAACGACGATTCCCTTCACCAGTGACAACGCCGAATGGACGAATGTTGTATTCGGTTTAGTGTACCGTTATGTTAGTTTAAAAATCTTTTCCCATTTTTAATTTAAGAACCACAGTCCTTTTGGAAATTTATGGATCTTTACTGAAATCTTCTGTAAATTAAAATCTTTAAAAATCTACAGAAATTTTGATAAAGCCGACAGCAACAGACGACTACCGTCGTGGAAACTGGGAAGCGACGTTCCTTTTTGCACCAACAAGCATTACTGGGCAAAGAGCATCGAAGCGATCTTTACCTTCTGTAGCCGCACAACCAGAAAAACCGATGAGAGTGCGCATTTGCACAGTGGCCACTGGCACAACACGAAAGGTCATCACGACCGCGGCTCTAATTATGTGTGTATGATGATATCGAAGTCGAGCAACATGCTGTCATCTGCACATATACCGGCAACTCAAGCTTGATTAAGATCGCTAGTGTTTGATTTTACGGTAAACTCCCACTGTCTGGTTGGTGATACTTTGTGCGGTCGCAAAAAGTTTAGTCACAGTGTACTTTCATGTCTGAAACTGCTAGTCGACATCGACATTTGATTATTTTTCCTCTTCGACAACTCCAGCTTGACCAAAGGTCGCTTGCGCGTGATTGCACGATAAGATCCAGCTGTCTGATTTGTGGTTAACGCATTAGTTAATGCGGTTGCACGCGCGATAAATCTGAACACAGTACACCGGAAAACCATAAAACAGAACGGTGCACGGCGCATGCCATAACTTTAGCAGACTTGTCGGTCGCGCATAGGTTCTTCTCGAAAGCAATTCGGTGCCGAGGTACTATCTGCCTGTCAAAACTAAGTCCCTGACTTTGAGTGTAGTGGACAACGTCTAAAAAACATCTAAAATACTAAGTTAACTAACCAACTACGTGCTGTCATTAAACTGATGGGTTTTCCCATCATCGACCCAATCGAACGCAATGTCCCTCTGGCTGATACTCGGGACCATGATTGGATGCATTGTGGCTGCCGTGCATTGTCATCGGTTCTGCAGAACGAAAAGCGGAATGTTTCGCTGCGAACCATACATCGATGATAATCTGGACATTCCCCTGACGTTTGACGTGGACACCATTCCTGACACGGACAACGTGACGAAACTGGTATTTTACTGCGACAAAGCTTTCGAGCGGGAACCCCGTCAGCACTACTGCACGCTGCTGCGGAACGAGCACCGCAGTCTTCCAGCCAGGAGACACATAACCCGAATATCTCTGCACGGGTTTTTCGGAGAGAACGACCAACGACCTCCGTTTAAACATTTCTTACAGCACATGCAAAATACCACTGAGGAGGTGACCATCCAGGGCAGCAAGATCGGCTATCTGGATGCGGATTTCTTCCATCCTTTCCAGAAATTGCGCAGTCTCGATTTATTCATGAACGATATCTACGATATCGCGATTGACTCGTTCCAGCCGCTGCAACCGGCAGCTGCCGACGGGACTTTGGACCTGCAAGGAAATGCTTTACAAGAGCTGGATTTGGCTGTGTTCAGACCGCTGGCGTCCTGGCTGGTAAGAGAGCAGTCTCTCAGGCTTTGGTCCCGTTTTCGTAGGATCGCTGCACAAGTAATCCAAAGTTTCAAGTGACCACAGTTGTATGAGGAAATACTGGGCATCCGATGAAACCGGTAGTTCGGTCGTTCAATCAGAAAGTCAGGCTTGTGCGCCATAAGCGTACACTTGGTATGAACTCCGAGAAAATGTGACCGCTTCATGGTGCCAAATACTTGTACAAGCACGAGAACTACGCTTTCACGCACCCTCGTCTGATAACATTCCTCTCATTTCAGAGCGTCTTGCAGCTGAACAAACAACGTCCGCAAATGCGGAAGCTCCATATAAGCGGGCCGCGCTTCGAGTTTCCCGTTTTATCAGCCTTTTCGCTTACAGCTAACGCCGTTACATTGTCTCCTGAAACATTTAACTCCATGCCACAAATCCACAACCTGGAGCTGTATGGCAACGACATTTGCGACGTTTGTGACTGTTCATGCTGCGAAGCGCAGCCGTTCCTTCAGCGTCTGTCCAATTTAACCGGCTCCGGCCTCCGCTCTGAACTGCAGTGTGGTGGGATGCAGCATTACGATCCCGGAACCTATCGCGCCGATTATTCGCCCCTCCTCAAATCCTCTCCTTGTAAGGTTTTGTTTGAGTGTTCTAAGATTTACCCGAAGCTGGAAGTTAACACAGTTAGAACGTAGTATTTCAGGTCCCCGGTGTGTGCAGCCGGATCCGGTCGATATCCTGTGCCGAAACGGCTCCTTCTCGTCATCAGACCCAAATCTGGAAGACACCGATGCTCTCCTGATCCGCTTCACAGGGGACGGCGCACCGCAGTGCACCAGCACCTTCCATGACCTTTATCAAACCATCCTGGATCTGGGCAACGCGACACACCCCGAACCCGGATCTTCAGCCGCCGTAACCCTCTTCTGTCGCGCTAATCGGACTTCTGTCTGGGGTGCGGACATAAGCATTAAGAACCCGTTAAAGGTCATCGTTGACACGGATCTCAGTCCGCACTGCCATGATGTTCGTGTGCGATTTTTGAACGCGACCCGGCTTCACATTTCGAAGGAGGCCATCGACCGTATCGCACCGTCTATCATCTCAATTCAAACCTGGATCAAGGACCATTTGGTGTGTCCGCTCGGTGCCCCGCTATTTGTCAACTGCACCAACGGAACAGTTGTTTCCTACCCGGCTCCGTTAAACCTGACAAAGTCCACTATCCTCCATATTCGTAGCGACCTGTCGCTTGTGTGCCAGGATTTTGTTAAAGGTTGTCATAAATATTTGCTGGAAGCAGAAGGAGTCACGGTGCAGGATTACGCTGCGGACAGCGCTTCACAAGACGCGGTTGTGGCTGTTTGCCAGCGTGGTCGTATTATCCTGTCGGGAGCCAGTCCGAAGCGGCATTTGACGTACTACGCAGCGCCGAACGATCCCTGCCAACGACACTACCGGGCGTTTCTCAACCACATTCAACCGAACACCACCTACCTCACTTGAAATGACAGGAAAATAAAATAAAAGGTTGTTTTAGTTAAGGTGAAATGTGTAGTCAGACTGTGGGCAAATTCCCATTCACAAATTTTTATTCACCCGTCAGGTGCCAATGCAAAGGTGAACTGTACTCGAACGCTCATAAAACATAAGCGCTGTCGAAGGAATTCTTAGCGGTGTCTCTCCCGAATGATCCCGAAGAGGTTTCCCTAAGTCTTTGGTCGCGGCAATAGCCGATGGAAACGGCTTCTGTCATACTATGCAGCGCCGAAGGATTCCTGTCACCGAGACAGTCTCGAGCTCACCTCAGTTACATTAAAGCTAAAAAGTTAAAAACGGCTAACAACGACTGAAGAATTTATCACTGATTACCATTAGGTTCATGATAACACAAGGTTTTCTTCGATAGGATTTAAAACTGTTCAGCGACGATTCATGAAATTAGAATACCGTTTTCGTTAATTCCCGTTAAAGATGGATAATTCCCACTCACAGAGCCACCACGAAACATTGTTTTCATGTTCGTATGTACGCACCTGTTGCCGATCGTAAACAGAGACAGTACTGATTTATAATTATGTCAATAAACAGTTTTGTCTCTGTTTACAATCGGCAATAATTGATGCGCCTGCAGCTACCGCCGACCGACAGTCTTAAGTCTCAACCAGTGTTTTGCTGAGACAGTTCTCGAAACAACAAGCCGAACAAAGCAGAATTCCAAGTAGATTATTAATTTATCCGACGGTTTTTTCCGCAGTATAGTTCCAGAATATAAGCTCACGCCAGTCTCGGTTAAACATTATTTAGAAATCGTTCAAGCCAATCCACTGCGGCGAATCCATGCACAAAATGTGGAAATCGGTGCTATTTGTTACTCTGCTACTGGCGAGCGCCGTCCATGCCGGGCTTCTGGAGCGACTGCGGCGTCGGGATGTCGGCACGGCGCAGGGAGGGGCAGTTGTTAGTCCCGGGGTACTTTCCGGTAAGATGGCGCCGTCTCATAATAACTAGTGTCTGCAGCTCAAGTCCTTCGCAAAGACACGCAGCAGTTGCGCTGATTTGGCGCCACAAGTAACACATAATTATTCTACGGAGTGTCTTGCAGGAAATTTGATGCAAGTCCCGGTGCATGTTCCCGTCAATATCTGTGGGAATACCGTGGATGCTGCGATCGCGCTAAATCCGGTGTTCGACTGCGCTAATAAAGTCCAGGGTTCCCTGCATGTTCCCTCGCCGGCTGATGGATAGGCAGTACGAACTGATGACGAACTGTACTGTCGAAGTTTGGATCCCCCGCACATGTGTTACGACATCATGGGAATGCTGTCAGAAATACCTATGTACGCTCCCCTATCAGGATAGCATAGAGGAAGTTTTTCTGTTAGTAAGTTTGTACTTATTCTACGATACTTATTAAAGGTTGTGCTTCCTATGTGATACGTTTCGGGTTCACACGGTTCGGGTAACACCGCAACTGTACGAGCAGCTGGGCATAGTTCCAGCAGTCGAGCGATGGCGCCAGAAGGAAGCAGTGTGGCTGTATAAGATCCGAAACCGCGACAGTTTTGACGTGCCAGCATACATGTGTGACCTTGTTCCATTCAAGGACATTAGCCTGAGGTATGACTTCCGCCGGAAAGAACGTCTGGATATACCTGCGGCAAAGCTACGAATTGGAAAGACAACCCTTGCGATGAGGCTGAAAGATTTGTTTGACAAAGTAGTGGGAAGCGGAAATGAGTTGTTTGGTTGTGGATCTGTTAAGACTTTTCTGTTCTTGTTGAAATCGAAAAATTTCTTGTAGCTCTTAATTTTTTGTTTTGTCCATTGTAGTGACCAGACCAGAAAGTGCCTCGAGGGTTTGTCTGCTCAATGAATAAACTAAACTAAACTAAATAGTTTCTGTGCTTATGTAACATTGCTTTGATAGCTGCTCTCCTACGTTATAATCTTAAGAGGCAAAACTCTTACTAAGACGTTGCCATAATATATATTATGTCTTAGCCGTACGACCTGGGAATGCGATTAATGCGTTCTCTAATAATTACAATTTTTATTCGACACCAGTCAGCTTACAGATCAGATGGGCTAGCACAGGTTTACACTACTTAAAATGATCAGAATTTAAACATTGAAAAAACATCCAAAATCGTTAGTCCCATTAGTGATCTTGGGGCGTGCAGTCAAAATGCGTTCTCTTGATAAAATCCGCCAACTCCGCATGCCGGTCCTGTACCTGCTTTTGAGTTTCTACTCAAATCTGTTGATCCGTCTTAAGTGCTATAATAGCGTAAGACTGTTTTCTTTTTCGACCAGTCCTTCGGGGTTGTCTGCTCTCGTGCCGTAATAATAATAACAATAAAAAATGAAACATAAAAACCAACAGTGACTGCTAAAAATCATGCAAAAATCAACTACAACCAACAACGGCATTTAATCCAATTTCCCAATATTTATCACAATCGACGATAATAACGTTCACCGTGTGCAACGACCCAATAATTGGAAGACGCCACGACCCCACCATCAGCTACATTTACGCCACGACACCGCGTTCTCGCAGTTCCCGCAGCTCCTCCTTCCCCACCCCCGCAATCCGCGTCAACACCGCGTCGGTGTGCTCCCCCAGTCCCGGGGGGCAGCGGCGCACCCGCGGCCGGAACCCGTTCTTTTCCTCCGCCCACCTGACCGGTGCTCCGACCATCCTTACCCGTCCGGCGACGGGGTGCTCGACCTCCTCGACCAAGCGCAGCCACTGCACCTGCGGATCCGCAAAGACCCGCTGGAAGCTGTTGACCGGGCCGTAGGGGAAGGTGGCCGGACGGAGGACGGTCAACCACTCCGCCAGGGTCTTCTGCTGGAAAACACCGGTCAGCAGGCTGATCAGGTGGTCGCGGTGGGCCACGCGGTCCGCGTTGGTGCGGAAAGCCGGTTGGTTGGCGTAGTCCACCTGTTAATAAAGGTCACTGTACTCTGTACAGTACTAGAGCAACTGATGTGAATAACAGCGTGCTTGATTTTGACTTTCAGTCCGTGCATTTTATTTAAGCAGATTTCCATTGGCAGTACGGCATATTAATTTTTTATTTGGAATAACAGGTGTTAGTTTTTTATTTTGGTATTAATTTTTAGTACGATTTTCTTTTCTTTTCCATTTAGCTTTGCCTTTCAGCAAAATTTATTTTTAGTTAAATTCCCTAATAATTATTTTTAAATAATTTTTTATTTTATAATGATTTGATTTCAGTGTCGTTTCGATTGATGTGTTAATTTTCCAATTTTATTTCGACTTTCCTTTTGAAAGTTCTTGATGTCATGTTATTGATTTTCGCCAAGGTTCATTTTTATTCAGTTCTTGGTACAATTTATTTTCATTTTTTTAATCCGTTGTACTCTGCTTTTTTGTACAGTATTTACGGATATTTAATCACATTTCCAATAATGAATGACAAAAAATTGCGTCCACATGTTAAGTGCTTATAACTGGTTATTATAGTGAAGTGGCATTTGAATACAATAATTCAGGGGAAAAATCCTGCTAGAATGGACGAATGTTGTATTCAGTTCAACTAAAAAGTCTTCTTTTTCCATTTCTTGTTTAAAATCACAATCCTTTAAGGAATATTATTGATCTTCATTAAAATCTTCTAAAAATTAAAATCTTTAAAAATCTACTGAAATTTTGATAAAGCCTAAACTGAAGAATACAATAAATTAATTAAAAAATAAATCTCGGATTTATGATAGCTAATCTGAATAAAATGTAATGATGATTTTCAACTGCCGCAAAATCTTGATAAAACTGCGAAGATTAGAGAAAAGTTATAGTAAATTCAGTTAATTAAAAAAATTATTCTTGAAAATTAAATTTTAACGAACTCGGAATAAAAATGCCGTGCCGTGCATTTATTGGTACAACGGCGCGAACTATTTTTTTTAAATTTGATTTTCCGTCAAACTTGTTTTCGATTCGATCTGCAATTTTACTACCACTTATTTTTATTTTTTATTCGATTTTCAATACAGTTTTAATTAATTTCACATTTTATTTTTGCATTTCTCTATAAGCACCTGTAGCAGCTGGCAGAGCGCGGTGAACTGCGCATCCGAGCCGGCACCGACGACGAGATACTCGTCATCTTTGGTGCGGAAGGACTGGTAGGGCACGATGCTCTCGTGGGCGGTGCCCCAGCGCCGCGGCTCCACGCCGGTGTTGAGGTAATTACTGGCCAGGTTGACCAGATTAGCCACCTGTAAAAAAACCGCCCCATTACTAAAATTCCTTTTAATTCCCGGAAAAATGGCGAAAGCTACCTGGGTGGCCAGCAAATTACACTGGATGTACGCGCCTTCCCCGCTGCGATTCCGCCGCAATAATGCCGCCAGAATGGCGCTAGAAAACACGGCAATTAACCGCCGGAACATCGTTCATACTGCCGTCAAAAAAAAAAATAATAAAAAATATTATTATTTTGTAATGATAATTCGGATTCAGAATTCAGATAACACGGTTATTTTAATTTTTTTAATATTTTATTTCTTCGGTTAAAACTGGCGTACCCGTGAGCGTAGAGACCGGTGGAAATATCCGTCATGGCCGTACCGATTTTGCACGGCTCACCCTCCTACCGAACAAATAAGGGTCGACAATTATCCGTAATGTAAATTATTTTTGGAATAATTATACTAAATTTTCCAGTTATAAATGTATAACTTAAAGAGTAAATTTGTTGCACCATTAAACATGTAAAAAACATAGCTAGTCATTTCATTCATTACATGCTAAACTCTTCGTTGCATTAGCCAATGCAGTAACTTCGCCAGAGTTATTCGTGCAAGCTGCGCCACTGTACTACGATATTATACAAAAACATACCATCCAACCAGCGCACAGAGAAGAAGTTAGAAAAAATCCCAAGTAATTACGATTAAATTTTAAAATAATTTCAGTTAATTAATCTCATTCAAATTCAGTTAAAATTATGATAAAATATAAATCAACAAAAGTTAATTGATACGAAGATAATAGTTTAATCCAGAAATGTATTGAATAAGCGAAGAGGCGAATAAAATGACTACCTGCGGACCGGTGATGTGCATCATGCCGCCGATGGCCGACGCGATGACATCGTAGCCGCCGCGATGCCGGTACGGTCCGTCCTCGCCGTAGCCTGTTATTCAATACTCATACAGATCAGTTCATAATTCTTGTCGGCAAAAAAACGGGGGGAAAATGTGCTGACCGGTAATGGAGCAATATATTATCTGGCGATTGGCCTGCTTCAGATCGGAATATCCCAGTCCGTACTTTTCCAACTTTCCCGGGAGGAAGTTGTGCATCAGCACGTCGCACTGGCCGGCCAACTACACAACGCGATTTGCGCATCAATCAAAGCAGGGATTTTTTTGCAATATTTTTAATTTTATTTATGTTTTTAATTTTTTTAAAATTATATCTGTATTGTGTCAGCACCCCGTGGTTAGAAATTAATTCAAGTTTCGCTTTAATTATTTTTTTCCTTTTTACCCGGTGTAACAGCATTAAAAAGAAATGCTTAATGTTTTCAAGAAAAAATACAGGAAAATTTATCGAGAAAAATCCAGTGGATAATTAAGTTTAGGAAACGTCAGGAAAAATTCCGAAGGCTTACCTGGCGAATTAAATGGGATCCTTCCGGTCGGGAAATATCCACGGCCACACTCTACAGTCACTTACCGAACACACCGCCAGTCAGGCAAAAAAACCGAATATTCCAGTAAATTATAATAAAAAAAAATGAAAACAGAACATACCTGCTTGTTGCGATTGACGGCCAGGAAATAGCAGCTGACGCCCTGCACGAACGGCGGTCCCCAACGCCGCGTCTCGTCGCCTTCACCTGTTAAAAACAAAACACTACTGAATTCCAAAATGATAATAATTAAAATTTTAATTATTTTTGATTCGAATTATTTTTATTTTACGTATTAAATGCTTTCTTACATGTTTCGTTATTTAAAAAAAAATAAGGACGCAAACGGATGGCATGCAATCTATAGAAGAAAGCTACAGGAAATACTTTCAAGCATTTTTTCAAATTTCAGGAAGTATTTTCTTATGATTTTATTCGGTGTATTTTTATACGTTTGTATACTTTCGGTTTTTTATGTTTTTATTGATTTTATTTTTTGCGGATTTTTTAGACTGACCTGGCTTTTCAATTTTGATCACTTCGGCGCCCATATCGGCCAGGAGCATGGTGCAGAGCGGTCCGGCAAGAATCCTGAAGAACATCCCAACTGCAGCAAAAACACGAACAGCTGACCGAGCACACGCACCGTGTCAGATCCAAGACGCGAATCCCGTGCAGCGGCGCTGCCGTGTCGCCATCGCAACCGTCCTCCTCCGTCGCGGCATTATCACTACCGGATTGCGTGCACAGACCACGTCCGGTCCTCCATCGCTGGACGGGATGAGGAGCTAAAAATCCGTCAGTCACGCTGGCAATCCGTGAAGCAGAGAACAGAGAAAATCGCGAAAACGCTTTCAACATTCTCGCTGCCTCACTCCGTAATGGCACCGTAAACTGTACAACAGCAGAGTGGGATCGTAAATTCAACCCACGAAAAAATCATATCCATAAAAATAATTATTCTTAGCAGCTAAGTATCATAAAAATCCTAACTCAAAAGAAAGCAAAATAAAGTAGAACGGAAAACTGAAAATCAAACAAATCTTCTGAATTCTTATTGCGGGTGACTCGTGGCGTACCGAGCATGTAGTTTAGGGCCCCACTGAAACTTTCCCCCGTAGACTGTGTGCTGTGCCTACCCATTCAGGGAGGCGGAAACCCCAACTCGGTACGCTTAATACGCCACGCCTACGCACGAGGTAACCATCGCCACGCTACGCCACCACTGCCAAAATTTCATGTTAGAACTTGTTGAAAACTGGAAATTCGCTGATTTTTTAATGGCGCCTATCGAAATCATGGAATCATAAAAAATTATTTCGTTGAAATGCTGGGTTTGCTGTTTCGGATTGCAAGTCCAGTTTCAAAGGCTTTTTTCGGTTGTTATCGATAACAGTTGGTTTGCTGTTTGCGCTGATCTGGATTTGAGCGCCAGTCGAAGGGTTCTCCATGCATCAGCGGACCATTTAATTTTATTTTTCTCAATCAATTTTCCTGTGATCCGCGATGCTGCCGGCCCTCTTCCCCCGCTGCCTCCGGCACTGTCGCTGCCTGCCGCCCGTGGGCGTCCCTCCTTCGCGCCCCCTCCGCGGCGCCGCGGGTCGCCCGGACCCCCTGAAACCGGACGCCAAGGAGGCCCCCCGCGCCATGGAGGGTCCGCGCCTCTCCGACTACACCATCGACGACGTGTGGCAGCGTCCACCCGACAAATTCCCCGCCGAGCCCCCGGCCAAACCCAAACCCCGCACCCTCAAGGGCCGGGTGGACAAGTACGCCTTCCCCGAGTTCCCCCGCCTCTCCGCTGACAGCCTGCGCCACCGCCGGGACCTGGAACGCCACGCCCCTGCCCCTCCACCGCGCCGTCGGGACCCCGGGGAACCCCATCCTTGGGCGCGGGCGGGGATCGACGTGGAGACGGAGGCCGCGGGGTGGCCGCCCCGGAAGCAAGGGGGGTCGGCCGCCCTGGTCCGGGGAGGGGAGCGGGGCGTGTCGGTGTTGGAGCAGATGGAGGAGGAGGAAAAGGAGGAGGTCGGGGGTGCCCCCCTGGAGCCGGGGATGGTGGGGTACCGGGCGCGGGAGACGGCGCTGGAGGCGACGGATTTGTTGCTGGAGCGCATCCAGAAGGAGCGCGATCTGGAGGGGATGCTGCGCGTGGTGGAGCGGCACTACCGCATTATGAACCAGAATCATCTGCGGGCGGTGGTCAGTTTTATTGTCGCCGAGCTGCATGTCAACGGGCTGGATGAGGAACGCCGGTTAGTATTTTAATCAGTACACAGTGTACACTGCCGATTTTTCCGGCTTTTTTTAAAATTAATTTGAGGAATAATTGATTAGATTTATAGGACTATTTCTTCGCATTTTTAATACTGCATCCTTTTAAATCGTATTGTGCCATCTGAAGACGATCAAATCAGAATAATTCTTTTTCATTTTGTTTCCACGAAAAATAAATTTATATATGAATATGATTTGTCTGTTTCGTTAATAACTGGGAAATGTTTCTTAAAATACCGGTGAGTATAAAAAAAATTGTCAAAGCTCTTGCTGACTGCGGCGATGAGTGTTGAAATTATTTCCAAAACTTTCAGTAGTAAACAAAGGCTAGAATTTATTAATGGCTAGTAAAACAAATAGTTTAATGCCAAAAAGTTTAAATACTGTAATTACACTGAAAGAATTTTTGAACACTGGGAGCGACAGATTTAAGAATTCTCGTAAAAGGCCGCGCCTTCGAACGCCACTATACTACGAAAGCTACGCCACTTCCTGCAGCCAGCTGTGTAATGTCTTACTTATTCAGCACTAGCCAATGCAATCATACAGTGCGCGCGCTGGTGGACACTAAGAAAAAATTTTGATTTCAAAAATATATAAGAATAATTTAATTTTAGTTACGTAACAATCAATAGTCAATGAAAACAGTCCAGTGTTTTTTGGTTGCGTTGAGCAGGCAGACGATGCACACCGACCCGCGTTTCCAGATGCTATAGAAAATTATTTCTAAAAAATGCCAGCAATAAAAAAAATAATTTAATGCCAATAAAAAGCATGGAGATTATAAGCTTAGTCTCAAATATTTGAGTAGATAACTGTAGATTTAATGATTTTTTGAACACATGCGAAAACGACAGATTCCGAGGCTGCTACCGCAGCCTACGCTTTCGAACGCCACTCCACTACGAAACGCACCACCTTTGCAGCAGTCAGCTTTCTAGGATATATATTTTATTAGCACTTACAATGATGCCAGTTAAAATATTTTATTTTGAAATATATATAAGAATAATTTAATTTTATTTACGTAACAATCAATAGTCAATGAAAACAGTCCAGTATTTTTTGGTTGCGCACGACAGACAGACGATGCACGCCGACCCGCGTTTCCAGATGCTACTGACGCGACTGCTGCGCAGTCACCGTTTCTTCAACTGTCACGACGTGCTGGAGGTGCTGAAGATGCTCTCGTACGCGCAGGTGCCGGCCAACAGTCGGGTCCAGCAGTTCTACTTGAATTTACTGCGCGGCTACATCAACGAACTGAGCTTCGGGGCGCTGCTCTACACCGGCCAGCTGCTGCAACGCTATCCCGATGATAATAATAAACTCGTCGAAGCCTTGCGCGCTGCCATGCCGGTCAGTGAAAAAATCATAAAGCCTTGATAAGGCAACGCTCAAGATTTATTCAATTATTTTCCGGTGTAATTGTAAACATATAAATGATAATAATTCAAGACTTCCGAATATTTACCGTTTTTTTTTAGTCTTACTGAAATTATTTCTTAATTCCGCTGATTTTTTTTGGAGTCCTCTCATGGTTGGATTTCAGACCTAATTCAAGCAGAATTTTAATTTTTAAGAAGGACATTGGAAAATTGAAGAATCAGGAAGAGCAACGAAAATTTATCGATTTGCCTGGAATTCAATGAATGGAAATAAATGTTATTATTTTCAGTAATTTGGCGTATCTTCTTTTTTATGGGTATTTTTGTTTTTCTTATTATTTTGTATGTGAAGTCATTTAATTTTATTGAATTAAAGTTATATTTTTCCGACATCACGAAATAATTCGGTTCCCTCGGTGAGCTTCGCGGACGTTGCGATACAAAACAAGTTTAAACAACATCAAAATAATTATGTTTATGTACATATTATGTTTATGTTCATATTACAATTTTTGACAGTACTTCAATAGATAAAAATTGAATAATAAAAATACTAAATAATTTATCAAATATTTTCGATAATTAACCGATAAATTACCCTAACAGGTGGCGTTTGAGCTGCGGTTGGCGCGCGAGCTGGACGCCGACAGTATCGCGGAGATCTCGCGGGCGCTGGCCTTCGTGGCCAACTATCGCGGCCACATCCGGCACCGGCAGTGCCTGCCGCTGTACGACGCCCTGGACCGTTGGGTGCGCCACCACGAGACCGATCCCGCGCTGTCGACAGTGCTGCCGCCCCGCGCGGCCGCCGAGCTGTTGATCCGCATGGAACGCGCCGCCTACCTCAGCCATCCCGTCGTCGACATGGTCCTCAAACTCCTCGGCAGGAGCCACGCCCATACGCTCACTTCCGACACGGCGCGTTATCTGCTCAGGAGGTGCGTGTCTGCTTAATGCAGTGGCGTTGTACGTTCACGGCAAAATAAATGAGATATATTTTTTTTTAAAATTAATATAAATCTGATTTTTTAAAAAGTTAAATATGATTTTTCAGAATTAGATATAATGTCATAACATTTTCCTATTAATAAACCTTTAAAAATGTTGATGCGCTCAGTTCAGAGACGACGCGACAGCTGTTTAAAAGGTGCGTCTCTTCGTAGTGCAGTGGCGTTTTGCTAGTTGGGGTTGTGTCGTGTCGTTGGCATGTGACATGTTTACAATTGGCGTGAATAATTAATTCTGGTTTATTTGGTTTTAATTTCCTTTTTTTTGGCCCGTTGTCCCGTTTTTCGTAAAAGTCTTCTGAAATTAACTTCTAGTACTGTCTGAATAATGCTGAAATCGATAATAGTAATATTATTATCGATTTTGATATGAATAAATAACTGCATACAAATTATTTATTCAGTGTTAAACGAAGTTTTATAATAATTAATGACATTTAAATGTAGATATAATAGTTTCTTGCAGGTAGATTTTATTGGATTATTCAAGTGGACATTGGTTAAGCGCAACATTAATAACTTCTTATTTAATAAATACCGAACACTGAAAAGTATTTTCAATTAATTCTGAAATATAATATTACTAAACCGGAAACTTGAAAGTTGTTTTGCGGAGAACTTGGTTGCTTTTTCTAAGAAGAAGTGATAGACCGTGAAATATTTAAGAACATTATCCATTCCATTTCTGGTGTTATTTTCATATTGCATTTACTTTAAATTTTATTTCGACAAATTGTATTTATTTCAGTTTTTATCTCTTTTTCTTCCTTTTTTTGTATTTATTTGACGATGCTAATGTCAGTAATGTCAAATGTGTGTAAATTTATTCTGACAGCTTACAGCGCCGTGCAGATTTCTGATTGTGAAAAAAATTGGCAAAAAAATCATTTTTGCAGTGATTTTTTAACTGTTGTTCTTCTCAATGAATGACTGATCTAATTCTGGATAGTGTGCGGTATTTACGCGGCAAATACCCGGCGGAATTCCATCCCGAGCACCGCATCCACGCCCTGGAGGAGGAGCTGAGCGGGATGCTGCCGGACGTTAGCGTCGGCCTGGACCGGGTCGATTCCGACCTGTTTAAACCGCGGCCGCCCCTCACCGACGCCGCTGCGACGGACACCCAGCCGGCGTGATAGTTTTGATTTGTTGTTGACCTTTTCTGCAGTTGTATGTACTTCATTTATGGCATGAAAAGTTGGAATAAAGAATGAATAAAATTGGGACAAAAAATGCCAGTGGAATTTATTAGCAATACTTGTTGAGACGAGCATCGCTCACGACAGTATATACTTTCTAATGAAAAATTTGTTCCCAGTTAGCACGAGAAGAGAATGCACACAACACACTCGCCGCATTCCCGCACATATTTTTCACATTTGAATGCTGACGCAAAGAAACCCGTGGACCGACTCTCGCTCCTTTCTAACAAAGAATTTCTTACCGATCTCCTCCAATAAAACAACAGCCGCATTGCACCAAGTACTACTTGGTGTACAGTATGTTGTCAGATAGCGTAAGGCTACTGATGGTTTATGGTGGTGAGTGACCTTTACTGACTAACAACTACAGACACGACGCTAACCCAATCGTTCTGCTATCGTTGACCTTTATATAAACTCATTCAGACTAACAGTGCAACAAGATCAAGGACAAGAAGACATTCCAAAGAACACTTTCTAAGACCGGATATTCCAGAGCTGCTAGCCATGCAAGATGACATTAATTCATTAACAAGAAGTTCTTCTCCCTCACGCACTTCAACACTGATTTCTGATCCAAAATATGAAAGATGAGAGAACACGCCTTCTACTCAAAAGCACTCATAGACAAACCATAAGTCAACAATTTATTGATTGTTTTATGAAAGACCAAAGTACACTTATCACAATACTAATTGACTGATACTTTCTGGCCACTTCCTTCCGTTGCAAACCACATCACAGTATGATTGTCCATACATAATGTACTTGTACCAGTCGTACTCGTGACAATGTAAACGTTTCGTACGTATGCGATAGGAACAAAATAAATGAGATTTTTTAGTGTTTAAATTAACCATGAAGTAGTATGCAAGCGCTTGCGATTATTGTTATTTGGGTGGCTATTGGCAAAAAAAATCTTATTCCTGACATGGATTATTTTCGTGGAAGAGCCTGACAAAGCAAAAATTGAATTCGCAGCAGTAACACTACCACGCTACGCCACTTCATCGCATAAGAGATTTACAGTAATATTGGCGACAGAGCAACCGCCGGCGGACGGCAGTGTGCCCAAATAATCAACACGGACGTGATTCACGTGAAGCTGACTGAAGCAGTGATTCACGTGAAGCTGACTGAAGCAGTCAGTAGTCTCAGTACTAAGTAAAGTACTCAATTTTCTTGTGTGCTTTTCAATTTGGCTGCATTTTCTGATTGTGGTTCTCTGTCAGAGGAGTTGTTTCGACTTGTGTTGTGATTGAATTTGATTCGCCACAGCGCAGGGTGACAGTCTAGCATGGGATTTTAAACTTGGCTGTAGAAACTGGAAAGGAAGGTTTGCAGCAAACCAAGCATCTGAAAGAAAGCAAACCGTTCGCAGCTTCTGCAGACGGTTTGCTTTTTTTCAGGTGGTTGTTTTTGGCGCAACCAGGACTTGACCACATCAGCGCTGAGTGTTTATTAGAGTATCTCGATGTGTTGGCGGACTGAGCGCTTGTGAATCTGTACTTAAGTGGAACTGATCGGCTGCGCGATGCTGTCGACGCTGTTCCCCCGCTGCCTGGTCGTCCTGCGCTCCTGTCGGTACCTGCCGCCCCGGGGAGCCATCCCGCAGCGCGCAGCGAGCACCGCGGTGGGCCGGCCCGAGCCCCTGAAAACGGTACCCCGTCACGATGCCGTCAGTCCTAAAGGGACGCACGCCCGCGCCATGGAGGGCCCCCACCTGGCCGACTACGACCTGGACGATGTGTGGCAGTGGCAGCCCGCCAGCCCCAAGTGCGCCCTCCCCGCCAAACCCAACCCCCCGACCAGTACCCCCCAGAACGCCCTCCCCCGCTGTCCCCCGGCGCACCGCTGCCCCCGGCGGGGGACGCTGGCCCCGCGGCCGAAGGCGACCGGGGGCTGCTGCAGCAGATGGAGGAGGAGGCAGCGGCGGCGCCCCTGGACCCGGGGGTGCTGGGAGAGGAGGCGCCGGCCAGCGTGCCGCGGGCCAGGGACCGCCTGCTGCAGCGCATTCACGAGGCGCGTGATTTCGAGGGGATGATGCGCGTGGTGGAGCGGGACGCTGGCGCTATGGCGGCCCATCATCTGATGGCGGTGGTTAATTGTATCGTGGATCAACTGCAAGCCAACGGGGCGCTGGATGAGCAGCTACGGTAAAATAATACATTCTTAGTAATAATATAAATATGTAGATATCAGCAAAATAAAGAAAAATAGTAAGTCATTAGATAAATAAAATAGCAACATTTAATAATGAATTATTAGATGTTAATTAAATAATTAGATAAATAAAATAAAAGGTAATGTAAATTATTAGACAATAAAATAATAAATATAAATAAAATAAAAACTAATATACTACGAAACTTATGACATAAAGTAAAATGATAAATCTGAGAAATTTAAATAATAAATAAACCAAACATTAGCAAAACTACTGGATATTTTTTTATAACGAAATTTAGAGGAATATGTCAAAATTGTTCAATTTATTTCTTTATTTTTTCACCCTTTAAATTTGAATCTTTTTGAATAATATTAATAACTTCTGTGTTTTTATTTACTGTGTTGTTAACGCCTTGCTGAGTATTATTTGTCAGAATGTATATTTCGTAACATCTAAATTCGACTCATTCTATGGATAATAATTTTATTTTTAATAAAAAAAATTTTATCTTTTAAAATTTAACGTCATCTGGATGGTGTGTGGCGGAATTGCAGGGACGCGATGCACGCCGATGGGCGCTTCCGGTTGCTGCTGACGCAGCTGGTCCGCCGTCACCGCCAGCTGAGCGCGAAGGATGTGGTGACGGTAGTGCAGATGCTGCAGTATGCGCGGGTGCCGGACACCAGTCGCGTCCATCTCTTCTTCCTGCAGCGCCTGCACGACGGCCTGGACGAGGTCAGTTTCGGCACGCTGCTCTTCGCTGGCCAGATGCTGCTGCGCTATCCCGCTACCGGCAACACACTCGTCAACGGTCTGCGCGCCGCCATCCCGGTCAGTGAAAGACAACGTAAACATTTCCCAGAAAAATATTTATTGGCTGATATTGACATGCTATGCGGAAGTCGCACCACGACAACCGCACTAGATGACCAAACCTACTCAATCGGTAGAGTGGGAATCGGTAGAGTGGGTGGGTAGAGTGCTCTGGACTCCGTAAGTGGTACTACGGCCTACTTCCGCTAGGTACGAGCGGATTGCTGTGCCTAACGAAAGTAACCGAAACCGAAACACTCGGAAACTTCCCAACTGTTTAATCACCAAACCGAACGAACAAGCAAACAGAACAGAACAGAACGAAAGAAATGAACTTCCTTCTAACCTAGAGTCACACGACCTTTCAGCTAGAAACAAGCTCACAGATTTAGTTGAAGTTAGAAACTTCAGACTGATTCATTCAACCAGAATCATGGATGCAATTAGCGATCAAATGCGTTAGATAAGAACAGCAAATCGTACGTAACGGAACAGACAACACGTACGTCATAGCACGTACGTACGTAATACGCGCAGTCTATGCATAGCGCGTTAACACACACGGTGGTCACGCCAAGTTGGCAGCTTCCCTTCAAAAAATTCCCATGCACGACTGAGTAGAAACTTTAACTTTTTTTTTAACTTGTACGGTATCACCCAATGTATTCCATATCGTTTAGACTCAGGGTACCCAAGATTTGTGCGGGTGATGAACCGCAGGAATAACAGAACTAGAGCAGCCCACGTTGACAGTGCGCTGCAGTGTAGCTACCGTGGCTGCCTTCCCCTTATTCAGAACTCATTGTAAATTCTCATGTATGCCTTAGTCCACCGGGTTCAATTAGGGTGAGTTGCCCATCCAGTTTTCCTTCGGACTGCACTTCACACCATTGACTTCCAGTCGCTCCTGGGTCAGGGCAGCGGAATAGCTGTGGGCGTGGTCAGACTGTAGGACGGTCTCCTTCGCGAGGTCACCGTGCAAGCGTGGGAAGTACTTTTGTAACCATGCTGTGCAGAATACAGTCTAGAAGGAACTGCACGTCAACTTTTGCATCACCGTTGGCAAAATAAGCGCGCGACATTGCAAACTGAGAAATCCCAATGGCCACCTTAACTTTTTTCGGGCAGCGCTGCAAGGGATGTGCTAGGATCGTATAGAAGTTCGGAAAAAATCTGCCGATTGATGGGAATCGAACCCACAACCTCCATACTCTAAGGCCCAGAGAGGCATCACTAGGCTATGGCCTCTGGGCAGAGCATACAAATTGTATCGAAATGTTTTATCAAACGATCCTATAAAGAGCGACTGCCGCAGCGCCGCTCTGACAACGCTTTGTATTGGAGAAACAACGATTTTGCTCCCCGTGGCGTTTTGCGGGTTTGGTCCAGACCGTCCAGCCCTTGAATTTGCAGTTGCTGTTCCCGAAGCTTCCGCTCGATTATCCTCAAACTGGCCTCAATTTCGTGCGCCTAAAGTTGTTCCTGAATTTCTGGGTGAGCTAAGTTCGGTCTCAAACACTGCCATGACTCGTTCAGTCGATGCCTTCGCTTTAGAAAGGGTTTTCGCGGCATCGCAACAGAAAATCGAGTAAAATTGTACCCAGAAAATGCGCAAAAAAACGTTGCATTTGAAATTTAAAAAATATCGACCGTCCTTGCGAAACACAATTCGGCAGAAAACTAAAATGCCGGGCCGCCATCTTGGCATGACCAGGGTGTATTTACTTTAAATGTACTCATCTACTTCCGCTTCCGTAGCATTAAAGAAAAATAGATCAACCATTAAATGAAAGTGGTATGATTCCTGTGATAACAAATCAATACAAACAATAAAAAAAGAAAGGGTTTGTAGTGAAAAATAACATAAAATAAAAATACTGAATATTGAATAAGAAAGAGATAAGAAAGAAATATTGAATAATACTATCTGTGATCAGTCAGATTTAATGGCATTAATCAGCAGATGCACGCTGTAGGGGGCGTTCGAGGGGCGGTTAGCCGGCGAGCTGGACACCGACAGCATTCAGGACATGTCGCGCGCCCTGAGCGTCGTGGCCAACTACCGTGACCACATCCGCCAGCCGGCGTGTCAGCCGCTGTACGACGCCCTTAACCGCTGGGTGCACCACCACGAGACTGATCCCGCGCTGCCGACAGTGCTGCCGCCCCACGCGGCCGCCGAGCTGTTGATCCGCATGGAACGCGCCGCCTATCTCAGCCATCCCGTCGTCGACATGGTCCTCCAGCTCCTCGGCAACAGCCACGCCCGTTCCGTCCGTCCGGAGACGATGCGAAAGTTGTTCCAGAGGTGCGTGTGACATCGTACTTACTGTATCTGGAGTCTCCGTTAACGGAATTTGGCTACCGTAGTTGCAATACAGTGGACTTCAAAATTTTGTTACATTCGATCCGGGACCGAATGACCAATAAAAATAACTGGCCGCGACCAAATGACCAATAAAAAGGGAACGTGCAAGGCTTTGAACACCTGCACCTTGCGCATTCCAAAACCATCAACCGATATACCCAACGAAAGGGAAAAGAATTTTTGAGAATTTCGATACCAGACAGGTCATCCTTTATGAGATCTAAGAGAAAATCGAGCCATTTTTATTTTGTCATAGACAAAGCGTACGATTTCCGTGTGAAAACTGAAATCAAACCGTGGATTCAAATCCTATGCTATGTCTACGAGAAACTTTAGATGACGTGTCGATTTTCTCTTAGATCTCATAAAACACAGCTTGTTTGGTATCAAAATTCTTGAAATTTTTTTCTTATTCGTTTGAGATATCGTTCGATGGTTTCCGTTGGGAAATGCGCAAGATGTCAGCGTTAATGTCAGCAGGCCGATGGCCAGTTCAAAATGTGGCTGTTCAAGTACAGAAAAGTGCCTGCTTGCGCGCGTTTTGTGATTACGTGATTACATAAGTGTAACAAAATTTTGAAGTCCACTGTAATGATATTAATATTAATACGTTCGGCTTTTGACCTGTACGCGTATAGCTTGAGTTCGATTCCCAGAAGAGTAACTTTATACATTTTTTTTGTTTGATTTTAAGAGATGAAAGTTTTCCAAATACCAAAAAGATTTTCCAATAGCCTTAAAGGTCACCCAAACCGAGTTTGGCTACTGTAGTTCGATGATAATCATAATAATTGTAATAAATGCCGCTTTGTGTTAACGTAGGAAACAACGTATGTCTTTTTGCATCACCTTCCCTTATAAATTTACACAAAAAATAGAAACAAAAATGTGTATACCCTATAAATTTTTTGTGAAATATAATTTTTGATAACTGTCGAATGCTGACATCCACGAAACCGCTGTATTGATTAATTACTCTTAATTTTTTCTCATGACTGTTTATCTGTTTTTGACCGGTAGTGTGCGGAATTTACGTCGCAAATACCCGGCGGAATTCCCACCCGCGCACCGCCTCCACGCCCTGGAAACGGAGATGACCGCGAGCCTGCCCGACGCCACCACCGGACGTTAATCGGACTCAGTGTGATTGTTTTTATTTCTCCTTTGTATAGAACGATGTTTCTGCATACTTTGTTATTGCTTCGCGAGAATAAATACACTTTAATACAGAAAATAATATTTAGATAAAGAGTAAATTAATGTGCTAATAAACGGATAGTAAATAAATAAATGAATGTACAAATTAATAAATGAATCCATCGACTGTGAATGCATTGCCTGAATTTAATGTGCATTAATCGAAGTTCAGTAATACTGCGACAGTCCCATGCTACAAGGAAAAAATAACAAGAGAGAATTAATTATTACGAGGAACCAGTTGTGGAAAAACATGACGCGTAAAACATGTGAAAATTATACTAAATTGCCACAAAATACATCCAGTCACCAACGAAGAAAAACAAGTGCATTGTCTCCTAAAAATTGCTAAATGTCTGTGCTGCAAAATACAACCAACCAACAAAACCGTAACCAGTCGCTACCGGAATCCTACGGAGAAAAATGCGGGATATTTCCGAAATAAAAAGCACCTATTCCGCGTTAAAACTGAAGCCGATGAAAGCCGGATGCTGCGGCACAATCTGGGATGGTCCGCGAGGAAAAGGTGCGGGGTTATTTCTTGATTAACAGGGAGGATCACTACTGTACACTAGCTGTAGAAACCTACAAGAAATAATCATATTTAAATTCCAATTAATTCAGAAATATTCATAAAATTTTTTAAATAAAAAAATAAACACCGTTGTCGAATTTTTTCTAAAATAAATGAATAAAAAAGCAAATATATTACCTTAATAAAAAATTGTTCAGCTAATTTAAAAAATAAATTAAAAATTGTTATTTCTAACTAATGCTGTCAATAAAAAATTCTGCAAGAAAATAATACCAAATAAAAAAATAAGCCGGTATGTTTTCTATTAAGAAACCGATGTATTTATTTTATCTACAAATTGACAGCTTTCTTCGTTATTGTAAAACCATCGAAAAGCATAAAATAAAAATATTTCACAGAAAATACTGTGCTTTAAACAATAAGAATAAAACACGTATAAAAAATGGAAATAAATACAATTTACATATTTCTTTTTTTTCTATCTCCGATTTAATTTTTAAATAAAGCTTCTAACAGAAAATAAATCATGAAAAAACCTACAGCTGATGATATTCTCACCTGCAAACACTGCCACCGCCAGCTGTCCATTAATCAATGAAAAATAAAGCAAAAAACAGGGAAAAATCAAGATAAAATTCCAAATCCGAAAATTCCGCCGACTCCGCGTTGTCCAATTTAATCCGCCGTCATTATTCAATAATGCGTCCCATAATGCGCCCCGTACATGCCCTGCTGGGGCGGCGGGGGCCCGTAGGCGTACTCGTACGGGACCTGATAATAATTCGCGGGCGGCCCGTAATTCTGGTAATGATGCGGCGGGGGCGGCGCGTAGCCGTAGCCCTGGGCCACCATCGGGCCGTTGTTGGGGCGACCGCCCCCGGGCGAATAGTAGTCGGGGTAGGCGTTGCGCACGTCGTCCGAGGCGGCGGCGGGGGGCGCCGCGGCCGGGGCGGGGGCGGCGGGGCCCGGGTGGCTGGTTTGGCGCCGCGAATAGCGTTTCGTCGGGGGTGGGGCGGCGGCGGCGGGGGGCGCGGCGGACCGCGGGGGCGGGGCCTCCGGCTGGTTGTACTGGCGTCCGTTGCCGCTGTGGAGAGAAATACGCGGTAAAGAAGAAGTGTTATTTTGAGTACATTAAAATAAATTTTCGATAAATAAATATTTTAAAATTAAAAGTTTTGAATTAATTTCTCAAGAGGCTTCGGTCGCCGTAAAAAAGTACTCAGCATTAAACTGTGCTCAAATCAATTGCCGCTGTACAAATAAATGCGCGGCTTTGAATTTTTCTCCGAGTTCGTTCAAATTAATATTTATGAATAATTTTTTTAATTAACTGAATTTAATCTGTCTCTAATCTTCGAAGTTTTATCAAGATCATGCCGCAGTAAAAAATCAGCATTTTTTTATTATTAACTGTCATAAATCCCAAAATAATTTTTCATTAATTTACTGAATTCTACCAGCTTTATCAAAACTTCAGTAGATTTTCGAAGATATTAATTTTCGGAAGATTTCAATACCGATGAATAACATGTCGAAAGGATAAAGATTTTTAAACAAGAAATGGAAAAAGAATGTTTTTAAAGCAACACGTGAGTACCTACACTTAGCTCAAGATTACGTTACGACTGCTTTTTTAGCTTCCTTGCGCCCCGGTTAAATGCCACTTCACTACAACAGCCCATTATAAACTCTGAACAAGTGGGCCGAATTATTATTGCCATTAATTTTAAATGGCATTAATTAATTAATTTTAATTAGCTTTAATTGCCATTAATTAATTACTGAAAATATCCGTAAATACAGCTTTCAGTAATTAATTGATGGTAATTAACATATCTGTAAATACGGCAACGATTGACGCAGAAAAAAAGTAAACAGAATAGAAGATATAAATTTAAAAAAATTGGAAAAATAAGTCACCGACGCTGCGTAACCGCCGTCTTACCTTTCGGAATGATAGGCCCGCGCCGCGTTAACCCGTCCGCTGTAGGGCTCACGGGCAGCCGCCCGCGCCGGCGGGTATCCCGCGGGAGCGTTGCGGTCGTTGCGGTAGCTGGATTGACGCGCCACCGGCGGCGGCGCTGCGCTGGGTTCCGCTTCCATGCGCGCAGCTGCAGGCTGTCATCCAGAAAACATCGTTATTAATATTAACAAATTAAAATAAACCAACAATTAATTCGTCAGCATCGCTGCTCAACGAAAATAACGAAATAATCATCCCAAAAATTCTACACACCTTCTAAAATAAAAACAATAAACGAAATGCAGCAACGAAACCTAAACGTAAGAAACCGCGAATAAACAATCAATAATATTAACACGAAAAATTATTCTAATAAAAATAATCGCAATACAAAATTATTAAACATAACGAATAAAAACAGCGGCACAGATGATTTACTGAAACGTCATAATTAGTTTCTTTTAATAAAAACGTCATTTTTAAATTATTAATTGCAAGCAACAGAAATTTCAGAAAATAAATTTCAGAAAAATACCATCATAATTATTTTAATAAAAACATCCTCGAGAAAAATGTATTAAAAACATAATCTCTACAATAATCGACGAAAAGGTCAAAAATAAATCGAAATAAAATAAACTAAAAATCGGAAAATCAACTGTTTACCGGTGCGCGTCGCGCGGATGGTCCGGCCGGCGGCCCGGGGGGTCCCCTCCTCGGCGGCGGCCCTCCACCATACCGCCCACCCCGTGGTCCCCGTCCCCGTCCAAAAACACCCGACTCTGGAACAGACTCCCGACGTCCCCGCCGCGCTCATACTCCTCGTACTCATCCTCGTACTCCTCTTCGTAGCGTCCGCGGCGCGGCGGCGGGGGAGGGGGCGCCGCGTACCGCCCGCCGCGGCCGCCCCCGCGCATCCGCTGCGGCGGGGGCGGGGGCCGGCCGTAGGACTCGCGCGCGGCGAAATGGTCCTCGTCGTAGTCCCAGTCCTCCACGTCCTGGTAGCGCGGGGTCACCGGCGCCGATTTCTCGTACGGAGGGTGGGCGGGGCGCCCGCGGCGCGGCGGGCGGTAGGGGGCCTGGGTGGGTTGGCGCCCCGTGGCGGCCGTCGCGGGGGGTTTGCGCTCGTGCGCCGGCATCTCGGCGGAGCGCTCTTTTTTCTTCTCCTCCACGCGCTGGTTCTCTTTTTCCGGTTCGTCTTGGGATTCGGCGGGGACGGGACCTGTGGGAAAGAACACCGTTAGCAATTTAAAATTAATCGTTCACAATTCAAATTAATTCTAATAATTTAATGCAGCCAACTTCTGGATTCAGTTTTATAATAAATTTATGCGAACTTAATTCCACAATACGATTTTAATTTTCCCTGAATTAACTTTTGAAATTTTTGAATTTAATTTTTCGTTGCCGTGGCTTTAACTTGTGAATCAATTTTAAATTTATTGCACTTGCATTAAATTCATTTGTAATTTTTAAAAAATAATTTCCTAATTAATTGTATTGAACTGCCGATTTAACTGAATTTAGTCCTGCTAAATTAAACCGAATTAATCTAGGTTAAAATTTATACTGAATAACTTTAATTTAAAAGTCCGATCAACTTAAAATAAATTAATTAAGAAAAAATCCAAATTATAAAAAATAAAATGGAATATTCCCGCATCCACCCAGCTAAATTAAATAGAGAAAATTCTGAAATTCAATACATTTTCAAAACAATAATTTCCCGCACTCACCCGCATCTTCTTCCGCCTCAACCCGCCTTCCGCCCGGCGCGGCCATCCGTCCGCCGCGGACCCTCCGCACCGGCCCGCCGCGTCGCATCCCGATCCCGCGTCCATACCGTCCACCGCGGCGGGCTCCCCGCATCCCGCGGCGCCCGCCATACCCGCCCCCGCGGGCGGCCGGCTCCTCCGCCGCCGCGTCGGCGCTGTAGAGATCATGCGCCCAGCGGTCGTCCTCCTTCTTCCGCTCCTTCTTCTTCCCCTCCGCGGCCGGCTCGCCCTCCGTCTTCTCCGCCTCCTCCTCGTCGGGGGAGCCCTCCTCCTCCGACGCGGCGGCCTCCGAGACGGCGTCGCGGTCGTCGTGGAGGAAGTAGGCGGTGCCGCGCGGAATGTACTGCGGTTTACGCCGGTCGCGATCATCATCCAGGGACTCTTTTTCTTCCGGTTCTTCCTCGGTGAAGGGGCCTTCTTCTGGTTCGGATTTCTCCTCCTCCGCCCAGTCTTCCACGTCCTCGATACGCGAGAGGATCTCTTCTTCGGCCAGGGAACGCTCCGTGGCGCTGCTCTTCGGCTCTATCAACGAACAACACGAAATTATTCACCGAATCCACTCAATAATTAACTGTTATGAAAAAAGCGAAAAAAAATCTACTGGAGAAATTAATCAGTACGCATCAGCAAAAAGCTGGGAGTAATTTAGCGATTCTAAATCATATTAAATCACCAAATGGAAAGAAAAACGAAAAATAAAATCCAAAATACAATACGAAATAATAAAAAAAATCAATAAATAAAAAATATACTGTAAATAAACTCAATTAAATCACAAAAATAACGAAAATATCAACTCATGGACGAAATCATGAGAAAACTAATCAATAACTTAACTCACAAATATGGAAAACAAATAAACAGATAGAATAAACTAACCAAATAAATGAAAACAGATTAGAGAGCATCACAAAAAATCGATTAAAAAATATAGCAATAAAACCGGAATTAATCCGTAAAATCAACAAATAAAACAAACAAAAAATCCGCAAATAAACTGCGATAAATCTATCATAATTCTCTTAAAACACAATAACGCGCAAAGTTTTTGCCGCACCTTCGAGATGTTGTGGCGGGGAGAGCTGCTGCTGCCCCGGCGCGTTATCCTCCGCCGCCGCGTGTTTATCTTCCTTGCGCGGCGTGGAGGGACTGTCGGCGCGCACCACGGTCGGCGGCACGTCCACGATGACGTCCGGCTTGGCCAGGACGGCGCCGTCCGGCACGTGCGTCGCCACCGGGCTGGCCGCGCGCTCCTCACTCTTCTCCTCCTTCTCCACTGTGCCTGTGTCTTCTACCAATTATTCAAAATATTCATTCCACTCACACACCAGCGACAGCGCGAATAATCAATTTCCAAACGAAAAAATTCAGGATATTTCTATTATCTGCGTCTCCAACGCAGGATAATTATTCCCTCAAGTACAAATCAGGAAAAAAATAGTTCAACAACATAAAAATAGTAAAATAATTACAAAACAAATTTCAAAAGGTTTTTTTTAGGTTTTTTCGCACCCAAATTAACGTACAATAAATCTTCCCTAACTGTCGAATATTTTTGAAACCGAACAAAATCAAACGTTATTCCAAAACTTTGTTCCGATTTTTAAGTAATGTGATTTTAAATAATTCTACCAAATAAAAGCTAAGAAAAATAATCGTTTCTTCAGAAAAGCAAGGCATTTTTTGGCAGGCTGAATTTGTATTTTCCGTTCAAATTCACTTGCTAATCATTTTAGCCCTTTTTAGAAATCGGGGAAAAATAAAAAAAAATCCCAAAATTAACTTTGCTGATGTGAACTGCTGATACTGAAGAGAAACTGAAATAAATTTTGATAGTCTGAAGAGAAACTGCTGAATAAAAATTCAAAAAATAAAATTACAAAATTCAAAAAGAACAGAAAATCCATCATTTTCTCACCTTGCGTCAGCGCTTGTTCCGGGGATTTCCGTCTGTCTTCTTCCGTTTTTCCCTCGGTCTGACTGTCAGCAGGCACGACGACATCCTCCCGAACCTGCGTCGTGGTTTCTGCCCGATGTTCCGTGTCAGCTGCGTCGGGGACCGTCTGCGCCGTTGCAGCAGGCCGCGGCGAACTCCGCTGGTCCGTCTCCGCTTTCTCCATCTCCTGCACCACCGTCTCCGTCGAATCGCTCATCTACACGCACAAAACATCCTCAACAAACGGCTGATTTATGCAAAAAATAATCCCGAATCAGGGAGCACGGGAAAACAGGGATAGGCTGGGATTTTCCCAGAAAAGCGTACTTTTCCGATGATTATTCGCGATCGTCGAGCACGATCTTCCAGACGGGCTGTTTCCAATCCCAATCACGAGACAAAATAGTTTTCCAATTTATTTAAACAATCCACAATGCCTGGGATGAGAATGCGATGAGGGAAGATTTTAACAGATTTTCTCAGTCTGCTTCAAAACGTGAATGAACACGAAATATTCACTCCATCGACAACGCTGATTCCACCACTGCGAAATGATCTTGTTCGGAAGTTTTCCACTAAACTTTAGCGAAATTCAACGAGGCAAAGGTTTTTGCATGAATGTTTTCAAAAAGGAGAAGGCTTTCCAATCGTTTGCAAATTAATCAACGTTATCAATAATCAAACTTTCACTTTTCACGCTGTTGGATTTGTCTGTTTGGCCTTTGCAAATCCGTCCGCCACTGACGAACCGAGACCAGATCACGTGCGCCGCATTACCGTACAGCATTACCTGAGAAAAGAGGGCGCTGCCGACTGGCGCACGCTAACCATGTGCGCTTGACAACATACCGACCGCCCGCGGATAGCAGAGGCGTGGACCGTCCACACGGACATCTTCCGCGCGGTACGCCACCACATTTTTACAGTAAGTACTAACAAGTGAGGCAACGACGATTTCACGCTTTTGGCAGCGTCACTTTTGTGGAAAGAAGCGGCGAATTTTTTGCACACTTGCTTTCGATTTATTGCTCTGAAGTCCAAAACTTTCTGCATTTTTGTTAGAAATTTATTTCCTTCGGCGGTGTCCTCAGACTTGCCACGGAGAATTGTGTCAATGCAATTGGCAAATTGCTCAAGCCAAAGTCGGCGACATCTGATAGGGATGTGCAAAATGCAGTGATTATTGTAGTGAGATGGCGCAGTCTGATCGTCGCTCGTCCCCGTCTGACAGCTGTACCTAGCAAATGAACGATGCGTGATGCATCAGAATGGATGCGAGTAATTAAAAATATTTTTTCCAGTGTGAATTCGCTTAATTCATTACTTTCATTGGAAAATTATGGTTTTAGGTGAATCATTTAGTTATTCTTTATTTTTATTTTACATGTACGCATTATTCACAATTTACTATTTTTGCCCATTTGTTTTCATTATTTTTTACAATTTTATTTTTTGGTAAATTTTATGTACATTTCTCCTTGAAAAATCGTAAAAAAAACTGTTGCATAATTTTCCCACCTTCTCGGTGATTTTGTCGCAGTGCTTTCAGTTTTATTACAACCTTTCCGTTTTTTTTGCAGTCTCAAAGAAAAAGAAGACAACTGATTTTTTTGTCACCCATCAGCAGAAAAATCATCCTGATAAAGCAAGCATGCATTAAATAAAGAAAAAACCCATTCATTAATCAGAAATTATTAATAATATTGTTATTATCCGAATCTGCGAGTAACAGCGCAATTATTGACTGATTTTCGTCCATCACAGTCACAAAAAACCGCAATTTAATCCAGCAGCACAGTGTCCTGTGCGCGACAATACTATCTTCTTCACCGCTGCCATTTTAACCGCTGCCTGCGTTACTGTCCGAAGGCCTTCTTGGCCAGATGGACGCGCATGTGCAGCCGGTTGCGGAAATGGCAGTTCTTGTAGGAATCACCGGCTTTATTCAGCAGCGTCCGTCCTTCCTTCTCCGTCTGCACCAAAAATGAAAAACACACATTTCACTCGCTGCATTTTTTGTAATTCTCGCAAATAAATAAACGCCGATTGATCCTGCTAAATATCTAAAATAACTCTATTAATTTTCATTTTTGTCATTTTTCAACGATTACTGCAAATTCTCAAAACTAGAAAAATTTTCTGTTTTTATCCTGCAGTTTTTTTAAATTTTTTAAATGAATAATTTTTCATTTATAATAAATCTCAAACCAGAACAAATTTTCCATTTTTATTCCGCAGTTTTTACATTTTTTTATGAATAATTTTTCATTTATTAAATTGTGGAAAAAGATCCTATTAACTTCTGACTTCTTGAATCACTGTCTTAAATTATCAAGTCGGCAAAGCCATTAAGTACTGCACATTAATAGCAAATACAATATACACTACAAAAATAAATAATGAAATAAAAATGATAAAATAAAAAATCAGCAAGGAATTTACTATAATTAATTTACTATAATTAATTCTCCAAATGCTTACTGCGGGCGATTTGGAGAGAAGCACGCCGAGCTCGTAGGAGGCGAAGGCCGGCACATGCTCGGCGCCCTTGACGCTGTCGCCCTGCTTGATCGCTTCCCGATAACACTGCCAAGCAATTTAATTCCACAACTAACTGCATAATCAACCAATTATTCCCGCAGCGACTGCGGCAGACGCACCTGTGCGGCACGCGATAAATCCGCAACATTCTGCATTTCCATCAAACGTCCCTCCATTAAATACCGCAGACCCAGGTAGGCCGGCTTGTCAACCCGACTCAAATCTAACCACAGAAGAAAGTCTCTAGAAATTTATAAAATTCGCAAAAAGCCGTGATGTACTGTGAACTAGCTTGATTTTTCCATAATTCCTTAATAACAGAATAAAAAATGCAACGACTTACCACAAGATACACAAAATCCCAGTAGAAAGACATGTGACCATAATTCATAAAAGAAGAATACGGAAGCAAAATAAATACAAGGAGTCAAAAAATATAACATAAACAAATTCAAATGTATTAAATAATTTTGAATAAACGTAGAATAATTTAGATTACACGAGTAAAATTTAAACTAAATGACACACCTATAAGAAAACCAACAAATAAAAAATATTCCCTTCGGCTGAACAAAACTTAGAAATATTTTATGAGGCCGTCGTCACACCGACAGCAGCTGCAAACACAGCATTAACGCCATCACACTACGAAATCATACTAAATACCAGCAATACACACGGCCGCTCAGCGTCATTTTTTAAATCATAAAATCATCGCGTCATCATCAAATCATTTTTTTTTATTAAAAAAGCATCAAAAGTGGGCGAATTATCCCATCGGTTACACAAAATTTAGAATTTTTTTAGGACGCCGTAGCCACTCCGATAGAACAGCATTAACGCCATCGCACTACGAAATCCTCTACTAACTACCAGCAAGACATACGGCACCGTTGTGCGTCTAAATCTTCTTTATTAAAAAAAGCAATAAAAGTGGGCGAATTAACTGTTACCGGCCAATAAGGAATGGACGACCGCGGGCGGGACATACTGCGGACAATTGATAAAATAGCAGATCTCCATGGCCAGCAGGGAGGCGACGGCCGGCAGCTGCGCCGAGGGTTCTTTAGCCAATTGCACGGCGCGCTCCGCTAGGAACATTTCCAGCGGGGCGTTCTTCAGCACGTTCAGCGAGGGAACGCGGGCAATGAGATCGCGGGCTTTCTTCTCCTCCCCCATCATCACATACACAACTACAAATGCAATGCTGTCTTTCATTTCCCTTTAACATTTCCCCTGTGGAATTTTTATTAAATTAATTATCAATATTTTCTTAAAAATTCGTGCACTCTTAACTGCCGAAAATTATGCCATTTTCCATGTCCTTTTTATTAAATTATCAATTCTGTAAAAATAGTTATTGCATAGTCCTTAATTTTTTATCAAAAACGAATATAATTTTGCAAATTGTAATAACAGATACGTCTTATTTTCCCCAAATCGTTTTCTCTAATTTCCCTTAAACATTTTCCGCTAAATTATCTTAAATTAATTATCAATATTTTTTTTAATTAGTTCTGCCCTAACTGCCAAATAATCACGCCATTTTTCCGCGTTGTATTTTTTATTATTGATCAATTTTTTATGAGAAAAACAAGCTCAATATTATTTTCCATAAAATAAATTCCAAAGCAATTTTTGTATTAATTTTCCAAGAAATTAATTTTGTATTAGCTCATAATTAATGTTTATTTTCCTAATAGATTCTGATAAAAAATTGTAAGATGCGACCAACGCACTGCCCAGCATGTATCCATACAGACTCTTGCCCCAGCGGCCTTCCTCGAAGCATCTAAAAACGCAGCAAAAAAATACCCAAATAAATTGAGATAAATCGGAAATAAAATGAAAAATAACTAGAAATAAACGGATAAAAAAATGTCGGAAAAATACGCACTTATTTAAATGTTCCACGGCATAATCCCACTGATGCAGCTGGAAGCGCAGAATTCCTGCAGACGACAAGCATTTTTAATAATTTCTAATTTGCGCTAATTAATTTAAATGCTTTTAATTACAGGGAAAATTTAATCAATTACGCTGTAAAAAAACGGCTCACCGAATTCATGATGCAGGAGCACGTTGAAATCGCGCACATGCTCGGACTGGGCCAGGGCGTTCTCGTAGCCGTTAATGGCGCCGTCGATATCTTTCTGTATTAACATAACGGTCACATTCGCCCGAGTGGGTTCAAAAATAAAAAAAAATTAAAAAATAAAAAACTGAATTATTAAATAAATAAATACCCCGAATCGCTTCAATCGGCAGTCGAAGAAACGGATCAGCGGCGAGGTGCGCAGCTGCGCGTCCAATCCGTCCAGCACGGCACACGCCCGCGCAATACCTAGTAAATAAGAGAAACTCAATAAAATAAAAGCAAAATTATTCGAAATACAGTATTAAACATATAATTCAGTAAATAATCAGAAAAATACTGTCAATAACAATAAACTGACAGTGCGCATCAAATATTAAAGTTGTACGTGGACGGCGGAACCGTCGATGAACGGCAGACCGTGATTCAGTCCTTTTTGAACGCTGCACCGGATATCCGACTTTCGAAACCCGAAGAACTGGAACTGCTGGGTTCTCCTCTGCTGAACGAAGCTGTTTCGGGCGCGTTGATGAGGAAGGTCGGTCAAGCACAAGTGCTTGCCGACCAGCTCGGTATATTGCCTTCACATCAAGCGCTGTTTCTACTTAAAAACTGTTTGTCGCTGCCGAAATTATTGTATCTCCTTAGAACCTCACCCTGCTGGCAGTTCCCGGAAGAATTGAAGAAATTTGATGAAGTCATCCGTGCGAAAACAGAACAGCTGACCAATGTGGCAATGATCAGCTCAGTCTGGACACAAGCCTCGCTACCTACAAAATTTGGAGGCCTGGGACTGGTCTGTGCAGCGGACGTCGCGTTAGCTGCCTATGCCGCATCGGTTCACGGAGCGGCCGACATGGTGTGCTGCATTACGGGCAACGCCTCTATGAAAGAAAGGACCAACCAGCTAACCGAAGTGTGGAGTGGGCGTTATTCCCTGGAACCCCCGCGGATGGAAAGCCGACATCTTCAGTCGGCCTGGACAGCACTGCAACATACCCAGACAGCATCCCGCATGATGGAGAATGCCGACGTATTTACCTCTGCTCGCCTGTTGGCTGCATCCTCACCGGAATCGCGTGCCTGGTTGTCTGCTTTGCCGGTAACAATATTTGGAAATTTACTGGAGGATGCCTACTTACGAATAGCCGTGGCGCGCCGGCTGGGAGCTCCAGTATGTCAGATGCATGTGTGTCGATGCGGCAGCACCGTGGACAGTCTCGGACACCATGGCCTGGTTTGCAAGCTGGCGAAAGGAAGGCTCGGTGTCCACGCCGTTCTGAATGAAGCAACCAAGCGGGCTTTGACTTCGGCAAAAGTGCCTTCCTCACTCGAGCCGGTGGGCTTAGACAGAGGCGACGGAAAGCGGCCGACGAACCTTTCCCGTGGAAGAATGGAAAGCCACTAGTGTGGGATGTTACCGTGGCAGACACTTTTGCCCAAACTTACATCGGCCAGACGTCCAGAGCGCCGGGGAGTGCAGCGGAAATACGGGAAAACCGAAAGTTAGGAAAGTACAGCGGGCTGGCAGATCGCTACGTTGTTCAACCGCTGGCGTTCGAAACTACGGGAACATTCGGACCGCTGACGAAGAAGTTCTTTAAGGATTTGTCGAGAAAGATCTGTGACTGTACAGGCAACCCTCGCTCAGGGAGTTTTGCGTCAGAAAATAGGTATCGAGATTCAGCGAGGAAATGCAGTATCTGTTCTCGGTACTTTTAGTGACATGGTGGAGAAGGAGGATGTGTATTTTGCCTTCAAATTAGCTAGACGGCAATGAATGTCAAGGATTGTTGTTTTTGTTACTTGTGTAATACGCTATGTAATTCAATAAAGCGCGGAAGTAGTAAAAAAAAAAAAAAAAAAATATTAAAAAAGAAATCGTCATTAAATTGCTGTTTTTTATTAACTTAATGTCACTGGCTTTATCCATAAGTAATAATTACCCAGGATTTATCCAGAAAAATTCACAACATTTTATCCATATAAATTTAGCACTAACAACAGTATCAGAAAATCAGCCGTGATTTTTGGCAGCGTTTTGCTGATAATTTAGTACGTAATTTACCTTCTTCCATCTCGTGCTCCTGAACGGAATAGTATGTCTGGATGATCGTGTGGAACCACACCAGGGTCATCCTACCATAAATATTCATTAAACATATTTATTAAATAATAATTTGCATCCTATTAAATACTTAAATAAATCCTACAATATATATTAATTAAAAATGTTTTATTATTTATTCAATAATAATCTTTTTGCATCCTATTAAATACCTGAATAAATTACGCTCGAATGTATTTGATTACACTCGTATATTATTGAAATATGTATTACTGAAATACTGCATAACCGTTCTTCAAATAAACTGGAAACAAACTTGTGGACAGCAATACCATCCATGCTGGCTTTCCCGATCGTAGTACAATGCCACTGTAAGACGATGATGGCAGCCTTTTTGCAAACCTCTCGATAGTCATTTTTTTCGAAAATCGTTTTTTTTCTGTTTCCTATTTCTGTGGTGGAAAAAAATTGATGCAACGCCCAAATAAACTGCTCCGAAAACGAAGAATAACAAGAATAACACTCCACATAGTTTTTCAGAAGATAAAGACAATATACTGATAATAGAATAAAATCAGCAGAATACTTTTAAAAATGCAGTAAATCAACTGCGTGATAGTAAAACACATACAAGAAATTATTCAGGTAAATAAAATGAAAATGCTAAAAACTAAAAAAACCTAAAAACTAGGACAAATCAATCGAAAATGCAAAAAACATGCAAAAATATTCAATTTCAAATTTTTTAAATTGCTATAACAATTCGGCAGTTTTCGGAAGTGCACATCCAGTCCAACAGACATTAAACAAAGTAACGAGACCAAATAAAACAATAATAAAATAGCGCACAAAAAGCTTAATCAGTGTTTTTAACTTACACCAAATGAAAACTCCTACTGCGATTTCCAGAAATTCAATATATCAAATATGATATTGGGGCCTAATAAAAATAAAGTAGAAAATTTTAAATCAAAAATACAGAAAGAATTTTAGTCCTAAAAAATTTTAAAAAATATACAAATTTTATTCTTAATTTTAAAATTTTGAATTACACCTGACAATGTCGAAAATCGCAACAATCCGTGCGGGGTGTCAGTACCTGGCCAGCAGCGCTTTCCAGTCGCTGCTGTACATGCAGTAGGTCAGCGCCTGGATGCCGGTGCGCAGATCCCCTTCAAACCCAAGAAATCGCAGCCATTTCAATAAACTCGGCGGCAGCAGCGACAGCATGAGATGGAAGCAGCCGAACCCGTAGCACACCGCCCCCAGGATCTGCCCCAGCCGGCCGAACTTCACCTCGCCCTCCGTCAACTGCCCCACCTCGCACAACGCGTCCACAAACTCGTCCTCATCGGAATCGTCGTCTTTTTCCACGGAGGCCGACTGCTCGGACAGCGTGCGCTTGTGGCTTTTGTGGGGGCCCTCCGTGGGGGGCGGGGCGCCGCTGGGGTGGGGGTGGTTGGTGGGGAGGTGGTGGAGGAGGGCGGCCACCTGAATGAGGGATTTTTTTAAAAAATTAAAAAAATAATATAAAATTTTTTAAAGAGTAGAAAAGAAATTGGTTTGAAAAAATTTAAAAATACAGTGAATCATGAAATAATGAAGAATATTTTTAAAATACAGAATAAATCAGGAAACGTTAGAAAATATATCAGAAATCTGTTTGAAAAATAAAAATTACGGAATAAATGCAGAAATTTTAAAAATTATGTCTGAATTTTGTCTGAAAAATTGCAGAATAAATCAGGAAATTTCAAAATCATATAAGAAATTTGAAAAACATTTCTAAAGAATTTTTAAAAAGGTTTCATATTTATTTTGTAATTTTTCCAAAAGTAAATACCTGCGAGGGGGTCAACGTGCCGGATTTGCTCTCGGCGTCGATGAGTTTGAGCATGTCGTTATAGGTGGACTGGTAGAGTTTCCACGCTTGACGGATCTGCCAGCCGCCCTTGAAGAGGCCGCCGAAATCGGCGCTCTGTAAGAGGCCCAGGAAGGTGGCGCAGATTTTGGCGTCGGCCAGGATGATGCGTTTCTCCAGCTTGTCCTCCACCGACCGATCCTGCGGGCGGCGGGAGGAAATCATCAATTTCCACACAAATCAAATACTATCAATAATATTTTTCCACATCTTTATTTCTAATTTTTAAAAAATAAAATCGAATGAATATTGCAATATTTGATTTCTGTTTTTGAACTGCGCCGAATCGCCGCCGGTGGACTCCTGCGGACGGCCAGAATAAAATAATCAGGATATCCACAAAAATCAAATGAGTATCAACAATACACAATTGGTTATTTTTCACTTTTTGTTAGTGCTTTTATTTCGAAAAAATCACAATCACTTCCAGAATTTTTTGGCAGCTTATCACACCAAACACATCAGGGATTTCTTTAAAAAAAAATCAACGCTTCTGGTTCTAATAGCTTAACAGTTAGAACTGAAATTTGCACCGAGACCTTCATTGCGATTTCGAATCGCCACTGCACTACATTTGCACTACCATGATGAACATATTACAAAACATCGCAAGTTCGCAACGGCAGCAAACAACTACCGGTGTAAGTCTTAATTAATAAATTAATGAACAAACGAAAATAAATATTAAAATATTCATTTTAGTATTTATTTGCCATTAATATTAACATTAATAATGTCCATATTATTGTTAATATTGACAGTATTTAATAATAAAGATAATTAATGAAATAAATAACAAGTTTTCGGTGACGTTTTCCCCGTGGTAACGATAAACGACAGCAAAACACCCGCGCAGCCGGGACGTACCTTGGAAACGGTGCAGAGCCGTTCCGTCTCCTTCCAGGCGTTGATGGCCTCGGTGATCTTGCTGGCTTCGTAACTGATGAGGGCTTGTGTGAAAATCACGAAGCTGCGGGTGGCCGAGATGCTCAGCTCCGACGCACTGTCCGCGTGCGCCGCACTACAAACAGCCGTAATTAATTCATCATACCGAGTTAAAACTTCCCGGCTTATTAAAAAATGCACTGACAAAAATATTCCATTTTTATTCCTTCTCAGTTCTGTCACACAAGGTATTTTTCCCAGTGACAAAACCACCGAAGTATTCTAAAAAATTCTCATGTTGAAAGGATGCAATTATTCATTAATTCTTATATCTGGAACGAACTACAAGCGGCATTTTTCAGAGCGAATACACTACCGAATAACCCCAAAAAATAAGTACAAAAAAATCTGATATTATTTACTGATTTTTGATTTCTTTATAAATTTATACGGCATTTTTCAAAAGCGAAATAAAACCCCCGGCTCGAAATATCCTAAAAAAAATCCGCATTGCAAAAACATCAATGTATTCATTAATTCTTCCATGCTTTACAAATCTAAGCGGCATTTTTCACGATGAACATAGCTACCGAACCAAGTTATTTAACAAATTCGATTTATTTATTGACTGCGTATTTTTTCGTTTCCGTAATTCGGGATTTACGAGCCGTGCTGAAGTAGCAAAGCCGTGAGTATATTTAACGGGAGTGCATAAACGATGGGCGCGCATGAGAGATATAAAACGGCCTGTGTAAACAAGCCACTTCCGGTGAGCGTGATGGGAATGCCCAAAACGACAGTGTTGACACAACGCGAGATCTACTCACCTGCCGGCCGCGGCGGTGAGGAGTTTGAGGGCCGGCTCGAAGCGCGCCGAGAAGACCAGCCGCATGGCCTGTCCGCACACGCCCCCCTCGCTGTCGGGGGCTGGGGGCGCCGCGACGGCGGCGGCCGGGGCGGGACGCGCGCTCATGGTGCGCGCGGGGAATGCAGCGGGTTAATCCCGGGATCCGTGGAGCGGAAGAGAATTTCCGCGGGGAAAAGGAGGAATTATTTCAGATCAATACGGCGTCTGTCGGGGAAAAATCAACGCATCAGGGGGTACGAATATTTTTATCGCAGGATAAATATTATTCACAAACGGCAAACACTGTTAATTAATGAGAAAAATTGTCCTCGCAATTTATAAAGACTTAATATTATTAATAGCATTTAGTATTTTATCATTATTAATTCAGTTAAAGAATTTATAGTTATTTTTAACACAGGTACTTTTATACTAAATTACGTATCCAATGGGTTACAAAAGATAGCAAATGATCGAAGAGGAATAAACCGAAGATTTACGCTGCGTTAAATTAAAAAAAAAATAAATATAAAATAAATAAACGATAATTCATCCAAAATATTTTATAATGGAATAAGTTTGCAAGAGACAACAGCGACGATAACAAAATTTAATGACGAGAATAATAATTTTAAATTCATGGAAAATTATTAATTATCCATGCCGAAGCGCTTACAGGACCAAAATGCAAACACAAGCCACAAAAGTAACAAAAATATCAGAATATCGGATATCCCAATTAAAAAATCAAATAAAAATTATTAGAATTTATTTCCGTTTAAAATGCAACGGTAACAACGGGAATATGTTGCTAAACAGATAGAGAAATATTTTGAAATTAAGTACAGTGCACCACGACTGCTTACAATCAGTGAATCAACACAAGAAAGAAAACCACAAGTTTGGCCTTGATCTGCCAATCAAGACTTGAACTGGAAAATGTTGAATATTGTTAATCAGGAAAAAAATGGCACGATGCCACATTCGGCTGCGCGATAAGCGGATTGTTTACCTTGTGCATTGTTGGTGGTATCAGGCGTTGATAAGAGTGCAGCAGGGTCCCGTCCGTCGTGTCTGACAGATAGGACATAACACGGATAACGAACTATGCTTTCCTGATGGAAAGAGTCGAAAGACCACGAAAGAACCACGCAACACAGTGCGCGCAGCAGACTGCAAGGAAATCTTCCTGATCACAGATAAACTCGTTTAATCTCACAGCAGCGATGTATCGCCACCATAATCCACCTCACAAATTACACAATCAAGTGTCCCATCAAACGAAAGCGATGCCAGAAGGGATTGACGCAGGTAAAAACTATCAAGCGATCGATTTTTTATCCCCGCTGAAAAATGCACAGCGAAACGATAGGAAAAACCGTCAACTGCACAAATGGCCAGCGCTGATAAATTATTGCACCTGTCACCTGCAGGTGTTTGCCCGCATCACTGACGCAGCACGTGCAAACCACACCCACTGGCTGCGTTCACGTCGAATCAGGAAAATTCTTGACAAACAGGTTGCGCGGAACACGACCCCTGAAAGTAGCTCGCCACGCCACACCACCGCTTCCGCAGTTGCCGTTTCCACTCAGAACTTTCGCTTTTCGATGTCCGAATTTCGAATTTTCCGAATTTCTCCGACGTAATTTTCGCAGATAAATTTTCTAGGTGTTATTGCGTCCGTCAAAAAGTCTGACGATGGTCAACAAATAGTCTGCAATCATCACTGACGCAGTTCTGTCATTACAGAATTTTCGTTGAGCGGTTAACGCCCCTGACAGATAGCTCGAGACGCCACACCACCGCTTTCGCAATTGCCGTTTCCACTCAACTTTCCAGTCCGGATTTCACTTTTTCAGAAGTTCGTTTTCTGCATTTTCCGAATTCTTTAACAAAGTTTCATCCAGAATTATTTTATCATGATATATTTGTGATTTATGGGAAGATGGACAATCTGGGAAACTTATCCGCGCATCTGTACATCGGCTGCGACACCGGACTACTCAAAGGTGCGCTTTGCAATATGCGCGTGCAATGGCGAAACGCGTTTAAACACGTTTTGAGTCCGTCACAGTTTATCGCGATTCTTCCGCAATAAACCACGGAATTCGCATCTCTTGCATAGGAAATGATGGGAAATTATTTTTTCTTCAGGAATCCGGCTTCCAGCGGGTTCCATCGCCAACACCGCCACGGACAGTGCTTCCGAAAGTTTGGTGAATAAGGACCGTGCCGTGGACGTGCTGTTCGCGGAGAACGCTTCCGACGCGCCGCATTCCCTCCACAGCCATAAAGTAATCATTTATTTGCGTGGTTTAGCAGCGGATAATGATGACGGTGTGTGGGATTGTGTAGTTGCGGTTATGCCTGAAGAATCGCGATATTGTCTGTCTGAACGTGGCGGACGCGGAGGAGCCCTTCGCGCGACTCAGTGTCGACGGCGGCGAGGGACGCTTCGTGGGCGGCGGGATGGTCGAACGGTGAGAAAAGCTGTTTTTAATTTTTCCTATAATTTACTGGATTTTTTGCGAATTTTTTTGGGGCATTGTGGAATTTTTCTAGAATTATGGCGGTACTATTTCCGTTTTCTTTATCAACTGGTATTTTCAAGTTTTATTAAATGTTTTAATTTTTCCATACTTTGACGTTTATTTGTTGCTAGATCAAATTTGATGCATACTTTTAGAATTTTTTAAAGAGTGTACTAATTGTGATTTTTGACTGAGTTTTTTTTAAGCTGTGACGTGCTGCTTGGAAGTTCTTGTAATTTCATTGGGCTGTTTTTGCGGAAATTTAGTCGAGGACATTTCCTCTAGATACTGGCGTCTACAGTGTACATTTTTCCGTGATTAATTTTAATTTGCAATCGTAGAATAATCGCCATTAATTTTGTTGTATTTAAATCGAAAATGCAAGCGACAGTCTTTTGTAAGTTTTTTATCGTTTTTAGGAACACTGTTACCGCCGTGGAATCCGGGCATATTTTCGTCAACGAAGGCATGCAGAGGAGCAAAGTACGTAATAATTGTTATTCGTTGTTTCACCTGATTTTATTTTAATTTATTTTCCGAATAAATGTTGTTTGATTTCCAAATAAATGTTGCTTGCAGAATGTAGCATCGGCCGGCGTTGGCCTGGCTCGTTTCATCCAAGGCCGGAATAATCCAAAGTATTTCGCCAGTGGCGGCCGGGAGAACCACCTCAAATTGTGGGATTTATCCGCACCTGCCTCTCCAGTATTCACTGCCAAAAATGTAAATTAACATACTCGTATTAATTTTAAAAAAATTGCCATTTTTATTAGACAAATTTTTAATTTTGCCCTTTATTTATTTTCTGTACTCTAAGTTTCAACGGCAGGCGTTTCCTGGTCTTAATTTTTTTATTGGAATCAGCTTTTTCTTAGGTTGCCCATACAGACAGAAAAATGAGTATTATAAAACTTCTTTTTCGTTATTTCGCTGTTTCTGTTTTTTTTCTGTTATTGTTCTTCTGTTATGGTAGACCGATTTGTTCCGCTGTGTTTTATTACTTACATTTAGGGAACGTTTGAATCCATTTTATACTGTATTATACAATTAAAAATAAATTACCACTACTTAAACTGCGCTGTTTTTTTTTATGTGGCTGATTTATGTATTCTCGATTGCATTGTTATTGCCTTAGACAACGGCCCATGTGCTACAATCTTCCCAGGTTGACAGTAATTATTTTTTTGTACCTTGTTTTAACATTTATGGAAATAAATACCAGGCTGTAATACCAGTCTACCAGACCATGTGGCTGTAAGCCTGTAATTAAATTTTTTGGAAATGTGTTTTAAAATATCCGGAAATAACAGATAATTTAATTAATTACTTCCTCAATCATCCATGTAAAATTTTTGTAATTTTTTAAACTTTATGAAAATAAATAAGAGATTGAATTAATTACTCCTTGAATTGTCCGTGTAGCTGCCGGACGATAAACTCCGCCTGACCGTTCCCACCTTTATCCGCGCGCTGTCCTTCCGCCCCTCCTCCGACGACCGCATCATTCTAACCGCCACCGGCTACCACCAGGTGCAGCTGTACGACACCCGCGTCCAACGCCGCCCCCTGCGTTCCTTCACGTACGGCGAGGACCCCCTGACCAGTCTGGACGTCAGTCCCCACAATCCCGACGCCATCCTGCTGGCCAACCGGCTGGGCAAGGTGGCGCTCTTCGACTGGCGCGGGACGAAAGCGCTGCCGGTGCGCGCCTTCACCGGCAGCCAGGGCAGCGTCAAGCAGGCGCTCTTCCATCCCCGGGAGGCGGGGGTCTTCGGGGTCATCGGGATGGATCGGTATCTGCGGGTGTATCGCCAGGAACAGAAGGCGCCCGTGAAAGAGGTCAGTGGCGGAGGAAGTTGGGGATTTTTTGTGTGGTGTATTTGGTGTTTTCGTCGTGGACGATTCTTGAAGATTTTTGTACAGCTTGTTTTTTATTGGATTTTTCGGATTATTATTATTGCTGTATTTTCAGATTAAATTGAAATAATAATCTGTTTAATTTAAAAATTATTTTTATTATTTTCAGTATTGAATTGCACTTTGCGTTTTATTATGGATTTCTTGGATTACTCCTTTCGTTGAGTTTTAAAATCAAATTAATATTCAGTTTGAAATTGTTAAGTGATTTTAATTATTTCTAATAAATTGTGCTTTTTATGTTATTGTGGATTTTTGAGTTATTTTTCGGATTACTGTTAATTAATATTGCTCAGTTTTGAAATTAGTCTTCGGTTTTTTAATTTATTCTTAATCATTAGTAATGATTACATGTTAGACTCGGCTTTGCATGTGCATTTCCCGCTGCAATGCAAAATGTGGAAAGTGTATGCAATGTAGTGTTGTGGCTACATTTAAGGGTGCGAAGTAGCAACGAACAAACATGCGAAGAGCGCAGCGGTACGCTGGGTTGGGGATATTTTGAACGTTATGTGCAATTTTTTTTGTCGGATTACTGTTTTTGCTAGATTTTAAAATTAAATTAATATTCAGGTTTAATTTGTCGACTTATTTTTATTATTATCATTAAACTGCGTTTTGCATTTTTCGACTGATATTTTCGGATTATTGCTTCGACTGAATTTCAGAATACAATAATATTCAGTTTGATTATCACGTTATTCTTATTATTACTGTACTGTTAAGCTAGCTTGTATTTTTTGATGGATTTTTCGGAGTATTAACAATTTTATTCAGTTTTAAAATCAAATTGATTTAGTATCCACTTTAATTTGTTAAATTATTCTGTTGTTTTAATTTGTAAATTGTTTTTCGCACCGATGTTTGACGTTACAGTGCTGGATGTTACTGCGTGAGACGTGGTGTAGTGGCCGATATGTTGGTAGAAATTTCTGACGGCCAGAAACACATCCATATCTATTCGATTTAGTTCTCTCATTAGAATTTTTTTGCCGTTTTCTTCCGGTACGAAATTGCGGCAGTATTGATCTTTGATGTACGAATATTGAGTAGGTGTATTTGAAATCTCAGCCGCTGTGCTTATTGTGGACGGATGAAGTGGTGAAAAGCTGGAACAGTGATGACGAACCGACGGATTCCGTGGATGAACAAGTGGCCGATACGAAGCGGAAAATCAGCGAGCCCGACGAAGATGATGGTGTGTGGAACACGATGCAGACCGTGGACGACCAGAAGCGCCCCGTCACCACCAAGATTACGCGACAAAAACCCAGGAAAAAAAGTAAACTGAAAGATTGAAAGAAAACTGTCTTTTTTAATTTGTTTGGATATTTTTATCAGCTATCGTCATACAGTTCGCAGTGATTTTTGTGCGAGACAGTTCTGAACGGAATTAAAAGACCAGACTGTTTGATTTAATTTGAGCCATGTGAGGTAGGCTGGCCGCTGGTGTGCGATATGGCAACCGAAGCAGGCGTGATAAAGACCTTTGCGCTGTGACATGCTGAGCCCTTGTTGTGCCCGTTCAATCATGGCAGTGCCAAAATTCCCTTTCCGCTGTACCTTTCTGAACTGCTCATTCCACTTCAGGTGATATTATAAGATACCGTACACATTTCGCTATGCCAGTAACCGACCCGTTTTTGACAACTTCCGGATCCGGTTCTGTATTTCGGTCAGAACATAACAACATGTACATCGCTTGGCATTTCTTTGGGTTAATCTGCAACAAATTTTCTTCCAGTGCTTGGCCGACGCGCACTAGTCCACTGTTCAGTTTCGCCGCCGCACTGTTTTTCGTTCGTCCAGTTGCATGAGCGATTGTGTCATCTGCAAAGCAGCCGACAATAATTTTAACATTCCGTGTGCTGGTTTGTCTCCTGCTTTGAAAACCGTTTCCTGTGTATTTCTCGCTGCTGTTGTGCAAGCCTGGTGCAGGACCTGTATAGTCGTCTGCTATCGTAGTGCTGTGGCTTAGTATACCGCAACACAAAGTTGCGTTTATAATGTTCAACGGAACGTAATCGTAGTACCGAACGATCTGTCGGGCTACTCAATTGGTCAACGGAAGAGAGCGGTAATATCAGTGGTACACGTGCAACCAGGAACTTGCACACGCGGTTATCGATAGTCTATCTGAACGTTAACGGATTAAAAAGAACGTTCGCTTTGTTCGAAAACGACTTCAGTGAATTCATCAAAAAACACGATGTGGTTGTACTTGTTGAAACACATCTAAAAAACAAACACGAAATAAAGCAAGTATCCGGCTATCAGACGGTGTCCAAAGTGCGAACGAATTTTGCCGGGGGAGGAATCGCAGTGTATGTTAAAAGTGAATTCAAGTCCTGTACTGTCTACGAGCAAGAATCTTATGGTGATATTTTAGCGGTAAAAATAAATGTTTCTGCAAACGCAAACGTTGTCGTGGTCTGTGTTTACTTGCCGCCGCTCAATTCGGTTGTCAACGTTGATGACAATGAAAGTTTTGAAAAACTTACGGAAATAGTTCAGCGCGCAAGGGCTGAAAGTTACGTACTGTTATGCGGTGACTTTAATGCACGTATAGCAAATCTAAAGCCAAAGCTTTGGAAAGCGGATGTAAACCGGGAAAATGAATCAGGAAGTATCGAATACGTCAATTTACAGAACGTGGATACACAGGCTACTCGACCGACAGCTCGAGGTAGAAAACTTGTTGAATTTTGCAGTGTAAACGGTATGACACCGCTTAATGGGTTGCAGTACTTTGAAAAATCATTTCCATCAAAATTTACTTGCATACATTATAACGGTCACTCAGTCGTCGACTATTTGATAGTTTATCAACAGAGCGTGGAAAAGATTTTGGAGTTCGACATCTTAGAAAATCTTGATTTTTCAGATCATTTACCGCTCAGAATATTGTTAAACATGGACATCGCGAGGTCAATCAAAAACACCAAGAAGAAGGAAAGTGATATGCACCCGTTTTTAACGATGAACATTGAAAGTGTATTATGCTTTTTTATTCAGTGGTAATAACTTCCAGCACAACAATTATGGCGATATATCCTTGTTTAACAGCGTTGTCGAATATGTGCGGGCGAACATTCGGAAACAGAAAATACCTTTCGATCCCTTTACACCAGAACTCCAGGTATTACAGAACGAAATTCTTGAGCTTAAGAACGTCAAAATACAGTGCTGGAAAATTATGACTGCAAATAACACTGAAGAAACACGTGAGGTTTTTTGGTCGGCCAGGAAGAAGTTCCGAAAAAAAGTTTTGCAATACAACAGCATTTACGAGCGGATATATTGGGAAAAAGTGAAACATTTACAGCGCGAGAACCCAAAAATGTTTTGGAAAATGTTAAGCTTCAGGAAAAATGAAGACAGTTGTACTTCCGTTGTTCCTATCAGCTTGAATGACCTATACGAGTATTTTAAACAAAAGGCTTCCTATGATTCTGCGGTAAGTAAAACACCACATATTAACCTTTCACCTTCGATACCAGTCCTCGATTCTGAAATAACTGTGAACGAAATCCAACGAGTAGTCGCAAAAGTAGCCGCTACAAGCAGCAGCGGCTCATTTCCGTTGTGCACTGAAATTTTCAAAAAATGTGTAAAAATCAGCAGTTTTTGCAAATCCTAGCAAATACGTTTAATCACGTATTTGAATCTGGCATTATTCCACAAGAATGGTTGAACGGCACACTTACACCGGTACCGAAACCAGGAAAAGCCCACAGTCCAGAAAATTGTCGTCCGGTAGTTGTCGAACCACTGCCCATGCGTTTGCTGTCATCAATCTTGGCGAAGCGAATCGAACTGTGGGCGCACATCGAAGATGACCAGGGTGGGTTTCGAGAAGGCAGGAACACTTTTGACCAAATATACATACTGCACATCATCTGCGAAAAATACGCTTTTCGTAAAAAGCCGATTTTTCTTGCTTTTATCGATTTTTCTAGTGCGTTTGACACAGTTTGTCACCAGAAGTTATGGGAACGTTTGACTGAGTTAGGAATTTCGTTAAAAATGTTAAGATTTTGAAAAACATGTATGGAGCGGCAAAAAACTGCGTAAAATGGAACAAAGAATCGTCAGGATCTTTCCCGTTAGAAAAGGGTGTTAGGCAGGGCGATCCGTCATCAGGAATGTTGTTCGATCTATACGTTGACCCTTTAACAAAATATGTAAGAGAAGGGCGTGTAACAGATATTGCACTGGGAGATCTCCCTGTGTACCTCCTGAAGTTTGCCGATGATATCGTATTGATAAGCGAAAACGAAGAGGAACTGTTGATTTCGGTAGATCGATTAAGTCAGTTTGCACAAGAACACGAGCTGATAATTAACTACGCCAAATCGTTTTGTATGGTGGCGAAAGGTGCTATTCGAAGACAAATTTCCTGCCACATTGAAATCGATGGTCGAAAATTAGAACAGGTTCCAGAATTTCGGTATCTAGGTTTCGTGTTAAACGAACAATGCGATCTTAAGAAGTCTGCTAAGCATTTAACAGAGCGGGTAAAAATGGGATACAACATGGCAATACAGAAAGTATCAGGGATAAAAACCGGGTTCACATGGAAGACTGCACAAATAATTTTCGAAGCAGTCGTGGGAAGCGTGCTAACCTATGGCTCGGAATTATGCGGAAAAAACAGCGAAATTGACAAAGTGCAGATCAACTTTGCCAAGCGAATTTTCAGTCTCAGAAGCACTACGAACACCGATGCAATTTTGTACCTTTTGAATCTGCTACCACTCAGTCTCAGACAAGTACGTCAGCAGATGCGGTTTTCGAAAAGCTCAGTCGCGCAAACTCAGGGACGTTTCTACGAGCGGCTTTTGAGGAAAGCATTTTGGTTGGCAAAAGCAGAAAGAGATGCTGGATAAAAAATGCGCTTAGGGAATTACCGGAAGAAATCGAAATTAACCTAACAAACACGGTCCAAGATATTCGTAATCAGCTGGCACAGCTGAATTCAGTTGACATAATGACGAGACTCGAGAAAACATTCCGGGCGAATCTATTTAAGTCGGTACAGGATAATGCTGCCAGGAGCAGCAGGTTGCATTTTTTATTTCAGTGTCTACCGGTAAGCGGAGAAGTGGACTTGTTGAAAACGATGCCTGTGATAATAAGCGGAAACTGGGTAAAAATGTTGACTTCCGGTCACTATCTGGCTGTGGAAACAGGAAGATGGAACGGTTTGTCACGAGAGGAGCGGATATGTAACTTCTGTGAGGTCGTGGAAGACGAGTATCATGCACTGAATGAATGTCCGGGATACTTTCCACACAGGGAGAAACTAAAAGAGCGACTAGCTTTCCATGACCTTTCAATACCGGATGGCGAGCTAGTGGAAACAATGCAGAACTTACTACGAAAAAAGGACACGCCGACGGAGCACGATAAAACGCTGTTCTTTTGTTTAAGCAATTTTTTTAACCAGATCTTGAAAGATAGCCGCAAAGTATTTTGCGGCGAATTGTTACTGCTGCCTGTGTAAAGCTTTCTGCAACTAAAATGCAGTTGAATCCATAAACTCACCTTCCTTTTGTTTTACGTACATCATGTTTTACATCGCCTTTTGTTTTACGTTTTACATTGTTAACTTGTTATGTTTGATACTATTTTCTTGACATCATCGATGTTTGTTCTGCAAAAGCTATAATTTTACACCTAATCATACGGCACAACGCATGGTGTGCCCCTGCCAGAAGAAATCTGGGGGAATAAAGTTGTCTTGTCTTGTCTTGTACACCATAATATCAAATCATGCCAGGCATGAGAATTTAGTTGAATTTTGCGGTATTCTTTTTTGCATCAGTTGCATAATTCTAGTTAAATTTAATTGTAAAAATTCTCGTTGAAATTTAATACAAAAAAATTAATAATAAAAATAATTCGATTTATTTTTAACAAAGTTAATTCCATTATAATTTAATTTTTGAATCCAGAATTGCCCGGTTTAAATTTAAGTTTTTTTTTTAAATTAATTCCCGTATAATCAAATTTTTCCAAAATAATCCGGTTTAAAACTCGTTTTATTCTATTTGTTTTTAAATTTAAATTCCGATATAATTTAATTTTTAAATTCAAAATGATCCTATTAAAATCTAGTTTAAATGTGTTTTTTTTTAAATTTAATTGCGGAATCATCTGACTTTCGATTGTGGATAAGAGCTTGACGTATCGCATGTAAAACTGCGATTTTTCATGCTGTTAAGTGTTAACCAACAGCGAATGGTGGCAGTGTTATCGCCGTACGCCGCGGTAGCATCGATATGGGTTACACATTTTCAGCCGGCATTTTTAACGGCAGTGCAGTGTTGACCATTATCTTTATGGGTTTGATTATCGCCGTGAACCCTGTTGACTTTTCCCCGTGCCACAGTCAACACGCTGAACGAGATTTAACACAATTTACTCACTGGCTCAAATCAAAACCACTCACCTGGATTTAATCTGAATTTTCTGGTTCGCGGAATATTGCGCAAAAACACTGCATTTTTTCCCTTCCAAATTAATCATTTTTTCAAAAATCATGGATTAATCACATGAACCGGTGACTGATGCGCCCAATAAACCCGGTCATGCCGGCGACATTCCGGTGTTTTTATGCGCCATAAATCCGCGACATAAACCTGCGAAAATGCGTCGCGATGCGAGAAATGACAGTCAGATCTTATACGCGGAAGTGCCGACGGCATTCGCCCACGCCGACGGTATGGAAGTGCAGGTGGCCCATTCCATTCGCCGACGTCCTAAGAAGACCGGGCAGCGTGTCTGCACCGTCTTATCCGGCGTCCTGGTCAGTCTCCTGGTGTTGGGGGGCATCGCCGCCGTCGTCTGGTGGGTGTGTTTCCGCGAGGGCGCCCCGGTCAGTCGGCAGCCGGAGTTCCTCGGGCACCTGGTCGTCTACCCGACGGAGCTGACCGGGAGCGTGTTTAGCGCCGGGAATGGCTCGCGGGTGCTGGCGGAGTGGACGCTGGGCCGCGGCGGAGCGTCAGGGATGGTGTTCAGTCGCGAGTGCAGTCTGGGCAAGGAGCAGGGGAATGCGACGTAAGTCTATACGGCTGATTTAATTTTTTACGCATTTTATTGATCATTATTTTGCATGTAATAGTAATATAATACGTATCGCTGGCGTTGTAATTTATTTTATATTTTTGTATTTATATTGTATTTGTTTTGTTGTTTTTTTTAATTATTGTATTTTAATCAGTATTTATTTTAATTGGTGGTTTCTTCGTTGTATTTGTATTATTTTGTGGTGATTTTACGGTTTCTGTATGGTTATTTTTGGGTTGGTTAATTATGGGTTATTTTTTGTACCGTTTTTATATTGTTTTTTTACTTTTATTTGGGAATAATTTTTCAAGTATCTTTCTGGACAGTACTTATTGGCTGCATTTATCATTCAGTTTTCTATTGACTGCATTCATCATTAGTAGGCATTTTTCGCACACCCTCCGCTTATCAATTTATTTACAGTAATCTTGTTCTTCTCCTGTTGTTGAAAACCGTTTCTTACAGACTTGCAGTACGACTGTACGAGTAATTCGCAATGCTGTGTATTAATCGCTGCTGTTCTGTCATGTGGTACAGTACATGTTAAATTACCTGATATCGTAGTTCTGTGGCTTAGTGCCGGCTGTCCATGCAGGAGTAATAATGTTTTGCACACCATGCCAAGTCATGCCCGGCGTGATTTTGTAGTTGGACTTTGTGGTTGTTCTTTTTGTTCCAATTGCAAGTGCCATAGTTCTGAATAAAGTACAGTATCTAGCAAAGTTAGCATACTAGAATGTCCTAATAAAATGCAACCAAGAAAACAAAGTACTTAAAATGAAAACGTATCCGTCAGATGAAATACTACCGCAGAAAATAATTAAATGAAATAGCTTAACAATAAAATGTGAGGTAAAATACGCCACAATTAATAAAATACATCAGTCGCTAAATGGACTAAAAACAGACCAGATTAAAATGAAATAACATTTGGCATATTCGATAACGATAAAGGTACTACTGATTTATCCACCGCCGATTCCAGAACAAAAAAAGCCAAATTATAGCAAAATAAAATGATGTGAGAAATAATATTTAATAAAACTGAATATTTAATAAAATTTTATTAATTATGAAAATATATATTTAATAAAACTGAATATTTTCTCTAACAACCCTTCAGCTTGAATAGAAAACTGTTGCTTATTACAGCCGACCTGGCCTCCTGAACGACGAGCGCTTCCGGTACATCTGCCTGGAATACTCCCGCTCCCGTTCCACCCTCGCTGCCCCTTCCCACCGCCTCCTCATCCAAAAATCCAATCTCTCGGCCGACGCCGCCTGCTACGACATCCACTGGGACGCCCTGACCCCCTCCACGACCTCGGAGACCCTCCAGGACTGCCTCTTCCCCTCTCCCGCCACCCCGGGGATCCTGGGCCCCGCCCGCCTCCCGGAGGGGGACACCCTGACCCTCCCGTACTGGATCCTGGCGACCGGGGTCATCCTGGTGGGGCGGGACGAGGACGACGGGGTCCCGGGATCCCTGGAGGCCGCCGTCAACGCCTCGGGGGTGTGTGTGGGCGGGGCGGGACCGCGGCGGTGGTATACGTTGTGTGTGGGACGCCCGGAGGAGGATGTGGTGGCGCTACATCGGGTGGTGCTGCCGCGGGTGCAGGTGGGTGGCGGTGACCTTTGGAGGTGGTCGGCGCGGTGTTAGAGGTGGTGATTTTTTGTGTTTAGGCGCTGTATGAGCATGATTTTGATAGTGGAGTGAAAGGTCAGTTGGATGAGAGTGTTATTCGGCGACCTATCTGGAACACCATGTCCGTGGTACGCCCAACATAGTATATATTTTTTTAAAGTTTATTCCAACTCTAAAACAAAAATTTAGACAATTTATTTCAGAGTCGATTGCGCAAATTTTGTTTATTTTACGCAATTTGTTCGGATTTATTTACAGAAAAATTCGTTTTGACATAGATGATTCGTTGAGATTTATCTGAACATTTTACTTTTATTTTATTAATTTATTCGGAATTATATAATTACGAAAGGCGCATTTTATTCAAGAATGGTTTACCTAAGAAAATTCATTTATTTTTGATACCTTATTCGGTTCTTTTTTTTCTTACTTAGAAAACGTTTTGAGTAATTTATTGATATTTAATTAACAAATGTAAAGTAGTACTTAAAGGACAGTATTGTGCTTCAAATTTCTAAAATGTTCTACTTCACATCAGAAATTAAATTAAGAAACATTTTCTGAAATAATTTATTCGGATTTAATTATGCACCAAAAATTCGGATTTTTTTTTTTTTATCCAGGAATATTCCTCTTTATTTTGACAGATGTTGATTTAATTTTCTTCGTTCTCGTGGTTTGTTACTGCTGCGAATATCTCAGACCCGGGAATGTATTTCGACAATTTTTATTTCATTCTGGTTTAATTCAGCAATTTAGTTTTGATTTATTAAAAAAATGGATTTATTTTAAATTTTTTCGTTACATTATTGCAGGGCGGCGACGCCAGCGCCCAGCTGGACGCCGGCCTCATCGCCGACCTGGCGCGCCTCCTCACCGTCGACCTGCAACTCCCGGTGTCGCAACTGCTCGTCGACCCCCGCTGGGAGGGCGTCCTGGCCCTCGGGGAGGACACCCTGGACCCGGTGACCTTTCCCGTCCCGCCGGCGCTGTACTTGGAGCTCCAGGCGCTGAATATCAGTCTACAATTATCACTCCATCCCTTTATTACCTCCAACTCGGCGCTGTTCGCCAACCTGTCCAACAGCGGCCTGCTGGTGGGGGACCGGCGGCAGTATAAGGTCACGGACGCCTGGTACTGGATGACGCTGCCCGGGGAGGTCAATCTCGTGCAGACGGCCATGCTGGATCTCACGCTGCAGGCCGCCGTCGACTGGAAGAAGGCGCGGGTGCGCAGTCTCATGAAAACACTGCAGGTGGGTCGGTAAAGGTCACCGTAGGTCAAAATGATTATTCTGTAGTTAAATCCGCATGCGTTAACTAAAAATGAAATAAATTAGCTTTGCCTTAGACAAATGACTTGAATTACAGTGCGCTGCGTAGTTGAGACACATTTTTGAAGCTTAAAAATAAAAATTTATTTTAGAAATAGGTAATAATAAAAATTATTTTACAATTTATTTATTTGCTTTTATTTAAAAATTTAATTTATTAATTTTTTGAAAAATTAATTTTTTAAAAATCTGTTTTGCAATTTATTTATTTATTTAAAAAAAAATATTTTACAATTTAATTCACAAACCATTCGAAAATTCGTACCTTGAATGTTTGGAAAATTGCGTATTATAAAAAGGCAAAAGTAAATTTGATTTTGTATCCTTTTCATAGTGATTTTTGCGGAATTTTAGACAATAAAGGAAATATTCCTTCTCGAACGCAGAAAAACACAACTTACGAATGGTTCTGGGAATTTGTAGGGCCGCGAACTGCCGGACAGCCGCTCCGGGTCCTGCCGCTTCCTGGGCGGCTGGACGGGCTGGCTGCGCCCCTCCCCGCCCACCGCCGCCCCCTCGCGCCGCCTCCTGGCCGCCTTCCCCGCCGCCGTCCGCCACATCTGCGGCGACAACGTCCAGCTCTCCATCCCACCCCTCTCCGGGTCCTTCGGGCTCCTCCGCCTCCCGGACACCCCGCTAACCAACTCCCCAAGCATGTCCGCCGCGGACACCCTCCACTCCATCATCACCGGCCTCATCCCCACCGCCCTGCGCACCTCCCTCACCGGGCACCCCCTCTTCATCGCCCCGATGGTCGGCGGGAACCCCTTCCTCACGCCGGACCACCTCCTGGACTTCGGGCCCGACGCCGAGGCCCGCTATCCCCCCGGGGAGCGGTTCCTCCGTTTTCTGGGGGTCGTCCTCTTCTTCCGGTGCTGGAGTTCGGGGTGAACCCCGCGTACTACTCCGATGACCTTTCCGTTCTGGAAAACACGTTAACTTTATTATCTCTTCGGGAGAAATATTTGGAGGTGATTTTGAGCGCCGCCCGCGAGAGTTGGATTGATCCGCGGGTGCCGGTGGTGCGGCCGGTGTGGTGGGAGTGGCCGGGGGATCCGCGGGCGTGGCGGGTCGAGGATCAGTATCTGGTGGGGGCGGGGATGTTGGTGGCCCCTATTATTGAAAAAGGGGCGACGTCCCGGCGGGTTTATCTGCCGGAGGGGCAGTGGGTCAACGCACAGGGCGGCCGGGAGCGGGCGGGGGTCGTCGAGGTCACCGCCGGGTTGGACACGGTGCCGGTGTTCTTTCGCGTCGTCTGAACGGAATGGATTGCTCCAAATATTTTTTTTTATTTAAAACGGAATTTTACAGATTTAGTTTATTTGGCGGCGATTTATTATTGATCTAATTTTCTTTCTGTGCCGGTTATTCGTGGTTTGGGGGAATCGGAAAATATATTCGCTGGTTTTTTTTTGCATCGATTGCCTGTGGACCGTTTGTTGTGGCCGGCGCGGAATGATCTTGTGGGAATTCTCTCGTGTAAGCCGTCAACATTATGAAAGCATATTTTCGCCGAACTATCAAAGATTATTTCTGATATATTTAATTCTTCTATGCGGTTTATTTACTTTTCTAATTACTCGATATTTACGGTTGCAAAGTGTTGTTTCCATTAATTTTTCTTTTGATTTATGTCGAAATTGTAAAATTAAATATACTGCAATGGAGTGCGAAAACATCACCAGCTAAGTGTACATAAATAATACACATGATATTGTAGTTCAGTGGCAAATCAAGAAAAATTTCAGTAAACACGTGCTTGGTTAACCTTAGTTATATACTTCAGCTTTGCTGAATGAATGTACAGTAAAGCATCTTTTTCACTAATAAAATTTTTTTCCGATGTTTCGTCCAGTACGCGGTATATGTCTTCCTTTATATTAGGGCATATTTCTAAATGTTGTTCTAATTTTTGTTGTATTCTTATGACAATATCTCTTAGTTTTTTTATTATTATTTCTCATGTTTTCGTTTTGTATTGTAGAACTCTTTCTCTTTGTATAAATCGTTTTATTATTATCCTTTCCATTTTATTATTGCACATCACCATTAATTTTTATCAAATTTACGGTACCATTATGGCGTTGGCAAAATAAGAATAAAAATCTTGTATAAAAATATTATTGTTTTATAGTGTTTAAACCATACTGTGAAGGTTATGAAAGCTGATATCGAACAACTTGACGCCAATGTTGGAGAGGGGCTTGAGCCATCGCACTACAATACTATCCCACATGACTGCACTACTTACACGACACTGTACAGTATGTTTTATCTGGCAATATTTTAACTGCATTGAATTTATTGTCTTATGCATCGGGCCACGATCCTCTCAAAACATTTGACACTCGAGACAAAAGAAACAACAAAGTTGATAATATCAAACACAAAAACTTTTAACAACTGTTTAAGGTCATTTCACGTTGAAGTGTCAGCTACACATGCACATATTCCGGCAAAAAATACATTCAAAAAGTGGATGCAGTTGTCAGTGGTCAGTTTGTTGTTAGAAGAAATATTAACAATTTAAAATTTAGTGCAACAGGTCGGTATCGCAGTTGCTCTTGGTCCGCTGCAGTTTAATACAATTATCTGGCACGTTCACATAACAACATCAGTTTGGGCTTTATTGTACCCCAGTTTATTTTCACAGAATTAAAACTATCCAGGGAATGCAATCCCAGAATTAATTAGAAGTTTTTCAGGTTAATTTATTCTTATGGTGAATTATTTAATGATGGTTGAGTAGTTTTCTTTGGATGTTTTCGCAAGCTGAAAACTAATTTAACTGCGCTTGTTTCCGGCACGTTCCTACCGAATTTAATCAACGAAAAACACTGCCTAACATGATTGCTAAAAAAAATTACAAATTTCCCTCGTCATTCTATAAAAAGATTATCTATCAGCCTCCTCGTTTATCTATAAAAAATTGAGATTGTAAAAACATGAAATTCTCGGCAAGCACGGCAGATGCGAAAAGTAAGAAACCGCAGAAAAATATGGCGAAGACGCGCTACACGGAATGTACACAATCTGACCACACCCCAAACAATCAACAAATTAACACCACAGAATTTCCATCAAAACTTCCCCATAAAACAAATACTGCAGTAGGAAACAAATGGCAATGTATTTAGCGGGATTCGCCGCGGATCCGCTTGGCCAGCTGCATGTCTTTCGGCATGATGGTCACGCGTTTGGCGTGGATGGCGCACAGGTTGGCGTCCTCGAATAGCCGCACGAAATACGCCTCCGTCGCTTCCTAATCACGGAAAATAACATTTTACAACCAGGCAAAATTATTCGGATTAAAAATCTAATTATACGTATAGAAGGCAAATTAACTGGCGAATTAACTGGCAATTAACGGGGATTTTATTGTGAATAAAATTCTGATTAGACGATTGGACCAGGTAATTACGAGTAAAAGCAAATTTATACTGAAATAAACATTTAATTAACAGTGAAAATTGCATAAATAAACGACAATTTCGTCTGAATTAAAATCAGTTCAGAACAGGATTTGCTAATTAAAACTGAATTTAATTCGGAATAAAAACTCCATTAAAGGATAAAATTGGGTAGTTAAAAGAACTTTATAAATTCATAAATTTTTTTTAAATTTAGAAATTTTTTTCTGAATAAAGATTTATTAAACGACAAAATCTGCTAATTTAAAAGGAAGCAAATCGGAATAAAATTTGAACTATAAGGATAAAACTGGGTATATAAAGGGAAATTTATTCCAAATTAAAAAGTTTTAATTAAACGATTAATTCGGATGAATTCAGAAAATTGAATTTGAATCAAAATTTAATAAAGGATTAAGTTGGGTAACAGAAGAAAACTCGAGTCTGAATAAAACACATAAGCAATTAAATCAGTACGAAGTACTTCAAGAACATTAAATCAGGAGAAAAATCCACTAAGACGATATTAATTGGATTATTTATTTGAGTAATTAAAGAAAATTAAACCGGAAACAAATTTCATTGAGGAAATAAATCTGATAATTAAAGGACATTAAATCCGAATAAAAATTGATTAAAATACCCGGAAAAATAATAACGAAAAAAAGCACGGACCTGCAGGACATCGAGAGCCGAAGCCTGGAAGCGGTAGGTCTCGGAGTCGCCGAGATTGACGCGGTGGAAGTAGTTGAGCCCGCGGCCGGGCCCGGCGCTGGCCGACCGACAGATGTCCTGCACGATCTCCCGCACCAGCCGCTGGAAGGGCAGCCGCCGGATCAGCAGGCCCGTCGTGCGCTGCAGACGCTGGATCTCGCGCAGGGCGCCCTCGCCCGCCCGCAGACGACGCCCACCTGCACGACAATTCAACCAAAAAATAATCAAATGAATATTCGACAAAATGGCACATATAAAATGAAGGAATAAATCGAAAATAATCGAATAAATGGCAATATTTCAAAATACCTGATCGAAATATGAAAAAAGTAGTAAAGAAAAAACTAGAAAAATGTCTAAATTAACTGGTTGCAGAAAATCTAACACAACTATTAGAAAACAAAATCAAATACAATTTCTTCGCAAAAAAGCATGCCACGCAAAACTAGCCGAAATATAAACGTTTAGTTAATTAAAATACATAAAAATTAACACGCTAACTGCGAAGAAGTTATTGAAAATACAGACAAATTAACGATAAAGAAATTAAATCAATTCAGATTTGTTTCCCTGCATTTTCCAAAAATTAATAAAAATTTTAAAAAAATTAAATTATTTAATGCATTTTTCATGGACAATAATTACTGGAATTTTTTCTAAAATTAAAAAAAATGCTGCAAAAATTAGGACAAATTAGTAAAAAAGAAAATAAACACATCAGATTTATTAACCTGAATTTTTCAGAAATCAATAAGAATTTTTCAGAAATCAAATTAAATTATTCAATGGATTTTTTAAATGGCAAATAATTACTGGAAAATATTTAAGGTCGACAAAAATAGCCGGAAAAATCAGTACTGACCCGGTCCGTGTCCGCGGCCACGCCCGCGTCCACGTCCGCGTCCGGGACCCCGTCCACCATGTCCGCCATCTCCCGGCCCGCCCGGCGGTCCCCCCGGCGGCCCTCCGGGAGCGGGACGGCGCCGGCCCGACGCGGGCGGCGGGTGCGGCATGGCGCGCTTCCGAGCCATGCGGTTGGGGTTCATCCCGGGGCCGCTGCCACGGGGCAAGTGTCGGCCGGCGCTAGACTTGACGGCCACCTGTTTGCGGGGCTGTTGGCCGCGGGGACGCTGGGGCCCGGTGGGGGTCACTTCGGGGGAGGAGTGGCGGGCGGAACGGCGGCGCTGCGGGCTGCTGCTGGGGAGGTGGAGCGGCGGCGGTGACGCGGCGGGGTGTCGGGGGCGGGAGAGACGGAGGGGGTCCGCGTCACCGAGGAGGCCGGCGAGGAGGAGGCCGATGAGGGCGAGGTGGAGCGGGTGCGACGCGGCCGGTCCGACATGGTGATGACGGGGGTCGACAGTCAACAAAACACTGCAACAATCGACAATGAAGGATTTTAAAAAAAACCAGTCCAAAAATATTTAAAAAAAATTTTTTTTAATAATATTGACAGAATTTCTGGTGTAGATATATCGTTTTATATTCTTATTTTATTCTAGTTTTTTTTATAACCAATTCTCACCGCTAATTATTTTTTATCAATTAATTTACGTATTTATTCGACATTTAAATAAATATTCTCCAGTAATTTATTTCGTTTTTTTGTGGCTGTTTTGTTAAAAATAAATATACTGTTATTGTTGTTTCGTATCCCTTTTTTTAAATTTTAAGAAATATTCAAAGAAAATTTAATAATTGGTTTTTTATGCTGTAGCTGAAATATCATCAGGCGATAATGATTTTTTAAGCATTTTCTTAATTTTTAAGGAGATTAAATTTTAAAATAATATTTTGCGAGAAAACATTCAAAGTGGAATGCAGTTCACGAATTAATGCAGGGATCGAGAAAAAATCAACGAGCAAAAAAATTTTCTTCGGAACACGGAACAAACTGCAACTGCAACAACCGATGCACAGTGAACCGGACAAAGTCACAAATACAAAAAATTAAAATCAGAAAATAAATTTCGCAGAACAACGGTTGAAACCGCGGTTCAAGGTTATACCAGAACTTCAAAGCCAATTCGCCTGCAAACGGTCGGTAGAACGGGAAGAAAAACGTAAGATAACATATACAAATGCATCGCCATCGTAAAACACACGACCACGCGAACAAAGACACGAAAAACCCGCGGAGAACCCAGCGCAAGGCAAATTCAGCCTGTTTTCACTTACCACACAGTGCAAAGACGCAATAAGCAGCTCCTGCGCAGATGACACTCAGCGCTCCCTCAACAGACCATCCCGGAATAATCCGCAATAAAAAAATGAAGGAATCAACTGGCGGAATAAAGCAACAAGAGCCACTTGAAAAAGAATCAGTAAATTTTTAAAACGTCGTCCCAGATTTGAAATTTCAGTTGTGTTGTTGTGATAGCAAATGCAGTGCGGTTGCACACTGCCCAATTTGGCGCCAGGCACACACTGAGCAGACAGCCGCTGACGGGCCACGGCGCTGTGGCGCGGGGGTGGCTGGCACGGCGACAGACGACTAGCGGGGCGGGACAACGACCTAATGGCCCATTTAATACGTAATCTTACTTGGTCAATACTATTATTCGCTTGTCTGCGGCATAAACAAGTAACAACAGGCATTTCGCCATTAACTTTTCTTAAATGAAATGCCGCAAACAGAACTTACGTCGCTTTTTCGTGTCTGTCTGGTATGTTTTTTCGGTGCAATTTACTGTACACTTGATCCAAGGTGATTAACAAATCATGCATTAAGGCAATTAAGTGCGATTAGCTCGCCTATTTCCGCAGTCGGCTGAGGCTGCGTAATTAGTACAAATCTTTCACTTTCATAGGAAACTGGTGACTGCTGCACTGTATTAATACAATGCAGTCACAAGTTTCCTATGAAAGTATATTGCATTGGAATAGGTCTATCAGGGAAAAAATAACTGACTCTGTATTAAGTGTGACTATGCGGCACAAGATTGTCATAATCAAGATTATCATAATTATGCCAGAGATACTGTACGCGTGTATTTTTATCCTCGAAGGACATTGAAGATTTTATTCAGCCAGAGCATAATGCGCAGAATTTTTAATTACGTGACCTTTAACTTAAAAGTGCGATCTTCAGACTTCACGTGACCTTCTTGAATTTGTATACGTTTTCTTTCCGTAAATTCTTCCCCGCCCTACCGTGTAAAAACGTTCCGGCTTTTGGAGTCTTCGAGAAGGCTTTCAGCTTAAAATCAATCTTTAAGGTCATGCCGCTAGTCAAAATACCAAACTCCGCAAGCGAATGATGTACTTGAGAGACGTCGGCTTTTTTAGAATTTTCCGTTATGTGCGGGTTGGTCAGATCTCGGAACTGTTTTTCCGAACTTATTAGGTCTGGGACCTTGGGTCGTGGACAGGCATGTGAGCATTGTCGTGTTCTCTCGCTCGCATCTTCATCGACTGATTACTGTATGTGACAGTTAGATATACAATACATATGTTGCATAACATTAAGGTCGTAATTATCGTTACAGTGATTGACTGTTGATTGAGCAGCCAAGCCGGGTACCTTTCGGCACTATCCCATACCTTTATTCTCGAAGAACATCAAATACCCTACGGCTAGTTAAGTCACCACACTCCGTTAAACACCAGTAACACGAACACTACAGTCGACAGATGCAGCACGCCACAAAATTGTCGTAGTGCCTACCACGTGCACGACACTACAAGCATGGACAGTTATATAGAAGTTATTTTTGCGGTACTTATAGGTAGTGTTGCCCAAGTGTCAGACAGTTTCTTTTCCGGTTTTGCTTGCCGACGTTTGATCTCTAATCTGAGCGTTGACTTTCACGGACACCGTCAGATGTGTACCCAAGTACAAACAGCAGCTTCCCAATCCGTTACGCACAGCGTGTGCCGCTGCAATTATCAGCCGCCACGAACCGCGCGGATAATCCTCACTCATCAGCAGGAAAAAGACCTTTAAAAATACCACATTGACTTTTAGCTACCACGTCACTGAGTCATGAATATTCTACGTTAACAACATGACTATCGGCTGTTTGTCGCGTACCGGATTGACAGCATACTCGCCCACCAGTAGCGTGCGCATCCAGAACGACAGCAGCGGACCGGATCGTCTTTCCTGGGGAACGGCCAGCAGCACCATCAGCGGCAGCTGATTACAGATCGTGTTCCACACGAATGACGCACACAAGAGTTTAGCGGTGGTGACCTTGCGCTGGTACACATCGCGCAGCATTCCTGCCCGGTCCGGTTCGTGCTATGGCCGTTGACGCGATGGCGTCGCCGCCTGACGGCCACGACACTGAAGACCGTAATGTACAGGATCCCCAGAACAAGAATGGGAAGGTACTGGGCGATGCTGACCATCAGTAGCATCCCGGCGCGGTTAGTTGTCTTAATTGTTCCGCACGACCGTGACGACAGCATTCCGTTAATGACATTAACGTTGAAAAAAGCTGGCATGCCGGCCGCTGTACAGATAATCCAGGCGGCTGCGATGAAGGAGAAGATGGCGCCACGGGAACTAATTTTCTTGTAGCTGTGCGGCATAAGTAAAGCCACACAGCGATTGACCCCCAGAAAGCAGGCAATCCAATATCCTACCTGTTAAGGGAAATGGTCCGGTACGTGGTGTCAAAAATGAGATATACAGCACAACATATGTACACACATTTTATACACTACAACTTTCGCTTTCGCGCCCTCCGAATCACTTTTTTGTAATACTTTATGTCATCCTAAAGCCAAATGATTTGTATAAATTGTCAGTATTATAATATAGGTAGTAATTGCCAAATTATCATCAACTTCTGAAATATGACTTATTATCATCCCAGTGACCACTGTATGTAATATGTACCATCCAGCTTCCTTACTAATCTCACGTTAAAGTGCAGTCTTTTAGATGTCGTGATTGTGAATGTATCCCGTGCATGTTCAAGCAACCTGCTTACAGCTTATGTTCTTTTGATGGCTGTCGCCTATTAAAGGTATGTAGTAAAAGCAATCTCCTTATATATGTGATGCTCCCGGTTTCTGTTCCCGTGATTTATACTGACACTACGATATACGGAAATTCTAACAATATGTGCTCGTATATGCTAGTCTAACACTATGTGCTCGTACCTGCATAAAAGGATTTGTACGAGGACATTTGGGTGCTGTGAACATACCCTGCACGATTAGGCTGCGATGAACAGCTGGTTAGCCGTAGCTCGCAACGCTACTGATATCACAGTCTGAACGCAAACGGCTATAAATTTAGCCGGCTGTTCATCGCAGCCTAATCGTGCAGGGTATGTTCACAGCACCCAAATGTCCTCGTAGCGTGTAAGTGGCGTTGCAGTCGAGAGGGAGCATTGTCTGGCCGATCCATAAGTCGAAGACGGGAACGGTACTCAGAGGAAACAGGATGGAGCACAGTAGTGTGTCGGTCAGTTGTTTGTGTGCGATCAGCCACCCGGATCCGGTGCGCAGGCGCCGGTACGTCATGATGGCCAAGAGAATAATCAGGTTGGATACCGTACCGATAAAGCACAAAACAGCGTAAACGACGAGCCAGATTTTAATGCCGGAGGTGAGAACGAAGGGCTCGGAAGTGCGATTGCCAAGGAGATTGACAGACAAGTTAGGCATGTACACGGGGGATAATAAATTTGAGAGGTTTGCAAAGGTCACCATGATTATACGCACTGTATACCTGTTAACTACATGCAACAGCGGTTTACTGAACTGCGAAAAACTGATTCTGTCAGATTTCTCTGTGGCGTTTAAAAACAATTGTCGGTCGCATGTGTACAAGCAGAACCACCAATTTACCAACAAAAGCACTCATGCGCAACGTCGATCATAAGGAATGATTCAGTATCGGTTAGTGAGCGTTTCTCGTCTTATATCTATACACGACCATGAAACAAGACATTTCTTTGGGTGCATCACTATACATACAGTAGGTAATAATGCAGATTAAACAAAATGTATGCAGCAAATTTAATTAAGTTATACTGCTCATGTTTTGCGGGCAGATGTATTTGATTGCAAGCTATGACGGAGCAAGCTATTTTCGATCATTCCAGTAAACAGAATTTGTTGCACCCGCGTCTTCAATTAGTTAATAACTTTCGGTCTGAACTGCAGACGGAAAACAAAACGAAGCGTCATTGGTCAACGTCATGCGCGTTGGTGAGTGTAGCCGACACGAAGGTAAACGAGTTGATGCAATTCGGCTGTATCTATACATGAAACGTTTCGTATCACTAGACCTGAAAAATCGGATCGTTTTTCTCTTCTGGAATGCTGCTTCAGAAAAGTTGAACGCGCTCGATCTCCTGTCTTCCGCGCAGAAGGTGTTCCGCCTTATCTAATGTACTTAAAACTTTGTTCAATACGGTCCAAATGCACCCAGCATGGCTACCACTACTCTACTGGATACTGGATACTGTCACGTATTGCCAAATACGCTGTTGTTTATTGCTGCTCGTACACAACTCGACTGACATTCTGCAGCTGGTATTCGCAGATACCGTTGCCGTTGCCAAGACATTGTATGACTCCATTACACCTTCCCCAGTGGTGAAACCATTCATCACTCACTAAAGAAATTATCAAGCCAATTATTTAAGTAAGAATTCCAATTCCATTATAGTACGTAATATCAATTCAGCATAATGCTTCCGGTATCCTCAGCATTTCCATTCAGCTTGCTGCGCTTGCGCTTCTTCTTCTTCTTCTTCCGAACACTTACTCGTGATACGCCATCACTGGTAAAACACGTTTCCGGTTCCGCATTTTCGGTCGTACACAAACGCTCGGTCGCTTCCTCAGCACCGTCCACTACTTTGCTGTCTTCGGCCAAACACACTGTCGTTGTGTCGTCTGCCTCGCTGTCTTGTGATCCAGCTCCATGCGAGTTCGCTGATTTCTCATGCGATGTCAGCTTATCGGATTCTCCCCGTTCATCCGGCGCGGCCGCGGGCGTAACCGAATCGGGATTCTCTTTAGGACATTTCAGGTCCGTAACCACGTCGGCCAGCTCAAGTAACTGGCACTGGACATCTTGCAGTGTCCGGTACATATCGCGAAGGCAGGCCAGGTCATTTCTGGCTAACTGGCTTCTCTGTCGCTCCTGCCTCCAGTGCTTTGCTGTACGCCTGGGTGAGAACGTCGGCAGCACGTCATATTCTTCGGCCACCTGTATGCCCATGACGTCGAATTCGTCTTCAACCAACAGAGTTTTTCTTCCTGCCTCCTGCCGTTCCCTGGGTTCAGCGCGACACACTTTCGCGATGTGTCCGCGCTTACCGCAGTTGCGACACTTGACATCTTTAGCCCAACAGTCCGCACGCATATGGTCCTGGTCACCGCAGCCGTAACAGCCACGCCCACCATCGGCAGACTTCCTCCGTGTGCCACCACTATCGCGCGCGTCTGAAACGCCCTCCTGTCCGCCTCTTTCCCTACTCCGGCCGCTGCGCCATGATGCTTCACCGCGCCTGTGGTTCTGTGTGGTGGGACGGCCACGCCCTTCTCCCCCATTGACCTTGGCGACTACATCTGCGGCGTTCTGGTTCCGGCGGCTGCTGCGGGAAATCTCGTACTGCTCCGCAAATTCCAACGCCTTCTCCAGCGTCGAGTACTCCTTCGACGACAGGTGCATCCGAGTGGCATCGTTCTCCAAGCCATTCAGGAAGGTCGCCTTCATGTTCCCTTCGAGAACATCCGCGGGGAATGCGCAATTGAAGGCCTTCTTCCGGAGTCTGTTGGAGAATTCTAGCAGTGATTCTCCAGACTCCTGCTTTAGTGAGAAGTAATTCGCCCACTCAGTGTCCTTGAGTGTCTTTTTCACGTACGCGTGCTCCAGTTTGTCGACTATCTGGGCCGTCGTATAGTCATCAGGATCTTTCGGCAAGCACATTGCGTGTAGCATCTCCAATGCGTCGATGTCCAGGGAATCTAGGAGCAAGGCCTTCTGTTCATCGCTATCGGTGACCTTTCGGAGCTTTACTTAGTTCCTGTAACGGAACTGCCAGGATCTCCAGGTCATCACCAGCGGGTCGAACTTCAGCAAGCCCACGCTGTCCTCCTTCCCCTTACTCTCCGTAGCGCTTGTCGTTCCGCTCGGAGGCGCCATCCGTACGCAAGTGGATTATCAAAGCAAAGTTCGAAATATCTCAGCCTACACGTCAGTTAATATCTCAGTAAATATCTCAGCCTACACGTGCTAAGACATAGTATGACTCCATTACAGATACGTTAAAGTTTTCAAATACGTAAAATTTTCGCCATTTCTACATAAGCAGTTTCCTGCCATTTCAGCAACGGCTCCGACTTTCTGTGAATTTTCGTTGGCAGTTCGAATCGGCTGGAGTGCACCAACTTGACACATACCCTACGGAAACTACGTACTAGGTAGCGTTTCGGCTTTCCTGGACGGACAACGATCAGCAGCATACTTCAGTACCGATAGTTTTATTCTGACAATTAATGCAAGCACAGCACAGCCCGTTACCGTGGCGGCAGGAACACGCAATGACCGGTGGAGAGCGATCTCTCTCACACATCTCTGCAGTGGCACAGCTTACCCAACCGGTTTCTGAAATCGATTCTGTGTTAGCAACAGCGGATCATTACGTTAACGCGCGCAACCGCTGCGCATACCTAAGAGAAGGAAATGTTTTGCACTCGTAGAAGCTGCTTGCGTGTTGAAACTAATTGTACGAGCATTGTGTAGAATCGCTTTGTAAATCTGCTGCACTTGAGCGGTCAAATAGAAGTGTTTACTTAAACCGGAAATACTCGTACTACGTTTGTCGGCGCCGCAGCATCTGTTTCGGCGTGAGCAGCGTCCACCGGCGCCGAAGATGCTGCTGTAGCTAGAGTGCAGATGGAGGCATGCCTGTACGAATACATCATACATGAAGCGGAATGGACCAGCAAGAGCGATTCAGATTTCACTGTATTTAGCGGAGTAGTCAAGCAAGTTTGTCTGCTCGAGTTGGATTGCATTTACGGTTATACAGCACATTTAATTCCGTGGATTATGTTGTGGTCGTGTATCACATTCGGTATTTTCCTAGCGCTCTCTTGAAACGAATCATGATCGGTTTTCCGTTTTAGTTGACAGGCTAATTGGTTGCTTACGTGTCATTAGGAGCACAGGTACTGCTGATGTTTAACGATAGCTTAATACATCTGGTATCATCCTGGACAAGAACACTGAGTGTCGGTTAACGGGCTTGATTACTCCATAAAGCAATTCATCAGTCAAGCACCATGTACGCATTGTTGTACTTCCGCAAATTTCTCTCGGGCGCCAGCGAGGTGAACTTCGGCAACACGGTGCTAGTGCGGCGCGATATCGGGTAGTGGTGACTAGGCTATGTGCAGGACATTGACGGCGATCGCTTCTTTATTGACTTCGACTCGACCACCACCCGCCCCGAGTGGATCCACTCCCGTTACCTCTGGGCGCACAATTTTCTCTGCCAGTCGGCGTATTCGTATCGTGGTCGGTCCGTGCAGGTGGCGTAGCGGGACATCCCCGGCGGACCGATGGTCTTCCGACCCGGGACCATCACTCGCGAACTGAGCCACTTATTTAACGGTGTCCGCCTGGAGACCAGCACCCGCAGTTAGCGTCCAGTGTTAGCCGTGAGGCCGACGCAATGGACACCGTCCAGTCTGATTAGTGTTTACAAGAAGTCAAGTACTGAACAAGTTTTCAAAAAGATTGGATAACAACGAGAATTCTGCTACACCAAAAACCCTATTTAAGTTTGTTTTTACAGAACTGGAGGACATGAATATCAACGAGCTTTCGCATCCGATTCTGGCGTATATTCTGCTCCATTCCGATATGGTTACTCAAATGCGGATAGGCCGGTTTGCAGCCTTTTGAAAGTGGCAAAGCCTTTACGTTACGATCACCAGGTCAAATTAAGATACCTACACTTTTGAAAACCTTCAAATAAAAATTGAAGTTTTAAAAAAGACGGTAAAAATCGTAGTAGGACCTTTGATGGGGTTATTCACGTTAACAATGTCATCGGATAAACGTAAGATTACGCAGTTAATCATTTCAACTAGTAATAGTACACTTTGTCCATGCACTTCGTAAAAATCTGATATATTGGTACTGATGGCCGTATCTTAAATAAGGAGCAAGCAGCGTATAATCGCAGGGGTTTTATTGAATTGCCAGTATTCCCGTGACCTTATCAACCAACTGCTGAATGAGAGGCGGAGAATGCTCGCTGACCGCCGCTGACAGACGCCGGCGCTGTTCCTCCGCCGTTTCCGAGCAGCGCAGACACAGGATCGGAACTGATCTGCATATACGCGCCCCCAACGCGTTCCTCCGGCTCGCGCAACCTCTGGTGTCCATCGTCCAGCCAGGCGCTGTCGTCGACATCGTACAAGTGCAGCTTGTACGATACATTATTGACTGTTGGAATAGACACGTTGTAGTTAATGAGTTGCAACTGCTGGCACACCGTCCACCACTGACGGAGTGGACGGCACTCGTAGCTAGGCTTCTTTCCTATGTCGTCTCCAACATCCATCAGCACCGGGCGCAATTCCGGAAGGTCACCACTGTTCTTCAGAATGATTAGCGGCACGCGCCTGTCTGTCGCTCTAAGGATGTGACGATAACCCGAATTCTGTTCCGTAGGTGAACGCTAACCCACGTTCGCTCGAGCATATTCAGCATTCTCATCGAATCAGAAGGCCGCGCGCCGTCCACCAGGGCCACGGTCTGCGTCGCCGAGGTCAGGCAGTTGTCCAGCATCGTCACAAGCTGGTATGTATGAGAGTGGTATTCAGTGTTGAATTTCTTATCCGCCGACATCCTAACACCGGCGACCAGCCGCGGGATATCGAGCACCAGATACGTCTGGTGGCGACGTACTCCAGTAGAAGTCTCTATAGCGCGCACATTCTAATTGCAAAAATACTTGTCCAGGCACATAACGGTCTCTGATGGCACATCCATCCATCCATCGAAATATACATCCATTCATTTCCGTCACCACAGGCTTGATTATCCGCCGCGCAATATTCGGTGGACCGTGGAAGACATCCAGAAGGACATGGATTGGAATGGAATGGATGGATGTTATTCGATGTATATTTCAGCATTGTTGGGAAGTGAACAGGCAAGTCCCTTTACATTCCGGTCTATGTCAGACGCTGGCCTATCCTGACCAATGGACCAGGATCCGCATATTTCTTAATTTGTGAGTGATGTATTCACACGCATACCCGATGGAAGCTCGCTCAGCGACGGTGACGTAGAAAAAGCAAAAATGTGCCGCCAGATACGCTAATCGTAAGCATAACCGGCTACTCAGTAGTTTATTGCAATCTCGACCAGACATCTGCCACCCGTACTTCTAATTTCGCAATCCATGTCCTTCTGGATGTCTTCCACGGTCCACCGAATATTGCGCGGCGGATAATCAAGCCTGTGGTGACGGAAATGAATGGACCAGAAGGCGCCGCCGTCTGGCTTACGCGCAATTCTCACGTCGACGCGATTTTTGCGATATAGATGTTCTCCCGTCAATGCTACTGTATTCGTATCTACTGTATCAACGTTCGCACATCGTAAACATTGGTAAAGATTAAGGATATCAACACTCACGATGTACATTACATTGTATACTTTACCGGTGGAGCATTATCAGAAATTGTAATGTGTGTCGTAGCGATAGCTTTGTTTAATTGGTGATAACTCAGTCAGTTTTGTGTTGCACAGTTGCACTATCACAGATCAGAGAATGCAAGAAGAATATAGGAAGAAAGTGGCACTCTGAGTATCTTATGAAGCATTTGCGATTTTACAAAATAAAATTTAGTTCCTGTCTTCAGTTTGATCACTATCCCGAGAAATGGGTGCTAATGCTTCCAACACGGCCGATAAGGCCCAATATATGGGTAGTACTATGCAATATTACTATTCTCACGCAGATTTAATTGGAAGAGGGATGTTCGGTGCAGTTTACAAGGCCAAAGTAACAAAGCGTGGCGATTACGAAGGGAGGGATGTTGTTGCTGTCAAGGTAATGCAAATTTTTGCTGCTTACAAAACCGTTCCTGGCCAGGGCGGATTTATGGAAGCCGAGGAAAAACTGAAAAAACTGCTTAAGCTTTCTCACGAAAATCTCGTAACTTATCATAAAGTTTCGATCATCAAAGCCACAGGCGGAGCCACCGTAGAATTAGCGATGGACTACCACGAAGGTAAAACACCTTTTTTGCTTTATAGAGCATTAGCTTCCCCTTGAGCAATATTATAATATTAATTACAGCAAACCTTTAGGAGATCTGGCTTCTTTCTTGATGGAAGCCAAACAAAACCAAAACCTCCTGAACAGTTATAACAAAGTCGCCCAGCTCGTGGCATGCATTGCAAGAGGTCTTGAGTTCCTCCATGAGAACAACATTATACACGGAGACCTGAAGCCGGGAAACATTCTTGTAGCGGTCGCGGAAGGTGGTCGCAGGAAACTGCTGATTAGTGACCTCGATGATTTCGTTCAAATGCAGGGAAACGTAACATGCTCTGCAGACATTTCGCAGATGCGGGGCACAAAACGCTACATGTCACCAGAAATGCTGAAGAAATTTTCTCAAGCAGAAACAGATTCGCCCGGGAGAAAAACGGATATCTGGAGTCTGGGTTGCATTATCTTGGAGATGGATCAAATATCCAGTGGTGTATTGGAAATACAACTCGTGAAAGACGGTAACGTTGTAAATGCCGGGGATAATCTTTCGAATGACCAGTATGCCATCAAGATCATGGACGGTTACATGCCAGTTGTGGGCGGAGGCAATGCGCCAAATTCGGCTGATCTTATTCGAAAATGTTTGGATCCAGTGGCGGCGAATAGAATATCATCAAAAGAGCTGCTGCACGAGCTCCGAAACAAGCAAGTTATAGTGCTTTTCCCATGCGACTGTGAAATTGACTACGCGTTTTTTATAATACTATTTGACCCGGCAACTGGCTCTTTAAACCCCAAAAAAAGTAGTCAGAAAACCAACCACCTTTGGCCAACTGAGGGCTCCCAGCCGGCAGTTAACGGAAACAGATATCTTATTCGCGGATGCAGTATTTGATCCTACAGACAATTTTTTACGATTGCATTTATGGAATGTCGGCGAAGAAACCTGGCGTGAACAAAAGTGTATTTTGCCACTGCTTCTTCATTTGCCCTTAGGGCTGGTGGTTCTCGGTCGCATATGTTATTTCTGGGATAATTACAGTAAACAGTTCACCGAAATGGATATTTACTCTGGCAGTACTAAGTCTTTAACCAATCCTCCTGTGGAAATCAAGTACGATCACATATTGTATGTTTTCCTTGAGTTAGACGATTCTAATTGCTAAAGTATCTTTTCAGCATTCATTCGGAATTTTTGAAGTCATCAACATCTCCGGCAACGTGGGGCGAGCTAATATATTACGCCGCAACGGACAGAGTGCACCAGTACGATACAGTTGCCGACAAATGGGAAACCTTACCAAAGTTTCCACAGCGACGAAAGGCATTTGCAGTGGCTGTGGTAAACGGCTACGTATATGTTATCGGCGGATATTTGCCGGACGACTCAGACGAGCGTATTATTAAGTCAGCTGACTGTATTCGGCAGAACGTGGATACTGGTAAATGGGAAGCAATAGAACCTCTTGGACACCCAAGATACCGTCATGCTGCTTGCGTAATCCATGATCGAATATATGTGTGCGGCGGGAGAGATGATCTTAATAAGTGCGCGCTTTCAATAGAGGTTTACGATACCAAACAAGGCGCAGGATGGTCCATTGTGAATTTGCACCAAAAGGACACGCGGTTCTTGTCGGACTTGGCTGAGGAATGCTCCTCTCTTTTTGGGGACTTAACCGCTAAGACGATTCGTTTGATTAGTGACGCTGTTCCCGGTAGTAGCAACTGATCCAAATGTTTCAAGGGCCATTTTGGCCCTTCTGTTTCCTGAAATTACAAGCTGTTAAAGTGAAAGACGTAGATTGCTGATGCCATCTCTGCGCAAGGAGTGACAACTGGGCATCATTCATGCAGCCTTAAAAAGACTGAATGATGAATACGTCTGAGCGGCCTCACGGACGACTTAGTTGACTATGGGCTTACTGTTTTGTTCCACTCTTTCTTCTTTCTGTCTAGATTTCCGTCCTGTGACTAACGAAACAAGTTCCAAAATGCCTGGAATGTAAAATTTTTTGCCGTATTGTACGCACCTTGCCTTCGTAAACGAAGCCTTATGGAGGTATTGTTCCTTTGGTTTCTGTGTCGGTTGAGGAAAACACGATGAAAAACAAAACAGATTACCTTGTCCTTTTGCAATAATTTTGCGAGCGGTAGGAACGATCAGGTGTCTTTATTTACTCTGATTAGCGGCACGTCAAATTCAGACAGTAAGCGGTGTACCTTTGACAGGCTTAAGCAGCACAGGGACGCTGTATAATGCGACATTAAATTCTCCTTTACTGGCACAGATTACAGGTACATTGCAACCATATAGGAACATAAGGTATCAGATGTCGCATATAATTTAAAAGTGTACGCCTTCTCGGCCTGTTCAGTCTTGGAAGAAGGCGTCCAGTATGTGCATGGCGAGGCGGGTGTGCACAGCCACGTCCAGCTGCCGTAAATCGGCATCATCCCACCGTTGTGGAAGACCCTCGCGGCCCACGCCGCTAAACCTTGAAAACAATGCACCATTATACTGCGAAATTATTATGTGCTATGCCGGCATGTGACCCGACTGTATCAGCTGTAAGGGAATCTGCAGGGATAAGTTTCATCTACAGGCTTGCACTGGTATCACCCTATATTTCGAGAAAAACACAGAACCACGATTCTTCTGCGCTTGATACTAAGCACTTACCCTGCAGAGCAAAAACTACTCCTGTTGTCAATTTTGATTTCAATACGCTTGCTGTAAACAAAGGTGATTCAAAGGTATTGAGATCGCAAGACTTTAACGTAGCAGATATGTCTAGCGTATCTGGCGCTGCACTTTCGCTGTTTGTACGTCACCGCCGTAGAGTGAAAATCCGTCGATCATGGGTGTACACTGTAACACATTAATCATCACTTACAAGTTAAGAAACTTCCGAATGCCGATCCATGGGTCGGGATAGGCGAGCGTCTGCACCCATCGAGCCAACACCCCGCGACCTTTTCCACCATCTCCCGACTAACGGCTGGACAGTGCTCGTTGGCCGCCGCCAGGAAGCGCCAGCGCTGTTCAGCAGCCGTTTCCGTGGCATGGGAACGTAAGAACGGAATGGGATCTTCAGATATGCCTCGCGTGCGGCTGTCCAAGCCACCCTATGCCCGTCCTCCAGCCATGCTAGATTCTGGTTATAGCAGAACAGCCGCTTCAGTAACGAATGCCGAGCGGACAGAATTGAGCCGGTATAGTTGACAATATAGGCGGTATAGTTATAGTTGACTTCTATGATATCTGAACTCGTACTTTACGGCTATATTTTGTACTTTCACGCGTTTTCTCTTTTGTTTTGGTTTATACTTTTGGTTTTTCTAACCGCATGCGCTTCGCGCCTAAATAAGTCCGAGAGTTGCAGTATTTTTGGCATCAGTTCGTTCTCATTCTGAGTTTGGCAGCGTCGGAGTTTTTCTATTAAAACAATGCATTCGTATTCTCGCTTCGCGTAGTTCGTAGCTTGCGCATATTATTTAGATATGCCTCATTGAAATTATCAGCTCATTCTCTGTCGTTGAGTCAGGTCGGTAGGATTGATATTACGGTACTATTTTACTGTACTCGTCTTTCCGTCACCACTTCCGGAAGGTCACCGCTGTCTTGGGTAACGATGAGGGGCAGGCCTTAGCTCGGAGTGTGTGCCGCACAACTTTCATTCTGTCTCGCGTCTTCATTCTTTGAAGAAAATCCGCATATCCCGCTGCATCCACCATTGCTACAGCGTGCAGAGATATGGTGCGTTCCAGCAGCGTCACAAGCTGGTACGTATGATAGTGGCACTCAATGTCGAATTCCTCGACTTCCGGCTTTTCGGCTAGCAACAACGGGACGTCGAGAACCAAGTGCCGTTTGCTGTCGGTGGCATAATTTTCCAGAAGAAGCTTCCATAGCGCGCACACTCTAATAAAGCAAGGTCAACTTTTAAACCCCGCATCGATGGTTGGCATGTTTTGTTTTAACCATGCGTGTATCTTCAAAACTACTGAAGCAAAGGCTTGCGTTGCAACATGTTGCAGTAGGCTCGCATTTCTCTCCAACCGGATGCTGCTCACATTTTCGGCATTATACCGACCTGAACGAATTATCTGGCTAAAAGATACTGAGAACGGACTTGAAAATGCTTTTAGGAGCGCACCATCACCGCAGTTTTAGATGACAGATCGGAATGTACTGTAAAGACGTTACGAGTTCACTTAATTTTACGGAAACGCCGACTTACGCGCCTAGACGCAGCTGAGTAATCATATCGCAGTTCAGGAGAATATATGCCAGAACCTCCTTGATATGCATTTGAACCTCCTTGATATGCTCCTTGATACGGAACCTCCTTGATATGCATTTCTTCAACATCTGCAAAATTTCAATCCAACTGTTTTCTGGGCTTAACGTTCGTAGGGCGGTAAAGCCTTTCAAAGCCTTAATAAAGTTCTTATACGGTCACAGAAAGTGCACTGGTACAGTAATCTTACGAGATTTGGCTAACTGTATTTCCTTCCAACCGAAAACCAGTTTCCTTGTCATCAAATTGTTGGCTTGGTATGTCCTAAAATTTTGCGCTCAACTCACCGGGCTGGAGGGCTTCCATACCCATACCGCAGTCCTTCCTGATGATACCAGACGCAGTACTTGGTTGCTGCTCAGTGAGGCATAGCTGGCAGGCTATCTTCAGGTCATCGCCAGTCCAAAACATACTACGTCCAAATGCATCACCGGGCACTTCGGCGCAGCTAGACGAACGTCACCGTTCCCATGCCCACCCTCTCAAACACCCGACATCCCACATCCAAAGTATAGAACGCCCGGGCATCTGTAGGCTTGAAGGGCCTGCGCAATCTGGTACAGTAAAACGTCAGTGTCTCCTGGCCTAGAGGAAACCCTCGGGCCAACTGGCAGCTGGCGTCACACACCATGTCACCCGGACCCAACGTCATCTAACATGTCCGCTCAAAAATTTTGGCAACAACGCCACATCCCGCAATAGATTCGCCGACTCGAAGGCGATGACGTGTTTCCGGTAGACAAATTTGGTATTTGTCATGAAGAAGCTGCGCCGGCTGTTGGACGGCGGGAGTTTTCGGATAAACTGGCATATATCCACGACACAACAGTCCCCAACCGTTGTCAGGGTCTTGAGGCGGACGCCATAAAACACACCGGTCACTTCGTGGGTGATTTTCCCGGTCGGAACATCATCGGCCCACCGGGGGCGTCCCGCAGCGCCACCTGCACCGACCGGCCGCGATTCTGCGTCCCCGAGATACGGAGGACTTGGTGTGGCCAGAGATGTTGCGTGTGGATCCATTGGGCGTTAATGGTGCTGGCGTCGAAGTCAACGAAGAAGTGATCGCCGTCAACATCCTGTACGTAGCCCAGCCAACACTGGCCGTTGTCGCGCCGCACTAGTACCGTGTTACCGAAGTTTACCTCCCGGACGCCCGTGTGGAACTGGCGAAAGTACAGCGGGGATGCAAACATGTTTACGGCCATGGTAAGTCTTTATTGAACGCCTAAGCCGGTTAACTCACACAACCGTATCTACGAAAATCATGGATTCCACTTCTTTAAACACTCTGCAATTCCAGACCAGCGTTGCCCTACGATTAGGCGCTCCAATCGTCACTCCTCATGAATGTAAATGCGGCGAGTGGGTGGACGAATTCGGGAGACATGGATTGAGGTGCAAACGATCTGCTGGACGTCTACCTAGACACGATGGCATCAGCAGAGAGTTCGCTCGCGCGCTAACGACGAGCGGTTTCCCTGCCAGAATGGAACCGAAGGGACTGGCCATAGTAGGCAGTAAAAGACCAGACGTTGTTACGCTTATCCCATGGGAGCGTGGTAAGCCACTAGCAATAGACGTGACGTGTGTGGACACTCTGACAACTTCATATATTGACCGCACATCCGTCAACGTCGGTGCCGCAGCAGAAATGGCCGAAACAAAGAAACTCGCAAAACATGCGTGGCTGCAACCAAGGTATAACTTCACCCCAGCAGCCTTCGAAGTATATGGACCTTTGGGCGGCGGAGCGATGAAGCTGGTCGATAAAATCGGACACCTCTTAGTGGCCGCTACCGGACAACCACGCGCGAAAGAATTTTTCCGGCAGCGGATCTCTATACAGATTCAAAGAGGAAATGCCATGTGCGTGATGGGGACAATACCGGATCACGAGAAACTAGAGGAAATATTCTTGTTATAACCTCTTAAAACTGCATTATTGTTTTTGTTCTGTTCATATTGTGTTATGCTGGTATAGACAGGTATTCCTTTCAATCTGTATTGCTAAATTTTGTAAAAACCTACCAACTTAGGGCTATCGAATAAAATATAGAACTCTGCAATACGGAGGTGCATGACACACGCAGCAGCGACTAGCAGGTGATGCTAGTAAACCACAGGAATGCGGTTGTTATTTTTCACTTGCACACTTATGTAACTGATTAATTAACCGCATATTCAGTTTAATGTGAAATCGTGGTCCAACGTTAACGCGAGATAATACAGTTTGCTACGCCGTTACATGTACCAAGTAGGCTTCTAAAAATACTCGTATGTTTTGCTCTTGCTGCCCCATTCCGGTCCACGTGCTCATCAGCCCATCCTCCTACTCATCTCTCGCCGGCACCGGCTCTCGAAGATCATGCTCATAGAGACCCGTTTCAAAGTCCTGTAAACAGCGCGGGCTTGCGCCCATCTCTAGAATGCGCTATGCCCTAGTAGGCTAGTTGTACCTTTACGTGTCGAATATCCGGACCGGCTTATACATCCCCGTCGCAGAGCATTCGTTGGTTATGCGTTTGAATACATTAAGTACTTACAAATTGAGAAATTTCCGTATATACCTTCATAGCAAAATGTAGGAAATTTATTTCTCTACAATGTGGTATTTAACATACCAAAGAAAATTCGAAGCAAGCGTTTTAAAAAGAGTTAACCCTAGAAGATCCAAATCCCAGCTGTCATATTATGTTGCAAACACACACTTGGCAGTACGATGCAGTAGAGAAAACAAGACTATTTCGTTCAAACGTTTTTAAAATTGCTCCATGAAGTTATTGTGGCGTAGGGCAGCAACAGAGTTGCTGTCACTGACAGCAACTCGACTTTTGGCCATTACGGTACGCTTCGCCGCTCCCACCACAGTACAATCGGTTGGTTGATAATGCATTTTTCACTTGTGATAACTGTTTTCATAACACTTATATTTTATGAAAACATTAAAAATAGTTTTGTAAAAGCATGTTCTTTAAAAAAGATTCATTAAAATTCATTTTGTTTTCGTCCCACCGATCCCACCAATCCCATCACTTCACGTTCCCATTCCCATCACATCCCACTTCAAAAATCAGGGTGGGATGACAACCCTAGCTGTCGGTGTTTGGTCAGCTGAGAAAGCTCACTGTGTTGTGTGAAGCATGGCCGACCAAATGTACCACGACGAGATTTTATGCGACGAGTTAGTTAGTGAGTTAGTTCAACTTAGTTGCTCACGACAGCTAAGCTGTCTTCAGTGTCCTGCAACTGGAAACATGCCAGCCGCGCAATGTCCTTGTAGCCAGGAGGCTAAACTGCAAGGAAAAGAATACTAAATCGTGGAAATCAGCGATGTCTCGCACTGTGGTCAACTGGTCACATTTACTCTTTATAGCCAACGGCCACACATGCTTCAGCTTCATAATAAACTTATTTTCCTTTCCTCATAAGTCTCTTACAAACTTCCTGTTTTGTTTATATCACTCAGATTTATATTTTCATGCTCAGTTTTCATTCTAGTTTGCAATGTCGGTCGTGACATTCACCATTGAATCAAGCTCAGCGTTTCGCACAATACATTTAGGAGCTATGTACAAGTACCTAAATACAGCAATTTATCTAAAATTGAGTGCTTCATAAACGCACCGGCTTTAGCATGTTTCAGTACAGTACCCTGAACGCTATGCGACTGCCCGCTGCCTGTTCCGTGGCGGCGACCCTCTTAGCCCGGCAGCTACGGTTTTTTGTTAAAGTTTTTGCCACATCAAGCTGCAAATGCTGGCACTTCGAATATTTTTGCTGTACTGGTTTACACTTTTGCAGTTCATATTTAGTTTTGACTGAGAGAATTTTACTGTGATACGTATTTAGGTCAGCGTCCCTCAAAAACTGTACGATTGTACTGTCCTTTCTTCCCCTGAGTGCCCGCTGTCCCATCGGGAAAAATGTCAAAGTCCAGCAATACTTCTCCTCGCCATGACTGTCTCGCTGTGGATGAGTTTCTTCGTGGGATGCGCGATCTGCAGTCGACGGGAGCCCTGTGCGATGTTATGCTGCAGGGTGGCGAAGAATCTTCCGTGGGCATTCCTGCCATCGCAATGTCCTCAGCGTGCACAGCGCGTATTTTCGGGCCGTCTTCACACAGGAGTGGAAGGAGTCATCGCAGCCAGTATTCCGGCTGCGCAACATGGACAGTCGCACGTTGAACGAGTGAGTACTGGATGATACGGAGTGTAACGAAGTTTCATGGTTTAACGTCCGCACACATTCAGGGCAAGAACCCAATTCGAGGCAGCAGACACTCACAACAACAACAACTCTCCAGAATACACAGTATTTCAGATCAGCTTTAAACAAGAATACAGTAGCGTATTTAAGCACCACAACTCAGTACACCCACTCCCTTACAAACACATTTGTTGGCCCAGTCTCAGGTTCCAGAACTTTTTTCGCCATGTCTTTAAACGTACTTACCAATGCGGACAAACGTGGAAGAGGTTCAGCTGGTTCTACGATCAGTCAAAGCATTGATGTGAACTGGCAAGTTAGGAGTCGCAAACCTCAATTATTATGCAGTATTTATATGCCCGCTATCCCGAAACTGAAAAGAGTGCTTAAGAGATGTATATTTGGCAGCATAAATCGGTATGGCGTGCGGTGTGTTTTGCCTTGCCATCATTATTTCCAGGGCACACTGTCCTGCTGACCGAAAACTTGCTGGCGACTTTTTGCTGACCGACAAAACGATGACCCGACGATTTGTTGAAATGGCAAATCGTTGATAGTCATCTCGCTCGGGCCCGTCGCGAGACCCCCGTTAGTTTTTCAAAAAGCTTCTCCTCCCGGGGTTTTCATCGCACATTTTTTCTGAATATACCGTACCGTTAGAACCGCCGTGAAATTCTGAACAAAATGGTTGAGGCCGATTTTCGAAATTCGCTTTTTCTCAAAGTCGACATCATAGGGCGGTCGCCAATGCGACACCGTACAATTTGGGGTTTCCCCCTTGACCACCCCAGATTAGGGGAAAACCACAAAAATTAGACTGTCGTACGGTCGACCGCCCTGTAACTTGATTCTGGGGAGAAACGAATTTCGAAAATCGGTTACAACCATTTTGTTCAGAATTTTGCGGTGAGTTTATTGGTGTATTCAGAAAAAATCTAGCATGAAAACTGTGGATGGAGTAGATTTTTGAATTTTGTAAGGGAAAACTGCCCAAAAGGAAGATGTCGCACTAGCGACCGCCCGTGAATGTCGAATCTTGGGGGCTAACGAATTTTGAAAATCGGCCTCAACCATTTTGTTCAGAATTTTACGGCGGTTCTAACGGTATATTCAGAAAAAATGTGCGATGAAAACCCCGGGAGGAGAAGCTTTTTGAAAAACTAACGGGGGTCTCGCGACGGGCCTGAGATTCTCGCTCAATGACCTTTTGTGAATACCGACAACTTCCTTGTGACATTTTCCTGGCTCGAAAAATCTAAGAGACCTAAGAAAACTAACAAATCTAAGATCCCTACGAAATCTAAGAGAAAAACAACAAGTAGCTAAGAAAACACAACCTAACGTATCGAACCGAAAAGCAAGTAGTCGGTCAACAAACGGGTTTCGGCAGAACGTCGGTCAACGATTTAGCAGGAAAGCGAATTGTCGGTCACCGAATTGTAGGTCGGCGCCTTGACGTACTTTATTTCCAGACTCCAGTGTAGTGTAAATGACGATGATTGGATGGTTTTTTCGCTGTGTAGGCTGGTGGAGTACGCGTACACTCTGCATCTTAGCCTCACCGCTGACAACGTGGCGTCCATACTGATTGCGGCGCAGTTCCTGCAGATGGACCGCGTGGCCGGACTGTGCTGGGAGTACGTGCAGCAGCACCTGAACACATCCAACTGCCTGGCCGTCCACGCTCTGGCCTCCACTCACCACCATCCCCGTGTGGCCGCGGCCGCTCTGCGCTTGCTCCACATGCACTTTCCGCAGTGGGCGCAGAGTCCTGAGTTTCTACAGGTGGACGCGCAACAGGTGCTGGCCGTGAGATGGAGGGCGTTGTATGGCAGCTACATGAATTTATGTGTAGTATTACGTGTGCTTGTGCGTTGATTTATTCACCATATTTACATCAAGGAGCACCACTCAGTAAACACTAACAAAGTAAAGAATTTGTCCCAATTAACATGAGAAGGGACAGTGCTTTTACGAACTTAAAATCGGTTGGGTCGATAGCCGACAATATTTGGTAGTAACGGCGGAATGTCTCAACTGTACAGTCCTTTTTTGCAGTTGACTGCCCTGATCGCATCGGAAGACGTGGAGGTCTTCAGTGAGGATCAGGTGCTGGGGGCGGTGCTGCGTTGGTTGGATCACGACCGTCCCGGCCGATTGGTGCACGTGGCGTCGGTCTTGCAGAATATCCATGCTCCCTTCCTGAGCGACCACTGCCGACAGGAGTACGCGGCGGCTCTTGCCAGTGCTTCGCCGTGCCAGTCCACAGTGGCCGCCAAAGAACTGCATGCCGGGGAAGTGGCTATCACCACGCCCCGCCATTCATACGGTAAGGACCATGTTGTTCTATTCCCCGATTTGTAATGGTGAAATAGCTGTACGGTAGGTCTTTGTTGCTGTTTTTGTCGGATGATATGCAAGCTTGTCCGGTAATTTCCTGCGTAAAGGTACAGACAGCACATATTTAGCGTGCAAAGTTTTGCGCTATGACGGTTGCCACTACACTGCACCGTGAATTTGTATATTTCGCTGTGTTGATTCGTCGGAAATTACGGACAAACTTGTACACCTCGTGTCTGTCCGTCTGAGAAAGTACAGACCTTTTACTTCCAGCATTACAAGTACGCATGTTGCAGAGAAACCAAGACTTTGTTATTGTTTTCTTGGTTCCGTGAACGCCAATACTGTCACAGTTGAACATCACTCGTGCAGTAAACTCTGTGAGATCGAACAACTGCGAAAACTGAACAACTGCGAATATTGAACGCTCGTGTAGGAACCGGCGCGTCTCGTATACTGCAAAAGCTACTGCGAATATTGAACAGTTGGTTACTATGAACACTTTTGAAGCAACCGGAGGTGTTCAGATTACACAGGTTTTACTGTATTCGCATGCGAAGAAATATATGACGCTTGGGGTAAATGCGGGATCTCATTCATAATGGTCTTGCAGGTGCGCAGGAAGTGATCGTCTGCGTTGGCGGTGGCGAACCCCTCATGTATGATGCTTGCGTTGAGGCGTTCAGCCCGTCGATTCCAGCCGTCTGGCACCTGGCCGAACTACCCATTCCCGCCGACTGCTACAAAATAGCACTGCTGGACGCCAGCACCATTGCGGTTTCTCACTTTGCTGGCATGTATACAGTACAGCGCGACAGCCGCTACACCGGTCTGCGTGGCGAGTGGCGCGAGATGCCCCCGATGCAAACACCGCGCCGGGACTTCGGCCTTGCCGCGCTGAATGGTCGCATTTACGCCGTAGGCGGCATTGAGGTGGACAAACTCGGTACACTGGCGTCCGTAGAAGCGTACGATCCCACCCAGGAAACGTGGAGCGCCGTCGCGCCGCTGCCCGTGGAACTGAGCGGCGTGAGGACCGTGGGGTGCGACGGTCGACTGTTCGTGTTCGGCGGGGACGGGAGGGAGGAGGATGTGGGCCGCTGGGCCTTCTGCTACGATCCCGCTGGCGATACGTGGACCCGACTGCGCGACATGCTGATCCCTCGCGACTTTTGCAAGGCCATCGTGGCTCCCAGTGGGCTGATCTACGTTATTGGTAAGAATGGTAACTCAGCACTCGTGACGGTACAATTAACAGTAACGAGCCATAAGTGAATCACGCGCTAGAGTAGAGAGTGTATCGTATCATAGAGGCAGCCATAAGTCGGCTGCCCGTGGTGATCTCAGCGAGGGAGGGCGGTCAGATGAAGTCCTGTCTGTTGAGGAAATTCCGAAAAACGGCGATGGAACGGAATCGAACCGCTGGCTACCGAGTGTGATCCACGTAGCACAGCCACTGTGCCATCGCCGCTGTTGGCGAAAATCAAGATATTTGTGCTTGAGCTTGAGCCAACCAGGTAGGCGGCGGATGGGCGGCTGCTGTGTGTACAGAGGATTCTCCTCTCACAATCGCCAGTACGGTAGTTAGCCAGCTTCATTTATTTTTCACTTTACTGATATTTTTCTTTTGGTTTCTTGTTTGTGTGGGATCAAAGCTCCTTTCGTCACTATATAGTATGGACAGTCTGTATGGTTAACAACTCAGAGGGAAGGCGTGTTCGTCTCAGTTTTGAAAATGGCTGATGTCCATGTATGTAAAGTGAACAGTATGAAAAATATCGATGATTTCCGGCCGATATCGTTAGTGTGCATTGTGGAGTATACCGAAAGTGTTCGAGCGTTATGTACAAACACAGCTGACCGCCTTTCTAATGTGGCATAGCCTGCTGTCAGCACGGCAGTCCGGCTTCCGCCTGCGGCTGGGCATTGTCAGATTGTGGTCAGTTTGTGTGACCCAATGGATGGTGTATGCTGTGTTGTGAATCACTAGGTGGAGCGGAGGTCGGGGTACCGTCAAAGCGCGTTGATGCCTATGACCGCGTCAGCGATCAGTGGGTGCGAAAAGGTAAGTGCAATTCCGCTGTCGATATCACTGCCTGTCGGTGTGTCAGTACGACTTGCATGGGATGTCCTTCAAAACCGTGATATCAGTGTCGCTGTGTGATTACAGCGGATCTGATCGTGGAGCGCGATTCTCCCGGATGCGCTTGTCTGGATGGAAAACTGTACGTTCTTGGAGGGGATGTTGACAGCATCGAAGTGTACGACGAGGAGACGGACAGGTGGAGCCTGCTGGAGTGCCGACTACTGGACCCCCAGACAGACTTTGACTGTGTCGTGATGAAGCTGAAGCGCGAGTGAAGTGCGAGCGAGAGCTGGATCTTTCCGTTGACGGCCGTATCGTGTTCGTTTTATTGGTCATAGGGTTATCTGTACAGCGGGTTATTATGTTCTTAGGTTTCTATCAAAGTTCTGTTTCTATTACATTTGAAAGGTAGCGATCTGCGATTTGTGGATCTGCAAGGGCTCTACGTAGAGACCCTATGGTCTGTTCTTTTACTGTAAGCGTGTAACACTGACGGCTACCATCGAACTTGCCCGAACACGGGAAGTGGCTGGCCATTAAAAGCGGATGAACATGGAAAGTTTGTTATGCTGACCATTGCAGCACTAGTACATAAAGAAGAGGAACACCAGTTAATTTATTTTAAAGTGAATGCGGTTTAATATCCCCACGTTTCTTCTGCATTCGGCTGGATCAGTCGGGGAAGAATTCATCCAGAATGTGCATGGCTAAGCGACTGAGAACCGCCGCATTCAGTTGCCGCAAGTCAGCGCCATCCCACGGCTGAGGAAGGCCATCGGGTCCAACACTGCTGAACCTGATCAACCAACAGACCTGCTGCACAATTACTACTTATTGGACAATGTTCGTCTAAATGATTGAGAGGCTTATGCCGATAACCAAACCACAAGTAGAATTTCGAGAAAACACACGAGTCACGATTACGCTGGCCGTGTTAAAAATTCTAGTAATTAAAATGAGTTTTTTATAAATCCTGGAGATGGGAGAATGTTAGATTGTCTGAATCTGGCGACTTTTTTAAACCAGAAAGAATTAGTACGGTGGAAAATAAATTAGTAGATGCGTATTTCCATCACAATCCTTACATACTCGTGCAGTTTTATAGTCTGCTGCTCGGATACGACTTTGCGCTGCTGTCTGTCGACTGTCAGCATCATAAACATTTTTCTCTGAGTCCAGCATCACTTACAGATTGAGGAATATGCGGATACCGGTCCATTGGTCGGGATAGGCCAGCGACCGCACCCAGCGAAGTAACATCCCCGTGACCTTTTCAGTCATGGTCTGACTGACAGGCGGGCAGTTGTCATTGACCGCCGTGATAAAGCGCTGGGACTGTTCAGCGGCCGTCTCGGTGCAGTGGAAACGCAGGAACGGAATACGAATCTGCAGATGTGCGCCGCGTGCCTTAACCATGTCGCCCGCCCTCTGACCGCTGTCGTCCAGCCATGCCAGGTCGGCGGGAGCGAAGAAGAACAGCTGGTCCATTAAGGAATTGCCAGAACCCGTTGGAATGGCTGCGTTGTAGTCGACCAGCAGTAGCTGCCGGCACACTGTCATCCACTGACGAAGGCCGCGGCATTCGTACCGCGAAGCCTCCTCTCCGGGCATACGTCCAGTATCCATCAAAGCCGAGAGCGCTTCCGGAAGATCACCGGTGTTTTTGATGACGAGTAATGGCACACGACGATCTTTGGCGCCGAGTATGTGCCGGATCAGCCGCACCATGTTCCGGCACTCTCTCCTCCGATCAAAATTTAGCTGCCTCTCGAAGTCTGACAAATCTGCTTTTGAGATCGTAGCAGAATGTCCCTGGTCGTCCAGCAGTACCACGGTGTGTATCGATACGGTCAGGCTTCGGTCCAGTAGCGACACGACTTGGTATGTGTGAAACTGGCATTCAGCGTTGATTTCGTGTTGCACAGGTTTTCCAGCGAGCAGTCGTGGTATGGTGAGAATAATCTGCCGCTGGCTCGCAGCGTACTCTCCCAACAGCAGCGACCAGAGCGCGCATACCCTTTAAAACTTAAACTATTTCAAAGGTGACATGTTAGAGCTTTATATCCGCCGGCGGTGAGAAACGGGCTAAGTAAGTAAATTAATGCTAGACCGCCTGCAGAATAAATTACCGTAATTATCGATTTATAACCCCAGGGTTACAAATATTTCGAACGCCTCACGGGGTGGGCTCTAATTACGGGCATGGTCTTGTACTCGTATTTAGGGGGCTTCAAGTTTTCAAACCAACGTTTTGGGATTTCACAATATGGGCTTTACGGCATTTAATTAAGCCCATGGGCCTATATTTCGGGAGGGGGGCGGCTTCTAATTTCAAACGACCTTAGGGGTGCGCTTTAATTACATGGGGGAGCTCGAATCCGATAATTACGGTATACAGCGTATACTGTATGCCACCCCTTGCACTGCGAAGTTTAGCAACTTCAACCAAAGTGTTCATTTACCCAATCAGTTGCCGCAAAGTTGCTTTCAGCGCTTAGTCGTCCACTGACCATCGTACATAGTCAGTGGACGACTAAACGAATGGAATAGTGCATCTTAGCAAAAAAGTAGACGTACCGATTTAGCCGTAATTGAGTTACCACATCGAAATGCAGCAAAATGTGCCCCAAAATCGGATATGGGAGATCATTAATGTGCACTGCTTCCTCATCTACAAGATAAACCGATTGTTCAACCCAAAACTGATGACTCGCAATTTTCCCATCGACTGTCACGAGTCGAACTAGCGCGTTTTGTTAGACCCTCTTAGTGTTCTTCGCTATCTCAGGCTTTCTTACAGATGTTTTTAGATTTCTTGGTTTTATTAGCCGTCGCCAGGTGACGGTCGACGGAGTGTGAGTCGACAATATAATGTCGACCAACCAGAATTCTCGTTAGTATCCAATGTTCTTGGAACCACTACGCTAAATCACGGTGCACGTCGGTGTCACGGTGTACACTGTAACCGCCTATGAAGGCAGTCAGGCATAGAAGTGCCCCTATTTAATGGTCTTTCTACTGGATTGAAAGTGTCTCTGATCTGGAATTATCCATTTTATGTATTTGCTCCCATTTATTCCTTTTAGTGAATAAAAGCTATTATTTAGGGATACCCCAGGTTTCCCCACATTGTAGGTTTATAGGATATAGGTAGTACAGTGGAACCTCGCAACCCTGAACACCCTCGGTACGTAATTTCCTGTTCAACGTTCGAGGTGTTCACCGTTCGGGGTGTTCAAAGTCGGATCGAAGTTCCACTGCACTACAGAACCTATGACACTAACCAGGTTGCACGGTCCCCATTATATCCGCCTCACTGTTAATACCCGGCCTTATCCTCGGCTTCTGCGCCGTGAGGCATTCCAGGCAGGCTTCTTTCAGGGCATCCGCCGTCCAGAACTTACTGCGTCCGAATGCATCACCGTGCACTTCGGCGCAGACGAACGACACCGTCCCCGTGTCCACCCGGGCAAAAACCCGAAAGTCCACATCCACGCAATAGAACGCCCGGTGATCGGTAGGGGCCGAAGGTGAATGTAGTCGGGTGCACTGGAACGACCTCTCCTCCTCATCGATGGGAAAGGACCGGGCAAACTGGCAGCTGGTGTCACACAGCGTGTCAATGTCACCCCTGCCCAAAGTTATCCGGCACGCCCATCCCACAAACTTCGGCAACAACGCCACATCCCGCAATAACTCTGCCGGCTCAAAAGGGACGACGTGCTTCCTGTACACGAATTGTGTTTTGGCGTCGGAAAAGCTGGGTTCATTGTGCGTCGGAAGCTCCGTGACAATCTGGCAGATATCGACGATGCAGGCCCGATTGGCACCATCTGGACGGACACCAACCAGGGCAACAAATATTTTGTCCCACACTTCGCGAGTAATGGTCGCTGGGCGAAATACCATTGGTCCACCCTGGGTATCCCGCAGAGCCACCTGGATAGAGCTGCCACGGTTTTGAGGCCCCCATTGACGCAGGAAATTGTGTGGCCAGATGTGACGGGTGAGGATCCATTCGGGGCGGACGGTCGGTGAATCGAAGTCGACAAGGAAGCGGTCGCCGTCAATGTCCTGCACGTAGCCCAACCACCACTGGTCGTTGTCGCGCTGCACCAGCACCGTGTTCCCGAAGTTCACTTCGCGGGCGTTGGAGTGAAACTGGCGATAGTATAGCGGTGATGCGTACATAATGTTTTTACCGCCAATATCAGGTTCACGTTCACATAAAGAAGCCTGCGCTGGTATACACTAATTAAACTGATTCAAAATTCAAATCAGTACGCACTTTATGGTAGTCTGGTAGGTCGTCGATGGCTTCCGGCTGTAGTGATTGGTGAGTAGTGAGTTGCTAAATCCGTAGAAGCTGCAGGAACATCGCGTAAAAATCTAGCCAGATCATTATACTCCCATAGACACAGCCACTTGCACACTACCGGAACAGTACAATAGGGAATCGGATGCAGAAACCCCACCGCAAAGGCTTATGCAGATTCACAACGATTTATTTACCGTTCGTTTGGCTCCACAGCTCCATACTCTATACGGTAAAACGGAAACACTTGAGATGCTCTTGTTGGCGGTGTTTAACTGCATGTGCTCGCTTGCATGCTGACATGAATGATTGTGCCGCATCGAGTGCCGGTACGGTGGTGCATGACTCACGTCAACGCAGCCGGTGCAACGTCGACAGTTTTTAACTTGTAAGGCTAACTACAATCGATTTTTACCGCTTGAAGAAGCCTACATTACAATGTCATAAGTTCCTGTGGCTTCCGTTGGACCATCTTGACATAATTCTGATTCCGCGACAGAGCCTGACATTGAGGTTTTTTTTATTTTAACGCTCTTTTATCAGTATCGCCTTTAATTTTCTGAGACGTGTTGTATGAAAGATATTGTGCGTACTCTACTGCTGTTAAGATAAAAGTGGTATAAAGAAGCGAAACGCAAAATCTCTGCACTCGGTTAGATGCTTTTAGAGAGGACACAGGAGAAAACGGTCCACTCAGTTCCTGAAGCAGAGAAATCGGTGCTGCTTTGATGCTGCTTGCGTTCAGGAAACGTTCTGTATCGGTAAGAGGCTGTATGAAATGTACAGTATTTATGATATGTCCTGAAATAATGTACTTACTGCGCAATTTGGCATTTAACCAATGTTCATGTGAGTAGCTCAATAAAACCTCTTCACCTTCGATGTTTTTCGTAGATGCGGCAATGTGAGAGAACCCATTGACGCGGACTTTAAATTTGATTACTCAATAAAGCAACACTCACCATGTACGCATCACCGCTGTACTTTCGCAAGCTGCACACGGGCGCTCGCGAGGTGAACTTCGAGAACACGGTGCTGGTGCGGCGCGACACCGACCAATGGTGGTTGGGATACGTGCAGGAAATCGACGGCGACTACTTTCTCATTGACTTCGACTCGACCACCAACCGCCCCGAATGGATCCACTCCCGTCATCTTTGGCCAGACAATTTCCTCCGCCAAACGGGGGCTTCGAATCGTGGTCGTTGCGTGCACGTGGCAGTGCGGGATACCTTCGAAGGACCGATGGTGTTCCGACCCGGGACGATCACGCGCGAGGTGGCTGCCATGTTTTACGGTGTCCGCCTTGACGGTGACCCTCCAACTAACACGGTTCTCATCGCGGATGCGTCCCAATTCGTCTCGCAACTGCCGACGCCCGATGTCCGGTGCATCTTCTTCGGAGGCCACACGAAATACGTCTACCGCCAGTATGTCATCAACTTCAAGCAGGCGCGGTTATTGCGCGCTGTGGAGTTCTTGCCCCGAGCTGTGGCACGGGCGTGCCGGGTCACGTTGGGTCCTGGTGATGGGGTCTGCGGCGTTGCCTGCCATTTTGACTGGTCGGTGCCCATCGGCTCGGCGATCGCCATGTTCCATTGCGCCGGATTGCATCGTCCCACACCGTCGGGGCCCAGCGGAATTTAGGCGAAGTTTTATAGATTCGATGTGGGTTGTCGGGTGTTTGCGCGGGTGGACACGGGGACGGTGACCTTTGTCTGCGCCGAAGTGCACGGTGATCCCGCCGGACGTAGTATGTACTGGACTGAAGATGCTTTGAAGAAGGCCTGCCGGGACTGCCTCAGACAGCAACAGGAGCTGCGAGCGCCTAGTACAAGGTGGCTGAGCAAAATGGTGGTCTGGTTTACCAAGGTGCGCTGGGCTCCTTTAATGCTTGAATCACAAAATTTTTAGTTGCGTTCGAAAGAGCAGTGTTTACAACATACACCAGTACAAGTAGCTTTAAGCAAGAATCTGTATTTTTTATGAACATTTTTGAAAAACTGGGTGGTGCTGGAGAACGAAAACATTTGCTTAACCTATTTTTAAAGGGAATGACCCAGTACATGGGATCAAATTCGTGCGCATGCACGAAAACTTTCACTTTCTCGCTCACTCTTAATTTCCCAAACACTTATTGTTTTGTTTTGTGAAGTACAGTAGCAAGTGAATTTTTATACATTGGCTCAAAAACCGTTTGTGCGCACAACATTCGGTTCGGGAGTTATGGTTGTTAAGCAATTCCAAAAGGTTTACTACTAACTGCGCTCAGGTGTACTGAAAATCCAATAGACCGACCTACTTTAAATCCTATATGTAAACGCACATTTGCATGAAGATCGCATGTACACAAAATGGTTTTTCGTGAACGCTGCAGAAAGTCGAAGTGCCAAAAACTGGCCAACTGAAACTCATTTTGGCAATTGGACGATCTCTTAGCGCCATTTGCCCATTAAACCGACATTTTTTGTTCTAGACTACTGTGCAAATTAGAATGCGAAGAGTGATTCGCGAAAATCACACCAAACGTGGACACCGCCATTCCGTTCACCAAGCCGGTAATATGTATCTGCGAAGGTTTGCATCCAATTACAAAATATGCTTTGAAAGCAAGGCGAAAGAGTGTTTTAGAGTGCGTGGTCAATTTCGGTAGATGTGCACGCCGGATTACTGTACTTGCAGAGGTGGAAGAGATCCACATCAATGACCTTCCGTATCCGATTCTGGCGCACATTCTGCATTGTCTCGATCTAATTGGTCAGCTGCGGATACAGCGGTAAGTTGTCAATACTTTTTGCATAAGTGCTTTTCATGTAGGTTGACAAGTTGAAATATTGTAGTGAGAAGGAGTGTTGGTGTTCAGAACAAAAGAATTTACAAACATACTGAGACCTATCTTTTGATTGCCACTTGCAATTAGGGTGTGCGTGCTGTGGAAACTTCTGTTGGAACAGTCTACCGCCAGTCAACGGCACATGATTCTCGACTTCCCGCTGCTGGCCGCAGGAAAACCGGTACATGAGAAATCCGGTGATAGCGCCTTTCGATTAAACGTCGAAAGACACTATTATACATACCAACTCGTGGCGCTGCTTGACCGCCACCTTGGCTTAACCAATATGGACACCGTGGCGTTGGTGGCGACTGCGGGACATACGGGTTATAATTCACGGAAAGCATGTCACGCTCAGATGCGCGATATCCGGCACATCTTCCAAGCCAAAGATCTTCGCCTGCCGCTGATTATTATCAAAGACAGCGGAGACCGTCCGGAAGCGGCATTGATGCATATGACCGTCATGACGGCGGAGACGGACGGGTACCGCTGCCGGGTGCTGTCCCAGTGGATGGGCGTGTGCCAGCAACTGCTGCTGATTAACTACACCACGTCCCTGCCGACGGGTCTGCATTCCCTACTCGATCTGCTCTTCGGCCCCGACGCCAGTAAGACGACCTGGGAAGATGGTGGGGATGTGGCGGCGCGCTGGATGGAGCGCGACACGCTGACCATCACTATTCCGTTCCTGCGCTTTCACTGCACGGAGACGGGTAAGGAGCAGCGCGGGCGCTTTATCGCGGCGGTGAATGACCACTGTCCGGCCGTCAGTCAGGGGATAACCGCAAAGGTCACCAAAATGTTGGCACGCTGGGTGCAGACGTTGGTCTATCCCGATCAGTGGACTGGGATTTGCCAATTCCTCATCCTGTAAGTGCTATATGGTTTAGAACACTACCTGACAGCTTAAATTTCAACACTACAAACCAACCCAGATTTCTAACTTCTTGTACCGATTTATTTGGTAACCTACTCAAAACAACCGTAGCATTTCCTTCGTCAACACTTTAACTAAACCGCTGCTTGAGAAAAGCAGTAGAACCTAAATGATCTAGTACGTACAACGCAGTACTGCTTAAAATGGCACTCGCTGTTGCTGTTGTTCTCAGGTTCAGCAGTGTGGACCCTGATGGCCGTCCACAGCGGTGGGATGACGTTGACTTGCGGCAATTGGATGTGACGGTGCTCAGCCGCTTAGCCATGCACATGCTGGACGAATTCTTCCAAGACTGGTTGGAGCCGATGCATGTCGATGGAGGGAAACCTTTCACATGTCTTCAGCTGTCTAAAAAATACTAATGTGCCGATGGGCTATGGCCACCACGGCAGAGGCGAAGAAAGATCAATACCGCGGATTTTCGCGCGTCAATTGCACAACAGTAATCACGCTTCAAACTTATACGTTTATTTATACTTCAAACTTATACGTTTGTTTTCGTGATTCACTATGCTGGTGCCATGTGGTGCGTCTTGTGCGGACCTACACACCGGGACCTTCGCTTTACACACCGTCCTTTTTTTAGTAAACGTTTCCGATAACCTTGCGTTACGTTGCTTAGTCGCTCATGCATCCAAAACCTTTTCAGAAAGAGCCATTATTAGGCACGACGGATCATTCGCACGCAAAGCAAATAAAGTTAAACAAGCTAGCCATGGGCTATAACATACAAGAAACAAAAGATTGGCACAAACGTACGTAAAATGAAGAAAACAGACATCAACCAAAAGCTAACTGCACTACCAGTTTAGGTACACAAGTATGTATCAGTAGAGAGCATAAAAACAGAAGAAGCACGTCGAAGAGTACTGGTACTGGTGGACGAACTAACTTCTAGTTACATGTCATGTCACAGATCACTAAGGCAGGAGCCAGACTGAATGAATTGCTACCGCAAACGTAAGTCAGTTTTTTGAACCAAATTAGCGTACAACCGCGTAATAACTTGCATGGCGTTTCAATCTGTAACACAGTCTACTGTACATGTCGGGTTTAATCAGTCTTGGAAGTATTCATCCAGAATGTGCATGGCTAAGCGACTGAGCACAGCCACTTCCAGCTGTCTCAAATCAACATCATCCCACGGCCGAGGACGGCCATCCGGACCAGTACTGCTGAACCTGATGTAAAAAAACAAAATCCTTGCATGAAAAGGATAATTAACATAAGCGAAGCAAAGCTTTGAAACGAAACACTCTAGTAAGTACTAAATAATCAAGTTATGCGTAAAAAATAACTTCCGAAAGCAAAGCAAGCATTACTATACCCTAACCCTGCTTGACGGAAATTTGTACGCTATGAGCGATACGGTGCTGTACTGCTGCATAGCCGCATAAATTTTCAGCCGATTCGCGTTCGCATGCACTAGCTGCAAGCCGTGCATGTGAATGATGAACTCGATCGTAAAAGTGCTTGTGGCTGCACTGTACAAATTTCCGTCAAGTGCACGGTTAGGGTACACTACTTACAGTTTGAGAAACATGCGAATGCCGACCCATTGGTCGGGTTAAGCCAGCGTCTGCGCCCAGCGTGCCAACATCCCCGTGACCTTTTCGATCATTGGCTGGATCACGGCCGGACAGTGTTCGCTAACCGCCGCTATGAAACGCCGGCACTGTTCCGCGGCCGTCTCCGTGTAACGGAAACGCAGGAAGGGAATGCTGATTCGCAGATGCGCACCGTATTCACCCCCTCCACGCCACATTCGATGGCCGTCCTCCAGCCAGGTCCAGTCGGCACTGAAAAAGAAATCCGCGTCCAATAAAGAATTATTAGAACCCGTCGGAATGGTCACGGTGAGGTTGACGAGCAGCAGCTGCTGACACGCACGCATCCATTGGGACAGCTCACGGCACTCGTACTGGTTAGCCTCCTCTCCCACGCTGCCTATATCCAGCAACACTGAGTGCGGTTGCGCAAGATCTCTGCTTCCTTTAATTATGATTAGTGGGACACGATGATGTTTTGCTTTGAGTGTATGCCGGACAACCCGCATTCTGTCACGCAAATCGTTCCTCTTCATATAATCAGCCAGTCCGGCAGTGTCGAGCATATCTATCATCTTCATTACATTGGAATGTCCTTCGGTGTCCACCAACGCCACAGTGTGCGTCCAGCTGGAAAAACTGCGGTTCAGCAGACGGACAAGTCGGTACGTATGATAATTGCATTCTGCGTTAAACTGTTCATCCACAGGTTTTTCAGCGAGCAGCCGCGGTATGTCGAGAAGCAGATGCCACTGTTTTCCAGCAGCGTAGTCTTCCAAAAGGAGCCTCCATAGCACGCATACCCTTCAAATTACAAACACGCTTTTTCACATGCGTTTACAACACAATCACAGTGCAGTCTAATGATTTTAATGCACTGCCGTGAAACCGCAGATAAAAATTCATTCAACGTTGGCTGGCATTGAGTTGCGGATGAAATACATACCTACAAGCCGGCTCCACAATTGATTGCGTAAAGATACATGAATGATGTACTGGAAATCGGCGTTTAAAGTGACAGCCACTGCATTACACACTTAGCGTAACCCATGAATTCCGATTTTTCACTGCACATTTACACAACCCATTATGAATCTGGCTTGTAAGATTCCGAAAACTATAAAAGCGGTGGACGATTTGGGCCGGCACGGGCTCCGATGTAAATGGTCAGCAGGAAGAATACCACGACACGACTGTATAAGCGGGGAAATCACCCGCGGACCGGAAACGACCGGTTTTCCAGCAAGAATGCAGTTAAAAGATCTTTCCGTGAAAGATAAGATAAGGCCAGTGCGATCACACTGGTACCATGGGAGCGCGGAAAGCCTCTGGAAGACGATGTAAGTGACTCATGTAACCATTGTATTCTGCGTGTACTAACTCGCTGCTTCGGACATCAGCCGTACCAGTGCGAACGCCGAAGCAGCTGCTGAACACGCGGAAAGGGGGAAACTGACAAAACACGCCTAGCTATAACCAAGATACGATTTTGTAGGTGCAGCCTTTGAAATTTACGGACCCTGAAGAGATGGAACCAAAAGCTAGCGGAGAAGGTTGGAAACGATATAGCGACTTTGACGAAAGAAGCGGGCGAAAGAGTGTGTTAAGCAGCGACTCTCTATGCAAATACAACGTGGAAGTGCTTCTGGTATGAATTTTGTGGCTGGTACTTAGTTTGTAACCGATATTATATGACACTTGTTAAAAGGCACTTGTAGCCTTATTAAAGCGGTTTCTTAGATTACAGGTACTGTATTACCTACCACTACCGTTACCGTGCAAACCAAACACTCGTCCTACCATTTTCCCGAATTTAAATTTGATACCATTTCCCTTTTCACCTTGAGTAAAGCCTGAAGTGACCTACACTAGCGATTTATTTGCACTTGCATAAGCTGTAGCCGAGTAATCATGTCGAAATGTAGCAGAATGTTCGCCAGAATAGGATATGCCAGCTCATTGATATGCATTTCTTCGCCATCTGCAAAAATTATCGGCTTATTAAGCCTGCTTTGATTCCACTAGATTTCCGGGTTATCGTCCTTGTTGTAAACACTTACCGGTTTGGAAGGTGTCAGTTAGGCCATCCTCACAGAGAATACCAGGAGCGAGCCTCGGTTGTTGCGCCTTGAGGCAAGCGTCGCACGCTTCCCTCAGGTCGTCGTCAGTCCAGAACATACTGCGTCCGAATACGTTGTCGTGCATTTCGACGCAGACGAACGTCACCGTTTCGGTGTCCACCCTTGCAAACACCCGACAGCCCACATCAAACATGTAAAACGAGAGCGAATGCAATCCAGCACAGCGGAAAATCTGTTCCCCCGAGCCCACGGCATTTGCCAGGGCGAATTCGCAGTCCGCGTCACACTCGGTGTCACCCGGACCCAACGTGATGCGACACGTCCGTCCCACAAATTTCGGCAACAGTGTCACATCACGCAATAGCTTCGCTTGCTCGAAGGGGACGACGTGCTTCCGGTAGACGAATGTCGTCCCGCTCTCGGCAAAACTGGGCTTGTTAGGGATCGGCAGTTCCGTGACGATCTGGCACGTATCGACGATGCAGGCCTGGTTGTGATCAGCACCATCTAATCGCACACCATTAAACATATTGTTACACAATTCGCGAGTGATAGTTCCCGGCCGGAAGACCATCGGTCCGCCGGGGACGTCCCGTAGCGCCACCTGCACGGACTGACCACGATACGAAACACCCGACTGGCGAAGGAATTCGTGCGGCCAGAGCTGACCGGATTGGATCCATGCGGGACGGTCGGTGGTCGAGTCGAAGTCAACGAGGAAGCGGTCGCTGTCAATATCTTGAACATAGCCCAACCACCACTGGCCGGTGTCGCGCCGCACCAGCACCGTGTTACCAAAGTTCACCGCGCGTGTGCTCGTGCGAAACTGTCGAAAGTATAGCGGTGATGCGTACATGGATGCTTTATAGACCATAGACTGAGTTGATCGAAGCAAAATTACCAAACTACCTTAATAAAGTGCCCAAGTGATGCAACACCTCTGAAGAACTTCAGAATGCTGAAATAGGCTGTGGAAAATGTTGTCTATCCTCATCACTTCTCACTGGTGATCACCATCTGTATGCATGTACCGCAACATGCGGTAAAACTAAGAACTCGTTTAACCCGTTTAACACCATGTGCTCGCGTTCCTGTTCACGTCTGTCATCTGTTGCCGGCGTGGCGAGTGACTCATATACAGGTGCTACGATGCTGGCTCAGAGCTAGAAAGTCTACAATGCGCTAAATTACCACAATCGTTCAATTGTTATACAGCATCCACCGAACAGCAACCCAAACTCATCAAGGTAGCGTTAGAAAAACAATAAATGCACTTAACGTGGTTCTGTTCACTGTTCCCAACAAATTTTTCAGAACCTGCTTCAAAATAGCAGTCACATGGCCGTAATAAAACGAAATACTATAAAGTGTAAAGCAATCCGGCAGCGGCAACAGCAGCCAAACTGGTTGAATTACTAGTCGCACAGGGCACTGAATATTTATTAGTTTTGGAATTCTATTCATAGATGCAATCACAATGTTTTCCTGCTTTGATCAGTCTTGGAAGTATTCGTCCAGAATGTGCATGGCTAGGCGACTGAGCACAGCCACATCCATCTGTCTCAAGTCAACGCCATCCCACGGCTGTTGACCGCCAATACTGCTGGCCCTAATTACAAAAAGGTCATTTTTCAAAAAGCTAATCGGCCGAAGCGAAGCTAAGGTTTCTCTATGTTCAGAGAAACGGTATTTATTGTTGTTTTTCAAGAGATTTAGTTTAAAGCGAAATAACGCTTTGCCATAGAAGACAATAATTTCAAGCAAAACACGTTTTAATTTTAACATGACCTACAGGTTGAGAAAGATGCGGATGCCAGTCCATTGGTCGGGATAGGCCAGCGTCCGTACCCACTGCCCATGCATGCTCGTGACCTTTTCGGTCATCCGTCGGGTAACTGTCGGACAGTGGTTATTAAGCGCCGCTATCAATCTCCGACACTGTTCCACGACCGACTCCGTGCAGTAGAATCGCACGAACGGAATGACGATCCGCAGATGCGCACCAGGATGAAGTTCGGACACCATCCGGTGCCGGTCCTTCAGCCAGGTCCAGTCGCTGGCTTTGTCAAAAAGCCGCGCATGCAGTAGGGAACTATCCCGACCCGTCGGAATGGCGAAGTTGACGAGCAGAAGCTGCTGACACGCACGCATCCACTGGGACAGCGCATGGTACTCGAACTGGTTAGTCTCCTCTCCCACACTGTCAATATCCGGCAACACCGGGCACAGCACTATTCAGCCTTCATACGCTCGCGCTGGAGTCCAGTCTGCGCATCACACAGCTGATACGTCTGACCAGTGGCCAGCGACATGCCGCCAGCATTCTTTCACGCCGTGACAGACGCTCAAGAACTAACTTCGCGTGCACATCGCCCCGTTTAGATATTAGGCCAGACTGCCATCTTTGTTCTCTTCCCGCATTATCACGCGGTATTTATTCAGCATTACTTGTCAATAAAGCTTGATCGTGAGTCCTCGGCACTTGTCTGTTACAAAATTGTAAAACGAAATTTCATTTTTTGAAATTCAGTACAAACTGTCTTTACGCCAATGATACAAATCATTTTGCTAGAAAATGTATTACAGGGTCGAAAAATGAGTTTTGGAGTGCGAGAAATGTTCATGTGCATGTTAGCTGTTAGCATGGGCTGTAGCCGCCAGATGAAATGGCACCAAGTTTAGATCCGGCCGACAGAAGGACGGACGCGGCCGTAGCCTGCCACCTGCCGCATATCGCACAGCGCCGACGCACACGCTACGTGGAACATCGAGCAGCGTGTGCGTCGTTATCCGTCCAGTCGGCGTCACCAGACTCTGTGGTGCCATTAATCATCTAGCGGCTACAGTACACAATATTACGATCCGTACTGTACACTGTACATACGCTAGTACAGGAAGTACAGGAATTTGGTATTATGTACCGGGTTGTCGCGTACTGTATATGTTCGAAATATACTCACCGATTTAACCACAGTTGAGCAACTATATCGAAATGTAGCAGAACGTTCGCCAAAACCGGATACGTCAGGTTATTGATATGTATTTCTTCGTCATCTGCAAAAATAATCCGCTTATTAAATGTGCTTTTCTCACACTAAAATTCTGGTTACTATCCAAATATCAACGTTACACCACCTCCAGTTACTGTTTTACTAACCAGATTGGAAGGCGTCCTCACTAAAAATACTAGGCACAGACGCTAGCTTCGATTGCTGCGCAGTGAGACATTCCGTGCACGCTTCCTTCAGAGCATCTTCAGTCCAGAACATACTGGGCCCGACAGCGGCGTCCCGGTGCAATTCGGCGCAGACGAACGTCACCGTCCCCGTGTCCACCCGTGCAAGCACCCGACACCCCACATCGAACCAGTACATTGTGGCGGACGTCGGGGGTAGATGCGTGGGACAGTGGAAATTCGAGTCCCCTGAGCCAATAGGAAACGAGCGGGCGAAATGGCAGCTGGTGTCAAACACGGTATCACCCGTACCCAACGTGATCCCGCAAGCCCTCCCTACAAATTTCGGCAACAAAGCTACATCTCGCAATGACTCCGCTTGCTGGAAGGCGACGACGTGCTTTCGGTAGACGAATTTCGTCCCGCTTTCGGCAAAACTGGGCTTTTTATGGGTCGGCAGTTTCGTGACGATCTGACAAGTATCGATGATGCAGGCAGGATTAGCGCCGTCTACGCGAACACCATTAAACATATTGTCACACAATTCGCGAGTGATGGTCCCCGGGCGAAAGACCATCGGTCCGCCGGGGATATCGCGTAGTGCCACTTGGATAGAACGGCCACGATAGGAGGGTCCCGTTTGGCGGAGGAAATTGTGAGGCCAGAGATGACGGGAGGGGATCCACTCGGGGCTGTTGGTGGTCGAGTCGAAGTTGAGGAAGCGGTTGCCGTCAATATCCTGCACGTAGCCCAACCACCACTGATCGGTGTCGCGCCGCACCCGCACCGTGTTCCCGAAGTTCACTTCGCGAGCGCCCGTGTGGTATTGGCGAAAGTACAGCGGTGATGCATACATAGTGATTGGTTACAGACGGTTTTGTTAATCTGTGGCCAAATTACCACACTTACTTAAAAATGCCCTGAATCAGTCAAAAAAGGGTTACGGAGTATGGGAAACTTCCTCTGCTTGTACGTATCGTGCGAGTACAAGGATTTGATACCATGTACCGGGTTGCCGCGCATACTAGACTTACCGATTTAACAGCAGTTGAGTAGCCATATCAAAATGCAGCAGAATGTCGCCACAATCGGATACGGAAGCTTATTGATATGCATTTCTTCGTCATCTGCAAAGATAATCCGGTTATTATTAAACGTGCTTTTCTGACACCAAAAAAAATTCTGGTTATGTGGCGCATGGCAACGTGTGCCAACGTCGTACTACTGACCTATGTTGTATTTCAGTGTGTTTTTGGTATTTTGTTATTGCGTTGGTTAATTATTAAAGAGACGACGCTCCACGTCGCGGCAGGTTAATAACCGAACTGGTTATTCACCATCTTGCACGCAAGCCACTAACCAGGTTGGGAGGTATCTGCTATACCATAAATGGTCCGTTCATACAGGCATCGCACGCGACCGATCCGCCCCCTGGTTCTAAAACCTGGGCAGGATGCTGGGGTCTTAACAATATGGGATCTTAACTTAATACATTCGCGCTTATACCGCTATGTGTTTAGACAATTTTACTGCAGTAAATGTATCCGCAAGATTGGCGGATGGAGAGAAATCTCATTCATATGCCGGCCGCACTGGTTAACAGTAAACCGAAAACGACTGCCACGACTGCCGTAACAGTAAAGGCAAGTCACGACTGCCGCGCTACATACCGGCATCGAAGATGTTGCACGATGCAGGATCTTCGAGAGCCGGTGCCGGCGGGAGATGAGCAGGAGGATGGAGCACATGCATCGGAATGGGCAAGCAAGATCAAAATGTATTTTTAGAAGCATACTTATTCTTGCATATAGCCGCGTAGGCAAACTGGAGTAGCTAGCGTTAACGTTGAACCACGATTTCACATCACATGGAATAATTTATTTCAACGCTCTCTGAAATCAGTTAAATGTGTGCAACTGAAAAATAACAACTGCATTCCTGTGGTTTTTTAGCAGCATTGATTGTCGCTGTTACATGTGTAATATACGAGCCTATCTGTGCCTACGTAGTACTGGTGTTTAAGAAAGTGGAATCATTTACCAAGGCCGTGAACATGTTCGCATCCCGGTTGTACTTTCGCCAATTCCACACGGGCGCCCGCGACGTAAACTTCGGCAACACGGTGATGGTGCGACGCGACAACGGGAAGTGGTGGTTGGGATACGTACAAGATATTGACGGCGATCGCTTCTTCGTTGACTTCGACGCCAGCACCATCAACGCCCAATGGATCCACACGCAACATCTCTGGCCGCACCAAGTCCTTCGTATCTCGGGAACGCAGAATCGCGGCCGGTCGGTGCAGGTGGCGCTGCGGGACGCTCCCGGTGGGCCGATGGTGTTCCGGCCGGGAAAAATCACCCACGAAGTCGCCAATCTGTTTTATGGCGCCCGCCTCAAGACCCCGACCACCGCTGGAGACTGCTGCATCGTGGATATATGCCAGTTTATCCGAAAACTCCCGCCGTCCAACAGCCGGCGCAGTTTTTTCATAGCAAATACCAAATTTGTCTACCGGAAGCACGTCATCGCCTTCGAGTCGGCGAATCTATTGCGGGATGTGGCGTTGTTGCCGAAATTTTTGGGGCGGACGTGTCAGATGACGTTGGGTCCTGGTGATACGGCGTGTGACGCCAGCTGCCAGTTCGCCCGGGCGCGGAAACACTGACATTCTACTGTACAGTGCACAGTCCCTCGATGCCTTCCGATCCCCGGGCGTTCTATAATTTCGACGTGGGCTGTCGGGTGTTTGCCCGGGCGGCCACGGGGACGGTGACGTTCGTCTGCGCCGAAGTGCACGGTGATGCATTGGGACGTAGTATGTTCTGGACGGACGATGACCTGAAGATAGCCTGCCAGCTATGCCTTACTGCGCAGCAACCCAGCACTGCATCTGGTATCATCCGGGACGGCTGTGGTATGCAAGCCCTCCAGCCGGGTAAGTGTTGAGCACGAAATTTGAAAACAACCGGAGATGAATCTAATCAAGAACTTTTAAATGTGATACCACAGTTAGATCGGCCGTGGTCCAGAACTGCATCACATGACTTTTGTTTTTGAATACGTCCAATCAGAATCGTGCTGGCACGATGCCCCAAACGATCCAACCCAGTTTCAAGATGACCTTGAACCTTAAAAAATTTTTGCCTGGATACAATATGCAACATATAAATTATTAAATAAGCAAATTAAACGAAATAAATTGAACTCATTCTCGTACACCACTAACCACAAAATGAAGTACGCAATCACAAGTTACCCTATCGATTTTCGTTGTCGGCACATTTCTGATATAATGGTAGGTCTTAACCATGCGGACATCGGGCTGTTCGATCTTGGCAAGACCACCCTTCTAAACAATTGCTAAAAGCGAAGAGCCGGATTTATATTATTTTAAGGTGAGTGAGTGACCGAGATACCTTCACTGACCAGCGAGCAAAATCGCTAATAAATGAGTGAGTTACCAAGTTACCACTCGCTAATCGAGTCAGTGATTTACCGAGCTATCACTACTGTCCAGTGAGCAAAATCGTTAAACTGACTCAGTGAGTGACCGAGCTACCACAGCTATCCAGCGCTCAATACGCTACGTGAATGAGTATTCCTAGGGGCCATGGATCACAAGAAACACGGAGGCGAAGCCGCAGCTGTTTCTTGTAAATGCATAACACCATAAAGACATAAATGTCCGGCTCAAATATGATCATAAACGATACAGCTCGGACTTGGTACACACAAGAACATAAAGATATGTCCAACCCTGCAATCCACGATATCCCCTGTCCACGGCCATAAATCCCCATGGTCGTAACAGAGAAAACTCCGCCCATCCAATAGGTGCGTTCCAGTAGGTTCCACTGCATATTGATGTGCGTCCAGCGCCGTTGTTTGCCTCGTTTTACCTGCAACACAATCTGCAGCAGGAAATTTCTTACTGCTTTACTTGCCTGTTTTACCGGCCTGCGTATGTTAGCCCAGAAACTCGACGGATTAATTTTTGCAGATGATGAAGAAATGCATATCAATGAGCTTCCGTATCCGGTTCTGGCACACATTCTCCTGCATTGCGATATGATTACTCAACTGTGGCTAGATCGGTAAGCCGGCTTTTTTTATAACTAAAATGCACCGTGAAGTTCGAAAAAAGGATCGCTGTATGATGAGACGTCGGTGCAGCTGTTTGCACTAGAACCTTTCAAAATCTTACGCTGCCTCATCAAATGTCGTGAGCAGTAATTTGTTTTCACGCCAATAAGTAGGTTGCGTTTTGCACGGCCTCATGATTAACGGCAAAATTAACGACGATTTTAGCGTTGTTAATTCAACGTTCCGTTAATTCGAATAAGAGGTTGCGTTATAAACTAAACAATTTACTGCTCCTGGTATTAACGTGAGGAACTAGGTATCAGACAATCAAACAATAAGAGTGTCTCCGTCAAAATATTGTATTCAGTCTTGAAAAACTTAAAACAACTTCGTTTACCAGCGTAAAAATAACAAATTAGATCTTTTTTATATGGCACACACACTTTAGAAAGAAATGTGGTTAAAGTTTCCGCGGAGACGTTCTAAAAACAGTCATTCCATTCTAAAATGCGTGACTAGCAGTTGCACTTGAGAGATAGTTGGGGCCGTCAGGCGACAAAGTTGCTGCAGAACTCCAGCTGCTGAAACAGTGAAGTATTCGTGTAACTGTGTTTTGATTTTTGCAGTAATTTTTACATTTATGAAGAAGTAAATTATTTTGATTTCAATAATCTAGCTGGCAAAAATCTCACTGACAGCAGTGCAACTGTCGAGACTGGTACGGTTTTCGAAAATTCGAGTCGAGTGGGCAACTCAGGATTGAATGCCCAGGCAGAAATTCACTGGGTAGACTGTCTCGCCTATGCAGTCATCGTGCTCAATGGTCTATGTAAGCACAGTCGTTCATTACTGAATTTCAACGTCGTTATTAACGAAACGATACCCCCTTCGTTTCGTTAATAACGACGGGCAGTGCCGTTTAAACGTTCGGTAATCGTACCCCGTCGTTAATACTGTCGTCAATCGTATGCCTTCGTTGATACCGCAACCTGCTTAATGTGTGGGAATTGCCTGCAGTAAGAAAATTTCAGACATGTCCCTTAATTAGGGTGTGCATTCTGTGGAGACTTCTTTTGGAAGATTACGCCGTGGCCCGACAGCGCCTCCGCATTCTCGATATCTCATGCCTCATGGCCGAAACCCCCGTAGAAGAAGAATTCAACATCGAATGCCATTATCAAACTTACCGACTCGTGCTGAGGCTGGACCACAGCCTGACCGTATCGACGCAGACACTAGCATTAGTGGACACCGTGGGATGTTTCGATCCAACTAAGGAAATAGACTGGCAGGACGCCGCCGGATACGCTCATTATATGAAGAGGCACGATTTTCACGACCGACTGAAGCTTATCCGCCATACACTCAAAGCCCAAAATCAACGTGTACCGTTGATCATCATCAAGGACGGTGGTGATTGTCCGGAATCTGTGAGCCCGGTGTTAATGGATATCAGAGACGAGGGAGAGGAGGCTCCCCGGTACGAGTGCCGTGCACAGCGCCAGTGGATGGAGGTGTGTCAACAGTTGCTGTTCGTCAACTACACCGCCGCCATTCCAACGGGTCTGCATCATAAGTCCATACTAGACGCGCTGTTCTATTACGGTGCCGCCGACCGGACGTGGCTGGAGGATGGGCACCGGGTGGAGCGCGGGATGCATGAACAGGGAGCGCATCTGCAGATCCACATTCCGGTCCTGCGTTTCCACTGCACGGAGTCGGCGGCGGAACAGTGTCGGCGTTTCATCGTGGCGGTTAATGACAACTGTCCGCCCGTTAGTCAGCAGATGATGGAAAAGGTCACGGGGGTGCTGGCACGTTGGGTGCAGACACTGGCCTATCCCGGCCAATGGACCGGCATCCGCAGGTTCCTCAACCTGTAAGTGATGTTTGATACAGACCTGGGCAGTTACAACTTAACTCGTTAACTTGGCGCGAGTAATCGAGTTTTAACGTAGCTCTGTAGCGTAACTCGCTACCAAAGAAACTTGACTCTGACGTAACTCTCATAAAACTGTTATATATGGTCTATGATAGCGTAGCCCGTGGTATAACTCGAAACACGGTTTTATTTGCATGACCAGCGCAACTCGTAGCCGCGTAACTCGCACGCTCCCTTTAACTCGTAGCTCTTAACGGTGGGGTGGGCGCATAATTACCCAGGTCTGGCTGGAACTTTGATATGTGTGGTTTTCTATGCTCCTTCGTTTGTAAAACATTATTTCGTTCTACCGTTTTTTTGAAAATGGTGAACCCTCGCTCTGCTTCGATCGACTAAGAGTGCAGTGACCTTGTTTTTTTGATCGCAGGTTTAGTAATATTGGTCTGAATGACCATCCTCAGTCGTGGGATGACGTTGACTTGAGACAGCTAAATGTGGCTGTGCTCAGTCGTTTAGCCATGCACATTCTGGACGAATTCTTCCAAGACTGATCAAGCGGAAAGGAGATACTCTACGATCACATACACGTGGTCTAATCAAAGGTCGCATCAACACAGCATAGACTAACCAGAGAAAAGGGTCAGCTAGTACAAGAGAACAATAGGTACAGCTACGTCATGGAGTCGCGGTCACGTCGAAATGGCAAGTCGCAGTCAAAGTTCTCTGCTTGACATTTCTTAGAAGCATCGACTCGGACACGGGGTCATGTCTCGAGTAGTCGTTGTAGTTAGGTCTAAGCCTAAGCCTTGGGGTAAAAGTAGTAAAGTAGTAGTCCGATGTGTACTATGGGACGCCAGTACACGTCACTAGTTATGCTATGCTGATGGCAGTCTGGTAAGAATAGGTGGTCACACACACATCGTGAACCGTTTAAAGTCTTTAGACAACATTCATCCGCTTTAGTATGTATAGTGCTTGGGTGCAGTAAACATGCAGACACTGAAATCGTTGACGTAAAATGAACGACGGAAGTCATAATCCCACAGTAATAATTTATGCCAACAGATCGAAATAAAGCGTGGTGTGATAGACTCGTAACCGTACACCGTGCAACAACTTGTTGTTAACGTTTTAATGATATAACGGATAACACAATGAACTCCAGATTCGGTGTAATGTAATGATAATGTATAAAGCATTAACAAGCGATTAAATATGACCGACAGAAATCACGTATCCTTCCGACACAGATCAGACGAACATACTCGTACAGATCACCACAACGTAGCCACATTCCTTATGTGCACCATTGTAACAGTTTTCATCGGTTCTCACTCAGAAACATGTAAACATGACAACGCATAAGCAGCTGTGAATTAGGTAAGCTAGGAATGGTGGGAATCAGTGATCCACGCGACTGGCGCCATCCTGTTGCGACATCTGGCTGGCACGCGCCAACATACATGCGCACATCCGGCTAACCGGCACCGGCAGCATGCATGCGGCTTGCATACCTCCCTCCTTAAGAGCTTTGGTCCTCCAAAGCCGACGCCCCGGCACGACCGACGACACGCAGTCCGGCATCCTTGCCCTTCCGATACGTAGCTCGCTCACCAGACAGGTTGACGGTGTCCTCCGCAGGTCCCTCCACCTCCGTTCCAATCTGGACGCCGTTCCCTTCGCTCACAATTACAGCCGTAGGCGAAACTGCTCCTTGTTTGCATCTGAAACAACTCGCAATACATGACAGCCACTTCGTTCCATAGCGAAAGAACAGGTACAGTATAACTGCAACCAATCCAGCGCTGACTGTAGCACCAAACAATCCCTTCAACAGACCCAAGCGCGCAAAAACCTCCGGCAATTGTGCTGTTTTGGAAGCTGATTCAACGAAATCCCCCACATTGTCGATTCCATTTTACCCGCTAGCTGTCCCAGCAAGTTGAACTGCATACTGTGCTCTTTTTACATTACCGCTCCCAGTACCGCTTCAGACAAATCAATGGACTCGTTCAAACTTGCAGCTAACAGGTTATGCTTCACGGAAGTAGTCGGTTTTACCGGTACCCAATCTCCATTTCTGGCTTCATATGGCATGCCATTGAAGTTTACAATTGACGATTTCCAATGGCACTCACTGTACGGCACCAAAGCGAATCCATCCATTCCTATTGTAAATCTTCCAGATCTCCGCTGTGGTCCACATGGCGATCGCGTCTCTACTGCGAACTCCAACTTCGCTGGCCGACACTGCCGCACCACACCAAATTTTCCCAGGCTTTGTAGAGACTGACACTTCTTAAGTTTCATCTCCCTGGCAGCAAGTACTCCGGAGACACGCGAAAGTGTATACAACTGATCCACTTGTATACGGGCAAACTTGCAATCCAAAGTGTTAATCGCATGCGCCAGGCTGTTTCCTTGCTCCACTGCAATATCTTCTTCATACTGCAGGTGCGCAGTAACGTACTGCTGCATTTCCAAGGTGACGTTCGCTAGCTCTGTCTCACGCGTCTTACGGGACTTCTTTCGCTGCTTCGGAACTCGTACTCCTGCGACTTCAGTCAAATGCATTGGTTTCCGCTCTTTATCAGCCGTATACAATGCAACAAACACATCCGCTTGCCCAACTACAGTCAATAACTGTCGTCCTTTTATGGCACAGGTTCTTGTGTAGTTACCCAGCACGAAAACCATCTGCTGCTCCGGGTCACGCAGCCGATGTGCTGCATTCTCCACATACAGTTGACCTTGACGCTTTGCTAACCTTGATACTTGACATGGTTTTTTCACAACTTGTGTTTCACTCCAAACAAACGTACGCTGACCTTGGATGGCATATCCATCAGCTCGCCGGTGAGTCACTTCTCCAATGACACTCAACACTGGACAAGTTTCACATGACTGCTCCAGAGTAATCTCCTCCAGCACCCAGTTTCTGCTAGAAAAAACTTTGTTACTGTTCCACGAACCTTCACCGTAAGGACGTTTGCTAAATGTCCGCACTCTGCCACTCTTTGTCATTGGTTCCCCGGCACACTTCGCCGTCTGCACCATTTTCCAACACTCTGCAGAACTAGTCTCCACCGGTTCCGTACGGTACACTGTATCGGTTTGCCACAAGAAACTTACATTGATGTATAGGTAGTGATTCCGCTGACGACACATATATCCACTGAACGTTTTTCCCTCAGACTTATGTGTCCACAGCTCGTAGTTGACCGGTGTCCATTGGAGCGACGCATCTTTCGCCTTGCAGTCCATCAACTGCTGAAGAAACATAACTCCTACATACTGCGGATGGTCGCAGTTCCACACATCCACAGGTAATCCACTGACACTTCCGGCACACAGCAGTACCACTACACCAAAAAGAAACATCAGTAAACGAGACTGTCTTGCTTGCGGTTCCACACGGGAATTGAACACCTTACTCTGATACTGCTTGTCCTTACGCGGTGTGGTAACCTTTCGTTTACTCCTACGTCCCGGCTGCCGCGGCTCCTCCACTGGCTGCCCAGGCAGGTTCACACAAGGATTGCCACCAAATATCATTCCCTGTTCTGTTACATCCACTGCGGTAATATGGACAATTCTATTTTTAACTTCATAGTTAGTCGATTCATCCAAAACAACTTCTTCTATGGACATGAACTGGAAATCTTTTTCCTGTAAGACTTCGCCTTCGGCATTGTACCATACATCACAGTGTTCCACGCCATCCACCTGCGCCTCGTACTCCTCGCGGTCGCATTCTCCATCCGGCGTGTTATCCACTGCACCAGGTCACACTCGCTCTCAGCGCCACACTGGTTGTACAGTACTTCAGACTGAGCATATCCATCATCGCGGTAGTTATCCTCGTCATCGCTGCTACCGATGTAAAACTTTACCGGCTCTGCTATCTTCCATTCGTCATTAGCGGCTTCCACTGCGACTGCAGAAACGTTCCTTTCCTCATAAGCTGCAGTTGCTGCACTGCCTGTGACACATCCGCTCGCTGGTACGTCTGCCATCGCACTTCCACAGGCTAACCCAACCTCCGCTTTAGCACAGTTGGACACCTTTACTCGCTTCGCTCGCACCTCTGTGTCTACCGACTGGCTTGATTCCAATCGCTGTTCGTCAGTCAGATCCATTGCCATTTTGTACTTATCCGGTCCCATGATGCGATTGTCTCCAACATCCACCCGGATTCCCGGTATCATCGATACATTGCGTCCAATTATGCAATCATACCGACTGCTGTTAGACTCAGAAACATGGAACAACATTTGACCTTTTACGCCACACAGCTCCACTTCCAAATATACATGGCCACCTGCACTCATCGTTATACCATCCGTCATCGTGACCTCCACGACTTCCGATGTAACGTCCACTCCCAGGCCACGGATAAAACTTAAGTTAATTACCGACATGCTGCTTCCAGTGTCCACTAACGCCGTAGCCTCCATGCTTTGAATACGGACTGGCACCACTGACACCGGACCGCACTGCTCCATTGGCTCTGTTGTCGGTTCACATGGCCTGCCTGCTTCCACTGCCACTACCGGTGACCTTTGCGCATGGTCAACGCTGCCCTCCGATCCCGTTACTTTTTCTGTCCCGTCTGGTTGCTCACGCGCGCTACCGCATGCCTCCAAGCGCTCAACGCTTTTATGCTGCAGTTGCTTTACCGGCAAATATCCAGGCCGATCTGGATGTAATGGCGCTTCAGTGCCCAACCGCCTGCACACCTGCCGCGTTGCCTGCACACCTGCCGCCGATCCATCCCGCAACTGCTTAACTTGTTCGCAACTCTGATGACGAGCCGCTCCGCGGCGCCCAGCTGAGCCGGTCACTGGTGGGCGCTGGCCTCCCGCCGCAGCCTCCTCCAGTTCGCCATCTGCAACAACAATAATACGCCGGTTAATACCGTGAACAGCATCACCAGTATCCACTCCGGTGTTTCTCCAGCCTCCATTCTTCGCACACCGGCTATCCGACACATCCACCATGGTGTTCAGCATCGCCCGGTTATACGAACCACCCCGCATCGGCAACGCGTTCCATCCATACATTGCTGCACCTTGAGCTTCCTTCTCACCGGCGCCACGCACAATCATGGAACTAGCCTGCGCGCTGCTCGTATGCACTGTATCTTTATTCACTGTACAGTTACGTACTAAATGGTCCAGACTGTCACAGTTGTAACACCGCCTACCGGCACCTTTAGATTCGCTGCCGCCCCCACCAGCCCGGGTGCCGCCGCCTTGCCCAGCGCCTCCATAACTGCTGCTACCTGAGCCTCCCTGCTCAGTGCTGTCCTCGTCGCTGCTGCCTCGCTCGGCACCACCGTGACTACTGTGGTTGCGATCCCTCCACTTGTTAAACTTCTTATCGTGCTTCTCCTGCGCATTGCCGGAACCGGTTGTCGCTGCATCGTGTCCGCCTTGCTCGCATTGAACGCCGTGACCACCCTGCCAGCGGTTCTTCTTTTCCAAACGGATGGTCTCGCCCACACGTTGAAGATCGGACAGGTATTCGACCGGCGTCGCTGCCTTGGACAGTGCTGCACGTGACA